TCCAAAGCACTGAGATTCCTTGGAGCTTTGACTAGTCCAGACTCGTCATAAACACCATACTGACGGAGAACACCATCAATTGTACCGCCAACACCAGTTGATGCGGCGTAAGGATCAATATCGCCATACTGATGGCCTTGATTAAAGATGGTCATGACAGTGTCACCTTCTTTAAATTCTCTAACTTCAGGGCCAATTTGGACGACCACACCAGTGCCATCGGAAACAGGTACGATGGGATATTGGTGAGCAAAGGGAAATGTCCCCTATAAACTTATTTAGTTCAGGGACTATTTACCTTAAGGGGCATGTAAAGCTATATAGTTAATCTCACCTTTGCGATAGCACAATCGCGGTAATTAAGAGCAGCCGCTTGGAATTTCACCAAGACCCCACGACCACCAACTTGAGGAAGAGGAACTTCGGCCAATTTCATACCTTTCATTTCCTTGTCTGGGTGTTCGATAACCCATTGCTTCATCGTGGTAGTGGCCATTTTGAGGTAGTAGCGTGGAATTTGGAGTCGCTGATTGACAGGATAATAAACAAATTTAGCAAACGTTTAGAATGTGATTCTCTGGGACTTTTTGGATTGTAGTCCATGAACTTAGGGGAACCTGATTCCATTTTATGTGATACAGACCGCATAGCTAGCACGCTGCTTGACTAATTCGGTTCTAGATTGATAACTCTGATTAGAAATTTGAGTTAACACCGATGTCATGACTCGGCCTTTGCTCTCCCCAATGGCAAACGCCGAATGCTCAGAGCTATTGACGCTTGTCACTAGAAACAACAACGTAAAAAAAAAAAAAAAAGAAAAAAAAAAAAAAAAAAAAAGAGGAGAGAGAAAAGAAAGCGGCAAGCCGTATGAGGTTGGTCATAATACGATGCGCACTTTAATGTTAAGATCAAATGTGTCTCTGTCCTCAAATCTACGTTCGGCACTGCGGGATCGGTTATGCTTTTCGCTACACTCTGCGATAGACTAGAGATCAGTAGATTATCCTTTCTTCACTATTCCATCACCTGGTAGCAGAAAGATATTTTTATTTATGTACGTTGGAGTTCGCATACCTCGGGGTATCAGCTTCTCTAGTTGTTGAAATGGTCTCCTGAACCTCGTACATGGTACGCTATGATTCTATACACAGCAAAGGGGCACAGAGGAAAAATATAAGAAGAGTCTGAGCAATGCTAGTGACTTCTAGGTGGCTAGGTTGCTTCTAATTTGAACAGATAACGCATTGGTAAACGTCAAGTTATGCCAATTCACCGTAGTTCCATCTATTGACATGTAATATGTAGCACTAGCTATTCAGATGATTCCAGTAAATTATACAGCACATCAAAAACTACTACCGCATTTCCAGCTCATGCCTGGATCATGCCTTCGACTTGGCTCGCTCCGTCAATGGGCTTCAAATAGGCCACACGCCGCTTGACAAAAGCTTCAGCATCAATTTTCCCATCTGCAAGCCGTGCCTGCTCTGGATCCAACGACCCGGCTTTGATAGACATCATTTCGGGCAAAGACTCAGGTTGGCCGTAGAGAGAAGATCCACAATCTCCGCAAAAGAATGTATGATATTTATACCCTGAGTCGGCTAAATACTCGCCAGACTTGGGGTTACCTGTGAAAGTTGTATTAGACACCAGAGGCCATAAGAGAATATGTGCTGCATACCGGACAAGACTTTAAAGGCTGATCGAGGAATAATAAAATTTGTAGTGAAGGCAGATCCACTGAACTATATTGGCATTAGGGTTGTACCTAACAGTGGTGGTAAAGAAATTCTATGCATACCTTTTGGCAATTCAGACAGTGGCATACTGCCTTTACAGCAGGCTCGGCTAAAGACAAAGAAAATTAGCAAGTTCTATTGACTGCGTTTTTGAGGTTCGGGTAAGGGAGAGTCCTACTATCAGCCTGATACCTAATTTTACCGCACATGCAGCTTCCAGTGAGAACCATTTTGAGTATGTTGAACAATGAAATAACAATCCAGAGTTGGATCTATTGCTATTGATGTAGCTGCACTCATAGCTAAAGGGTGAGCGTATTTATTAAACGTCCAGGAGAGGGCACGTGGCCAATGACAAATTGGGTGACACCAACACTCATTCACCGAGTAAAGCACGGTTTCTACTCCGGCGACTGAAAGTTGAAGCAAGTGAGCCTTGTCTCGGTATTTGGTCGACCGGTGATTTGTCATTTCCCATAGCTTATCAATCGACTGTCGCATTGCTAGCTATGTATGCACATTGCTTAACAATCAATGAAAGGTTTGACCAGAAAAGAAGCCCTCCAGCACAACTTTTACCACTTACAATTGTCAGACAGAGCATATTGTCTGGCATTCCTTATTTTATCTCATCTAGGTACGAGACCACGCTACATAGATTTCCAATTTAGAGAGCAGGACCTCTATAATCCAGCAAACTACAGGCAATGACTCCGTGCCTGAGAGCGTCAAACCAAGCGCAGCGGAGGAGGACTTCCGAAAATTGCGAAACATGTTCCCGAAGAAAAGCGAGGTGCAACAAGCAATATCCCTGCGCGTCATGCGTTAGGATTGGAGAAAGTACGTTTTCGTTGAAGCCGTCAGCCTCGACTTTTGGTATCCACTCGATAACCTTTTAGGATGCTCCTCCAATAGCGGCCCACGAACAACCCCTAGAGCAATATGGAAGCTGTCAATGCTTGGAAAACGACTAAAAAAATAAGATCTATCTTGAGTGTCACTCTACCTGGTACATGGACAAGTGATGATAAGTTCAGCAAATCCAGACGACATGAATTAGCATCAACTCCTGATGTTCGGTCACCACCAGATACATCAAGAAAGAATCAGATCTGGCTGGAATCAATGGTTTTGAGCCTGGTGCTCTGGGCCATGACTGTAGTAAATGTTGGGACCTCCAAGGACAAGGCTCTGGTGTTCTCTTTACTCGGACTTTACAGGAAAACATTCCAGGTATTTATCTCCAGGATCCTCGGGCGACACCCGCCCCTAAACTATCCGCCATGCAATCGTTATTTAGCGAACCCAAACATTCACTACGGTTTTCACCATCTAGCTTGCCATCAAGAACAGAGGCGATTTTCACTTGCAACATAGCTCTCAACGACGCTCTTATTACCACACGATTTATTCATCAGCCATCATTCTACTCGTTTTTGGACCGAATTTATAACGTACAGTCTGAAAAGTGGACAAGCGATGATTGGGAAACTCTCCCTTTACTATATACACTTTTGGCGTTAGGGAAGTTTTTTGACAACGGTAAAGCATATCAAAGCGATGCAGAAGGACATCTTGATCGGTTGACACAAGGGTTTGTAACCCATTCTGAGTCCTGACAGTCCATCTGTATTAGCTAACACTGCGTAGGTGCTCATAGTTTAACTATGCCCATCGCTTTCTGAACATCTTTAATTGCCGTAGCCTGGGTTGCCTCCAAGCAGTCTGTGCCATGAGCATTTTTCTGCAGTTTGTCTCCTTATTCGACCAAAGTTACTACTATGCAAGGATGGGAATTCGGTGTGCCCTGCGCCTTGGTCTCCATCGGTCATTTGAAGCCGATTGGACCCCAATCGTGAGGGAATCTAGGAAACGGATTTTCTGGGCGTTAAGACATGTGGACCTCTTCTTAAATGTTTTCCTTGGTACGCCGCCTTTGTTACGAGAAGAAGACATCGATCAAGAGTATCCTCTGCAGGTGGATGATGAATATATGAGCCAAAATGAGATCAACCCCATGCCTAGTGGAGTGATTAGCCTTATGGCTTTCATGAACTGTCACACTGAACTTACTCTAATTCTTCTCTCTGTTATCCGAGAGGTTTATCCTACCTATGGCCGAAAGTCCACCCATGGCCACTTTCGGATTGGGCTTGCAGCAGTCCATACCCTTGAGCAAAAATTGCACAACTGGATGATACATTTCAAAACTCTCAGCAATGCTAGGAACTATTCACTTCACACTATAGCCCTGTCCGTCATCCCCTTCACCGGGCCTTTTTGAAAATTTTCTAATATGACACAGTGCTCAAACAATCCTTCAAATATCTTTCTTCCACGCACAGATGCTACTTTATCGACCATTTCTGCATTACTTGAATGTGATATCATATTCTCAGGGTACAAGCGAACATGGTTTCATGTGTGCTCAAGCCTGCCTCAAGGCCTCACGCGAGATTGTCCAGACGGTCTCTCAGACTCCACAGCTCAGTTCTCATTGGTTCCCGATGTATAGTACGTCTTTCGCTGTCTTGAACCTAATATTTATTGCTCGATTAAGCAGCAACATGAATATGAAGCATTTAGCGGTCCATAATACCTTAAGAGGGCGAGATGCCTTAATGGAGTATGCTCCGACTAATCTTGCTGCTATGAGAGCTGTCCAGGCTTTGAACGTGTGTTACCCTGTCCGGCAGCACTTTCAGGATGAAGATTAACATCAAATTAGGAATATATGGAACAGACCCCACAAATGATCTGGGCTCGGACAACCTTTCAATGACATTAGCCGAATAATAATTTCTCCAGTTCAATGCGAATGAGTCATCAATTAAACCACACAAAGGCATGACAGACGTAGCATACCACTCTCAAAGCAAGTACTTTAAAATTGTTGCAGGGTCCTGCCAATTACCGACTTCTGAGGAGTAGACCACCTGCTGCAGGAATAGCCTCACTCCACTGTCGATGATAAAATTAAAATTATTAGCAGCCATGTCCGGATTTGCAGTCACCGAACATCCGGTGAAGACCCAGATACCGGGTACTGCAGCTTCCGGGATCTGGCTACGTCGTTAACTCATGTAGATATCTCTCAGAAAATCGTTTATTACTAAGGATTTACTCCTATCGCGTGCGTACTCCCAATTTGAGCCTGGCATGTGTAGGAAAGAGAGTATAAGTAGGCAACGACCCCCTGGATAATTATGGCAACACATTCCAGGTGGTTTGTGATCATATTCTCCTTTCATCACCATGGTTCGCGTTGTTGTAGCTGGAGGCACTGGACGTAAGTCAGGTCCTCATATTAAATGTGATGTTGTACACCGACTGATACTCTCTACCTTATATAAGCTGTCGCCCAGGAGGTGGTTGCTGCGCTGGTCGATTCTGGAAAGCATGAAGTGGTCACCTTCACTCGATCTGTAAGTCTAAGTTTCCTCCCATTGATTTTCTCACTTTGATACTAAGAGGTGTTCAGGATGTCCCTAAGCATGCACGGCCTAGTGTTAAGTTCGTAGTTGTTGACTACGACAATAAAACCAACCTGGCAAAAAATTTGGAAGCCGTGCATTCTGTGCTTTGCTTTATATCTAGCTTCGATGTGCAGATAAGATTAATCGATGCCTGCATTGAAGCTGGGGTGAAACGATTTGCACCAAACGAATGGGCTGCGTGAGCCATGTAAATTGTCATTCGCTTCTTGTGAATAAAGAAACACTAACAGTTCTATAGGCGAAGCAACAGCGGAATTTTTACGTTCAAAGAAAAAGACCGCGTCTATGAGTATCTGCAAGAAGTCAACAGAAAGAATAAGCGTCTGGAATATTGCCTCTTCCAGCCAGGTAACTTTATGAATTATCTCAGCTCTCCCATTCCGTCGACAACTTATACTCCAATCTTCACCAACCAGTGGGGCATCAATAATCGTCGCGCTATCATACCTGCCGGAGAAGACTATCGAGTTACTTTGACCACTGTACAGGACATGGCCAAGGTTGTTACTGAAGCTCTTGGGTACCAAGACACTTGGCCAGAGATTGGAGGAATTACTGGCTCATTTATTTCCAACTCTGAGCTTATTAAGCTCGTGGAGTCCATCCGAGGTCAGTCATATATCGCTGGTGGGCAAAGTTCCTCTTTAGCCGTTAACACTTGTACCAGGTCCTTTTAAAACTGAAACTGTATCGCGGGAGAACCTTGAGGCTGGGAGATTGAAAACATCATGGATCCCAATGCTCCCTAGGCATCCCGATATGCAAGTGGACTCGAACTGGGGAATATTTTCTGAATATGTTATTGCTGAGCTTATCCTTGGAGGTCTTAAAGGGGCATGGGAGGTCTCGAATGAGTGGAATCAGCTTCTTCCTCATCTGAAACTAACACCTGTAGGCGGGTTTCTATCTAAAGTTTGGAAAGATGAACCGTGATATCTTCTCGTCTCGTCACTTTGATTTCAACTTCCTTTATTGCGGAATCTTTTTTATTTTTATTTTAAATATATATTGGGCGCCATCGTTGCAAAATGCAGCTCGCTGAATGGGGCGAGTTATGACAGCGAAGCATAGCATCAATTTATAACCATGTAGGCTTCATATATGATGACTGAATATTGTACAGTATTACCCTAGAGCCAATCTGTAGAGAATTCTTGGCGTTTCGTAAATGTTAACTTTCAGAGAGCTTACGCTCGCCGAGTCGACCCCTCTGCAATTTCTCGTTGCACCTCAGATATTTTAGCATCAATCCTCTCTTGGTATTTAGTATCCACACTTAGGCCCGCTCTACAGGTTCTATCTTCGGCCATGGCTATCTGACGTTCGCTAGCAGCCAGCCATGCGCATTCGCCGAGTGCGGATACTCTCGGCGTTTGGTTGTGCAGCGAAGCCCGAACTTTGTAGCATACCATATCATATGAGAGGGAAAAACATATGCCCGCGCTTCTCCTTTCGCTCTAAACCTGAAGCTATGAATTTGTCTTTCCATCTGTTAAAACATCATGCCTACCAGATTATGCTTCTGTGGGGGTGAAGTATGAGTTCTCCGAGGAAGTAGCACAGAAGGTGATGAGACTCCATTCGCTATATTCTTATATCATAAATATTGATATCTAACTTGGAATACGTCATCTGCCACTGTTTAAGCTGCCGTAAAATCACCAGCTCTACCTACACTACCAATTTTGCTATTCCCGAGTCCAATTTTTCGTTACTCTCTGGGTCGCTCCGTGACTGCACCAAACAACATGAAAGTGGGATGGAGCTCACTGTCTTTTTCTGTGGAGACTGTGGGTCGGCGATATACAAAAAGGCCACTCGAGACATCTTTGACGGCCGGATCATTCTGCTGGTGGGCACTATCGATGAGGGGCAAGGAATAGAGAAGGCCACCCCCGAGAGGGAGTTTTACGTGAGACATCGTGGGAGTTGGTTAGAGCCCGTAAAGGGGGCGGCGCAGGATCAAGAGTTTCCCTAATAGCTTCCAAACACAACTTACAAGGTGATACAAAGAGAAGTATATGTTGCTCTGAGGTTTCAAGGTGCTTTAAGAGGGCTCTGAAGTTTACAACAGGAAAGACACTTCCGGAATCATGGCAGATCGTCCGAGAAATTACCCGGCACAAATCATGATTCCCGGAAGCCCTGAACGTTTGTATTCAATCCATACCAAGGCTTTCCATTCTCGCTCAATCCATCGATAATAAAACCGTGATGTTGATGATGCTGGATCTTGTTTTGTACCTTTATTTGATGTAGCAGAGTAGCTCCCTTAATAACTAAATTTCCTAGGTCTTTATAAAACTCTCTATTGCATGACAACTTAGCATAATCGATTGGATAGGCAGGAGAGTCTAGCCCAGGTGCGATCAAAACTTCATTTCCCTCGATGCACCAACTATAAATATACTACCTCGAATTCTCCAAGCTGTGAGCCTATTCGAAACGTGTTTTAGACAATTCTGTTTGGCGGAGTTTCAAGAGAGAAGATGGGCTGTTTGATATATATCCCATTTACAATCCCTTCTCTGACTAGCCCTTCGAAAATGTGTAAAACATATATTACCGAATGAGAATAAACTTCTCAATATATATTGAGACCTTAATTTCATAGAGATTGCTTACTTACACTGCTTACTGTTTAACAAAATAGGTATTCTAGCGACTTTGGTTTTCACAGTAAAACGGAAGCATGGTGACTTCGCGGCTGCCTCTCGCTAGGGAAAGACTGCTATGTACTGTATATCAGTATGGTATGCTGTTTCGCATATCGAGTGAATCTAGTGTATTCCCTGAAACGTTTGAAGATGTGGATTCAGGTTTTTGTTCTTCTGCCTGGCCTGAGTCCAAATGGCTGATTTTCCTCCGTTCAAAAACCTCAAGGTTTACCCTTGACATCTGAACAGGAATACACTGGCAGATACTAAGTGCCGATGCTATGGGACTTTTTTTTTTCTTTTTTTAAAAAAGGAAAACAGAAAAAGCGGATAGCAGTGAGGGCGATGGCCCGATGCGCATGTTCTGCACTTCTCTTGATACTATTCTTCCTGCGGGGTGCGAGTTTTACTCCGAAGTCATATTGACAAGCTGAATTCATGGATTCATTCGAGTGTTACTGCTGGGGTCTATCATGTAGGCCCACTTAAGAGGCGTAAGTGAGAAGTATCTTTTGTATTAGACCAGGTCGAACAGCGTTTACAGTCAAGCTCATTTTTGCTTGGGCCAAACATTACAGAGATAGCCTTGCGTTTATACCCTTCTATAGCACATTTGATGCGATCTACTGTACTGTATTTCGATGCAATCCGAAAACGATACGCTCTGACTAGGCTAAAAGTAACCCTATCTCTGTCAGTTACTACTGTTACATAGCTTACTTCACGTGGTCTATAAGATGTGCAAGGACAAAAGCCTACCGAGTATACCATAGAGACGACATAACCCTAACCTGTTAGTTGATGGTTTTTCACTCTGCCTTCTGTGGTCAAATACTGAACCAAAAATTCATCAATTGGCCGGATGGTGTAGTTGGTTATCACGTATCGTTAACACCGATAAGGTCCTGGGATCGAGCCCCAGTCTGGTCATTGCTTTTTGCTTTTTTGAACTCCCAACGCTCTTTAGGATAGGATACGTGAGAGCTGCCCTTCCCCTACCTTTTTGCTGTCGCACAATGCTCAGGGTAATGCATGGGTACTTTACTTATGAATTACTAACTGCAATGTTTGCTCCATATTCAAATCCATTCTTGAATTGACTCTACACGAATGCCAGCTGTCTCGCTTTCCCTAGTTCCAGAAACTCCAACCTCAGTTCGCTTCGCTGTACTCCCAAGCACCATTTGTCCTTAGAACAGTATCTTCCTACCCTCTTCAAGTTCCCTGATCGCCTTATTCAAGTTCATTCGCTGCCGTACAGTGAATGCATCCTCGCCCGCTATGTCCTTGAGTTCATCATTAGACAATCCGTTGACAAAAGAGGATGAGAAAAGCTTGGTTGGGGTCTCCGGTCCGGTGACGAGATGATAATCTGCTGCTTGCATGCAAACGTTGTCTACAAACCGTTTCCGAGCTACCGTATAGTAAGATTCGAGGATATCATGGACATCCTGAACCGTGTATTCAGAGTTGCTCATGTGGTTTAGCACAGTAAGGTCTTCTAGTCGAACAACCTCTCCTCCGTAGCTATCGTTGATGACTTTACTTTCAAGCTTAGAACGCAGGCGTTCTTGGCGGCTAAAACCTGTTAGTAGATGCATTCCTTTACCTGAATCTTGTTCGAACCAACATACCAGCTTTGGAGATTTTCATTGAAATAGTGATTGAGCGTCTTGGGCGCTTGGTTACGTTCCACATGGAGCAAGAAGTCCACCTGTGCCAGGGCACGTTGGTACTTGTCCAAGAGATTGTCTATCATGATCGAACGAAGGTTGTTGAATACGCGTTTGTCCACACAAATAGTCTCCAGTACCTTAACAATAAATCCATGGACCATTGTAATCACATCGCTGATATACCCCTTAGCAAAGTTAGCCCATTTGGCTGATTGCTTTTTCATGATGGTAGGAAGTAACGACGCGTTGAACGTGCCAATCTCGAACCCACGAGATGATTGGTATAGCTGCTTTAGCCACTCGTAGATATCACTGTCAGAGGGCAAAGCTTCGTAGGTCGGTTCTGTAACGACATCATCGAGTTCTAATATGCTATCTGATTTTCGAGTTTGGACTTCGTTCTGATCTCCAGATTCATCTGCAGGCACTGCTGTAGCATACGCATCAAAGGTATCAGGGTTCTTTTTGCCACTTGTCTTGAAATTGTATTCGTGACCATATCGATCGAGGTCTTCTGCGAAAACTGTGTCTCGGTTGACAACCATAGTGGCAAGCCGAAGGTCCATATGGTCGTCGAAGATATCGTTCTCGCCGTAGCTCGTACTCAGCGCTTGGGAAGTGATTTCCTGGAATTTGCTCATAATGTCTAACAGAAAGCCTGCTTGCTGCTCTGGCGTCCCCCTCTCGTTGCCAAGGGCCTTTAAGGAGGTCCTGGCTTCCTTCAACCTTTTGTTGATTTCTGTCCGAACCTAGGGATGAGTTAGTAGATATCCTTTAGTTGAGAAAACAAGGAAGATCTACCGAAGGAAATGCGCGTCGTGCATTCTCAGTAACGGTTTCTTGGAGACGGGATTTCAAAGATTTGATGCCAAACTTATCTTTAGCAATTGTATTCCAAGGTGCCTTCCGACTGAAGGCCTCTTCTGCCTCATCACGGTCCGTGTCTCTGTCCATTAGCTCCTGTTGGTTCAAGTTGCGGACTATTATCCAACCATGCCGAAGAAATAACTTGTTCCCCGATACAAGATCCACAACTTTGTCTTCAGCACCCCTATCCACCAAGTCTGGCTTTGTGAGAACTCCAATGGTCCTTTCTCCTTCTGCGTCATACTCGCGGGCCATCTCGATGATTTCCTGAGTAGCAATATCAACGTTGGCAGGAACGACAGTAAGCATGATAGACCGAGGGTTCTTCATGTAGCCTTCTACCATCTCTCTGACCACGGCAATATCAGACTTTGAAGTTAGCCCTGGAGTAGTATTTTTGAAAATTCCAGGCACGTCGATCACACTCAAGTGGTCCTCTTCCGGCCCGCAGATCTCCAAGCGAAGGACATCTTTAGAGAATGTCGACAGAGCCGAGTTTCCACCAACTCCCATCATTTCATGGACCTTTATAGAGTTAGCTTAAAGCTTAGGATAAGATCAAGACTGCGAGCTTACTTCCTGCATGACTTTGGAGAAGAGATTAGGCTCTAAGCCGCCGATACTCTCAGTGCGCCATGCTCTGAGTCTAGCAGTACGGTCGGCATCTGAATCGGCTGCTGGGATGATAGAGGCACTGACTTTGCGAGTAGACAAGTCTCTATCTCTACGAAAAATAATCTGGGTCGCAAATCGAGTACAAAGTCCACTATCGCGTGGAAAGGGCAGCTGGGTAAGGCCTTCAAGGACCGAGGACTTTCCACTGGACTGATCGCCCACAACAACTAGCTGTGGGAGAGCAATGTACTCACCCACGTTGCAGGCAAACAGCTTGTCGATCTTGTCCAGGAGTGCCGGGTCGGCTAGCATCGAGTTTTCGGAAGTCTCTTTCTTCATGATGAATGACTTGAGAGCAGTCTGTAAAATGTATGCTTTATTTGAAAGTATGCAAGCAGAGGGCTGAACGACAGAAAAATCTTAACTGAAACAGGAACTGAGAAGATAAAAAAAAGACTGAGTTGTTAATTAGAGGTTGGGCTGAAGCATCAATTTATGTCTACTGGGAAGCTCAAACAAAGGCAGTGCAAACAGGCGGCCTCAAAATGATTGGCAATGGAAGGAGGTGAATGAATACCTTAGCGGCTATTGATTGGCGCAAGTTGCCTGCGCAACAAACAGAATACAAATAGCACAAGGCTGCGAAGGATTCTGTCTACCATCAAATGAAAATATTTTCGCTGGTAGGCGCCTACATACATCTCTAGACCCCGGCCCTATCATTCCACTAAAAGGTTCTATACCAACAGCCAAGACGTCATTGGTAGTCTAAGAAAGCGATGATGCATTCCCTACATTTCCGACTGCGTATCAAAGCCCCCATTGTTGATTCTTTGTTCTCTCAATTTAAGAGACTAATCTTTCCTGCCGTTAAGGCAGTAGCGATAGGCATATACGTACCCATTCCAGCCTCTTTTAGCGCCTTGAGATGATTTACTCGTCTCCGACCCGCAAACTGCGCCTCCGATATTTCTTTGCAATCCCCAAGTGGTCCGAAGGCGAACCTTTGCTCTGAAGACCAAGGGTTACCGCCGCTAACAAATTGGATCCAACGTTTTCTTGTCTCCTGGCCCACCATTTCCGCAGTCGGATTGAAGGACAAATCAACCCCCGCGAACAGATAGAGAAGATCAACAGCATGATGAGCACGACTGGAGGCTTGCCATGGGTTGGCTTGGTCAAACACATACCTATACACTCTCTTGTTGGCCGCTGTAAGCTTTTTAGAAATAACCTCAACAGGGAGTGTATAGCGAATGTCATTAACAAAATCTAAGGCACCCAGCTTACAGGCTGTAGGGCGGTCGGCGACCACTTGGTACAGCTTTCGCAGTTTTGTGCCCCATTCCATGTCTTGTTCAAAGGCAGCGGTAATCGTCTCCCCATCTAGTGTTTCCACCCCATTCCTCCAGATAACGGACTAGATATGGTCAGAGAGGTGCTTCCAATGACTGGAATGGCATGGCTATCAAACAAACCTCATATTCTGTATCACCTATCATAAGCTCGTCGACCTGTTCCGGCTTGGTCTCCCAGTTCTCAAGCTCTGGCTCCTCCTGGATCCACATCGTGTTCACATTGCACTCTTTCAGTGCCTGTATGAGAGCAGAGACGGAGGCCTCACGAAGGGAAGACTGCCCAAGTCCCTTCACCTTCGTTTGTAAGACCTGGATAAGTCCATTGCCTCGCTCCACGGGCAACGGAGATGAGAGATAAAGAGACCCAGATGCTAAAACTGCCCTCTTTACAGGTGGTCCAGTGATCAGATGTGCATGAACATAAACAGCACCCGCACTTTCACCGGAGAGAGTGATATGGCCCTAGTAGCGGTTAAGAACTTAATATGAGACCGACCATGAATGATATCTGCAACGACCTGACACATACCGGATTGCCCCCAAAAGCGGCGATGTTCTTCCGCACCCAATCAATCCCCAATCTCTGGTCCTTCAGTGCAAGATTCCTCTCTTTTCCATCCCCGAAGCTGAAGATATTAAGTCGATAATTGATGGAAACAACAATGATAGGCTGCTTGGCCTCAATAGAATCAGCCACAATCTTGGCCGGATCTGTGACCAAGTCAATAAATGGATACTTAATGAGCATCACAGCTCAGAGGCCTACTGACCACAGATCTTGGATGCTCCTGAGCAGAAGGTGACGACTTGGGAACCACCTGGGTGATAGTCAGCCGTGTGTGTTCTAGCCTTGAGGTCAATGCCGTCAAGTATGTACCGTGAATCCAGATCAAAACGGGGAGCCCCGAATTAGCTGACAAAGGCGGACATGCGATGTCCAGATTAAGACATTCGAATTCATCCTCAGGCTCATCCGGAATCTCAAAATCTTCTGGAATCCGCAACAAGTGGCGCACATCTACAGCCGCCTGAGGGCATCTCGGTCTGAACCATGCATTAACACGTCACCGAGAAACCCAACTCTTCGATGACAACGGAAAGAGCACATACCCGTACTGAGTAGCATCAATAGATGCTCCGTTGAAGTTATCTACAGGTTCGGCACGCTCAAATCTGGCGGCAACATTGGCGTATTTAATTCCGCGGAATTGGTGGATAACCGTTTCCCCAATCTTGCGCGCAGTACCCTTGAATTCTGCGTTTAGGGTTTGATGGGAAACTTGCGGTGCGCTCATCTTTCGTGACGGCTGAAGACGACGATAGTAATAGCGTATCCAGGAAAAGATTGATAATGATGCCAATGAGCTTCTAATATGATCCGACCCCCCACCCTTTGTATTTTCCTCAGTCCCGGCTGATAGTGTCCAAAGTATTGCCGATGGCCATCATCTTAGCATGTGGGGCTGTTGCGGGGAGTTCCACCGCTGCGAGTTGGCCTGTGGAGGATCCTTCGTGCTCGGCTGCTGAGGACGGATGAGAATGCTTTTATGTCGCTGATGGGATCTCAATAAGAATGTGCACGCGAATTAGAATAGGGCATAGTTGTATTAACTGAAGCGGAGAGCTTTTATCTAAAGTATGTACTGTTCTGCGATTCTGTATCCTCCTATATACACGGCCAGCCGTCGCAAATCACGCAGCAGACCGAGGTTCCACATTCTTCTGGTTCTTGAAAAGGAATCCACCCAAGAACAACAGCACTGGGACGGCCGACACGCCCGTCAGTACTGCAAGGGCCCACGACATCGTCGCCCAACCGGCACTTTCTCGAATATAGCCCGCAAAAAACGGCCCGACTATACTGCCCGCGGCAAAGGCGGCATTCAAAATCCCATATGAAAGAGCCATGGCGCCCCCTTTACCAAATATATTGGGATTCTTTTCTTCTTTCTCTTGCACAATATATGAGGCTTCTACCAGAATGGGGGGCATGAGGCAAGCCAGACAGGCCCCAAGAAGGGCTAGCAGGGCGCAGAGCAGTACTTTCTGTCTCATTGAGTCTTCCGTGACAAATCGAAAACAGACAATGACTGGGACGGTTGCGAAAAGTGCGCCTGCTGCAAGGTAGCGCCGTACACCCGGAAATTTGTCGTTAATATATCCCACTATGGGGTCTATGAGGTGCGGAACAGATAGAGGAACAAAGATCAATCCCTGGCCCGTCTGCCCCCAATGAAAAGTGTCTTGCACATAGAGGGGAAGCACACTGTCAAGAGAGGTCAGGGCGACCGAAAGGATAAAGTATGCCCATATAGTGACCATCATGCGGTGCGATGCTAGTAAAGTGAGTATGGCCTTCGCTGGATGGGGCTCGGTGGTTGCTGAGTGATTGGAATTATCCAGGCGTTGGTCACCCGATTTCTCCATAGATTGTGAGCCTTCTGACAATGCAGGTGTTACAGCCTGCGGGTTCCCATCTCTATTATGATCGCTTTTGCTTGTAGCGGGGCCAGAGGATTCTGTGGCGTCTTGCGAGGCAGCTTCGTTATCCAATTTCTCTCCTTGGGGAGATACTTCTGTGGGAGGGAGCCATTTTGCGGCATACTTCTTCTCAATCATAATAATCCGGAACAAGATGTCTAAGCCGATCAACGCGAAAGCCAATCCAAAGACAGCATAATACCCTCCATGTTCGTAAATAACACCGCCAAGGAGGGGACCCCCCATTATTCCAAGGGTCATTCCCATGCCAATATAGCCCAACGCTTGCCCAAGCTCTTCTTTGTCAACAGTATCGACTAGAAGTGCGCATCCTACTGTCCAGACGACTGCCGCTGATGCTCCCTGGAATAGGCGGCCAGCAATCCAGAGACCAAGATGGGTACCGACACAAAGCAGCGCTGTAGCGGCACCCAAGGCAATCAAGCCGATCAATAGAGGCCACCATCTTGACTCAATTCGATCAGCTATGTATCCAGCAATGGCTGGAATTCGACATGCTTATCAGAATGATATTTCATGGTGATGGAGCCAGGACAGTACATACGTGAGAATGCCAGCAGAGCTGCTCCGTAAAGCGCCAGCAAGATAGATGTCCAGCTCTGTTCTACATTGCGGAGCAATTGTTAATCAGTATTGAACATATGTTAAAAAGTAGGCAAATTAACATACCGTTGTCTTCCGATAGACCCACTCTCTCATGTAGAGCAGTTGGGGTCACAGGAACTATCTATGAATTATGTCAGAGATCCTAAGATATCCAAAGTCATACAAAATGACCATATCACATACTAGTCCATAGAGTAATATGTCCTACCAACGTGTTTATTAGCATATTCCGTCTGAGCATTTGCTGATATAGCATGCTTGATCTTCGTACCGTGAAAACTGCAAACACCACCACAAAGATGATGAAGAACTTCGATGATCTCCACTCCAGGAACACCGGTGGTTCGGATGTTCCGTCACCAGACGGCCATAGGCGCATTTTCCTACCACGTCGTTTATACCGTAAAGCAGATTTGATTCTGATTTCTATGACGTCATACAATAATCGAAGTAAAATTATAACGGGGGCGTCTGAGATAATTAAGCAGGGAATTACTCCATAAAGAAGGCCAAGAATCTGATAAGAAATTGCCTCAGTGTTTTTTTCAAAAGGAAAGGTCAAGGGAAAGGCATTTCAAAATATTCCTTCGGCCTCGGGATCCGCGGGCCCCGTTAGAAAAGCCGGCTATTAGTAGTAGCGTACGAACTATGTTAATTAATCTTTACAAGCTGCACGAAGATACTCTGTGAACGCTTCAAATTTTCGGCTATTACTCACCAAGCACACACCAGATACTTCAGCTACTGGTACAAGGATAACTACGAAAGGGACGGGTGGTGTGACTGGGGAAGAGAGAAACTATAGTTATCGTCAGGCGAGGATTTATATCTATTAATAGTCGCATTTATGCCCCTGGTCAATTTAGTCATCACCCGTGAAGCCAAGAATTTCTTAAGGTTTATCTTATCTTTCATCTATGATTAGAGAGCCATCGTGTAGCGACGACCAATGTTGAATTGAGAATTCGTGAATTCTACAGTTAAGATCCGCTATATCCTTGTCTGGACCCTGTACTATTTAGGCCTGTGGAGACCAACGGAAGCACTAGCACACTCTCCGAAGGACGTGTATAATGGATCACTTCAATCCTTTTAAGTTTGAACTTGGCCTACTGCATGTACCATGCTGAGTTTATTTTTTTTTTTAGAGATCTGTGGGTGTTCTACCTTCCATACGTCATTAGGAGAGGCAAGACGCTTCCATTTCATATCCAAGCTTTGAAGACAAGTCTAGTAACTCTAAGCCGTTTAAATCATACATATACCCGAGTATTGAAATAGGTCGACGGCCATGTACAATAGTTTAGTCTATTACTAGATCAACATATTTCATAAGCCAGAATATCCTTGTACAATATAGTTTACTACTAGTACCTATATTAAATAATACATATGACCATAGGGTGTGGAGAACAGGGCTTCCCGTCCACTCAGCTGTACTTAAGCCCAGTGTAGAACGTGGTCAACTCAGCAGCCAACCGCAGAAGAAAACAGTGATTCAGCTGCTTTTAATAGGCTCTGCGCCCTGAAGGTCGAAAACATGAACTTGATTGTCACTGAATCCATACAAGATTCAATCCTCAACATACCTTTTATGTCACATACCAGTATCATGTGCGGGCTTGAAATTGACCTTTCACCCCTCATCACATAGTGTGTCCTGGTTATGTCACTCGCATGGTTCAGTGATGGATTGGATATCCGCATCCAATAATTCTGCCTGTTGCATCCTTAGGCTACTAGTGCGGCTGTGTTGGCACCGTAACAGTATGGTATTAAGAAATATAAATCCTTATTCCCTAGTCTGATTCCTCCGACCTCGCAATAAGAAACAATCAATCACATTCGCGCCTGGGGATAAAATATCAGTTGCATGGTGCCAATAGAGAACTGTCCATGGTGTTACTATTCTCTTTCCTTCAGATGTATCCTCCCGACGGCGCATGATCACACATATATTGATAGCCGGGATGGGAATTGCGTTGTATTAGACTTGAGCAGGTGGCACACTCCAACAACATTCAGCACATCCATATAATGCCTTCCAAACGAGCGGAGAAGGTCGGGCTACAGCTGTGATCCTTCACTTGTTGGAGGTTTTGTCTTGGGTTTGTTCCTCTGATAGCCGTTCTAGCTCTCTTGCCTCTTCCACATCTGAGTCTTCCATTTCGGTTTCGTATGCTTTCAGGTGCTCCGAGATCTCCTCATATTTTGCATCGCGGTCGTACATTTCCTCTGGAACATCATAGTTGATACGGAATAGATGGCCATCCAGGCACAGGGCATCCGGCGCAACAGACGACATGTCCGGGGCTTCATCCCCGGGTCGAGGCAAGTTGTCTTTTGTGGTCATTGTGAGAGTTATATTTGGTAGTTAGAGAAATAATAATTGTCTTCTGCAGATCTTGTTCTGCTCTCCAGGCTCAAAAATTAGCGATGGGTTATGTTTGTGCGGAGGGAAAAGAGGAAAGGAAGGGTGACAGAGAAGACAAAGAGCCACAGTAAGAATCAATGCAATTATCAGCTGACAGACACGCAGTGTGGTATTTTCAGGCCAGATACCAAGTAATAACGAACTAGCTATCTAGTAGCATAAACCTTTGATTGGCAGAGTATAATCTACCTTTTATATGTAAAGTAGTATGGCAATTATTGTCTCCATTTCTATCCCGGGGTATCCTGGAAGAGCTAGGCCCAGATGATACTGTCTGATAATACTGCTGCCTACTGTATATAAATTTTGAACTATGATAGGTTGCCCTCCATCAGGCCGGACAGATCCTCAGCTTAGTCGATGTAGAAAAGGACCTACGCGGAGCAACAGGCACATTTCTGTTCCAGTATTTAGTGTTTATATGCAGCTGGACTCTCTTCTCTTTCGCAGTATAGTTCATCCACATAGGAACAGTAAAAGTCACCTTGGAAGCAAAAGTCCGTCGGAGTTGATGGTCCCGGGAAAAGTGACAGGGAATATGTCAAGAACTGACCATTCCTATATGTCGATTCGGGATCCGAGGCCCGCGGCCAGCAGCCTCAAACGCGCTGACAGTGGAACTTCATGAAATTTATGTCCCAGCCGTGGAGGTACAGAAAACCTCTCATTATGGCCTGTTCGATTCAAGCAGGGCTTTTTATCCTGATTCATTCTTTTCAGTCGTCCTCCCCCGTAAAGACTAGACTGATAGTAACCCCCCGATCCCATCTCCTCGAACTGGGCAATAAGACTTGGTGTTCGTAATGGTTACGCGAATAGTCGCACCTGGCGCGCATTCAGATGTGATAGACGCAAGTACTGGGCACCAAGAGCTCGCCCGCGCTGCAGGCCTACGATATCCTGCTGCGCCATCTGCAGGATATTGCCTCGTACACCATGATTGACTCGTGTGCGGGCCGGGCTGCGGGGGCCCATCACGATCTTCGAGGCCACGCTCAACGCTTGGCTTGCGGCCCTCCATGAGCAGCCAGTGCGATTCATCCTGGCCGACCTGTACCCGTCCTTGAACAAGTGGGTCGCCATGGCCCGCCAGCTAGCAGAGTCTGGCAGGAAGGAATGTCGCAAGTTCGATCTCTGCTTCCATCATTTTGACGACCCAGCGGCAGCGAAGGTGCTGAGAAGTGCGATCCAACCCTCGGGCGCTTTTAAGACAGGTGCCCCCATTTAATGTTATTCGTTTCTGCAGGACCACGCGTGCTCATCCGTCTGGCGGAGCTTTGAAGCCATCACCTACATCGAAGGGCGGACAGAGTATCATACAACCTTTCTTTAGTAAAGATGCCACAGCTTCATTGAAAGGTGGTGTATACAATAACTCCAGACTAGCTAGATATATCTTATCGGTTAGTGGGGTAGTTATTCTTTGGGGCGGATGTAAAGTAGAGGAGTGAACATCAAAGGGTTTCCATTTCCCCTCCTGGCTTTTCGTGCACCCAAAACGTGAATACTCCACTCAAGAAATGACCATAGTTCTCGTCGGTATAATTCTGACTATATCTCATAATAAACCCCTTCAGCTCGGCCGAGACTTTTTTTGACTTAAGCTTTGAGTCAGGAACGCTGGACATCCTGCATGTTGTGATTTGTACAGTATGTAGTCCACAGGTTGTTGCATGAAGTTATCTCTGTTCCCTGTCATGGTCAAACTGGACTCAGATTTCCGATCTAGAAAACTTGTGAACCAGGATGGATTTTGGTTTCTACGACATAGATACATATCAGTCCACTTCACAACCATCACGTGGTCCTGAAAACCTCGAATACTCCGGCCAGCTCATCCAGCGAGACCGCATCGTTGCAGTCAAACAAAATGCTTCTCCGATGACTCCCCCCTTTGTATGGCTCACTCACTTGCCCAACACCATGCCCTTCAGAGCTGGGCCCATACACCTAGCCGTAAAATCGGTGGTAATATCACCGTTTGTGACTGCAGGCCACGGGCTGGTGCCATGACAGAACTTGAAGAAGTCTTCTGCAAATGCGGTGGCAACAAGCTGCTGGGAGGGTGTCATGAACTCTTGAAAGTTTTGGGTTAGATAAGCAACGTCAAGAATGTGAGTTGCCTTTCCTTGCCATGGGCCCTCCCAGGGGTTCCCTTCGTTGAAATAATAAACGTGAGAGTTCCCCCTCCAACCCCGTGTGAGAGTCAGAACAGGTGCAAAGAAACAGATATCATTGACGTAATTAAGTACTGCAGGTAACGCCTCGTCGTCGGGCATACCCTTGCTGATACCATATTCGCCTAGGATAAGTTGTGCCACATCCGGTTGCGATGATAGTACCTTGTTTATTGCCATGGTAAATTTCTCTGCACAGTTTTTCTTCAGGTTTGGCATGATTAACCCCACAATACTCGCCTAAATAGCATAACAGTGTCAGTATGTGACCAGCATATCATAAATCGTGAGAGAAACAAACCCACATCCATCTGACAGTCGCCAATTATCAACTCAGTGCACCAGTTTCCTCTCTTTGTGAATTCAGATGTTCTATCAGCTGTTTGAGCATGTGTAGCGGCCGATGCTACCAGGTCGCCGTCTATAGCGGGGGCAGCCAAAACCGAGGGAGGCAATTTAGCAATCAGCTCTTGTGCTGGCTTTTCTAACAGAGTCTGAATTCTCTCTTCTGTGCTCGTATTTTCCAAACCCAGTACCGATATAACTTGTTGATAATTCTGCTCATGAATACCATATGGCAAAGCTTGGGTGAAGAGGTAACTGCCGCTCATCGCAATAGCTCTCTTAAAAAGAGAAACTTTGGAGTCCAGGTGATATGTCACCGATGCTTGGAAGAGTTAGCCCTACTGTCTAGCTTGATACATATAGCTATCCATACCTGCACCAGCGCTTTCTCCAGCCGCTGTAACATTTTCTGGATCTCCGCCAAAATCTGCAATATGTCTCCGCACCCATTCAAGTGCGACTCTTTGGTCCCGGAGGCCGTTGTTAGATTTATAGCCAACCTTTCGAAGCTCATCGGAAGTCAAGAATCCAAACACCCCTAACCGATAGCTTATTGGGTTGAGTTAGTCCAGTATGTCCCCAAGAAGTGGTCGTCTGATAGCCTTACTTGATCGAGACCGCGATAACGGGCAAATTCTTGTCAGCTGACAGTTTTACAAAACGCATAAACTCAAGTTGCGGCCATGAATTGGCCCCGATCTGTAGACCACCACCATGAATAAAGAAGAACACTGGAAGTTTCGAAGATGCGGTTGTGCCTTCAGGGACAGCAATGTTTAAATTGAGACAGTCGATATCCGACTGCGGGAGCTCTTTCTGGGGCAGGGTATGCTGTATGGCGGCCTGCTCTACATCACATCCGAACGAAGGTGAGATAGCTGTCGGCCTGCGTAAGGTTATCTCACGTTAGCTTCAGGGAAGGAAAAGAACTTGGAAACTTATCTGATTCTCGCACCCGTCCTTTGTCGCATCGACGATACCGCCATCGTGCTTCTCCACAAGTTGCGCGTCGGCAAGTCTATCTTCCAGAGTGGCGTACTTGATCCCCAGAAACTGTGTTACGCCTTCGGCGGTCTTACCCCGGATCTGCCCCAAGTGCTTCGTTTGGATGGTTGTTGTAGCCATCTTCTTCTCCAAACAACTACAGTGAGATGAGAAAAAGGTTTACACAAAAGAGTAGAGGAAGCGGGTATTCAGGTTCGGTCCATAATTAAATAGTTAGTAGTTCAGAGCTAAATCAGCTATGGATCTAATCAACTTAGACTACTTCTGCACCTTTTGAGACCACATCGGAAACTAAACCGTACCCATCTTCCGGTCTTCCGATGACTAAGGTCCCATGTTGATTTCCCCGGCGGATGGAAATAAGCTTAATTGTCAGGAGTACATGATGCTCGGATTTCTAAAAGTCTTCAGGCAGGAGCAAAGGCTATGGATGACATGTTCGTCGAGCAGCCAATTTTATCAGTGACCGAACCGGCTTATCCGCTACAGGACAACTACCGCTCAGCACTCGAACCTCGGGCAACTAAAATGTGGGGATTGGGTTGGACAAAAAAGAGGGGGTTTGACAGGAGTGGAATTGGGCGACGTGATTTTCATGGCACGGGATTTTAGTACAGCTACTAAAGCTGTGAGACCATGCAAGCCTATTTTTTGAATGTAGAAATTGTACTATATTAGCTCGACAGACTTGCCGGCAAATTATCTGTTAAATTGCTTCATGTTTCCCTTCCAAACAGCCTATTCAATGGACGGATGTAGGCATTTGCCTTAGCCCCAAAGGTAAAGGAAATTGCGGACGGTACGGACGCAGACTATTCCCGGCATAGGAGTCAAATATTGCAAAGAATCGGCCGAAGGTATAGAAAGGTCGTATGACTCCATTTATTTCAGTCACTCGTTGATTCCCAGCGTCCAGGTTGCAAAATGTCAAGGCGCAGGCTTTACTGATGTTGCATTAACTGCTAATTCACCAGGTAGATTGGCTGACCTTTTCTGGAGAAGAAATCCAACAAATTGGAAGGCACCCCATCTTCCTTGTAAGTGCCGCCCTAACATGGGATAATTCACAAGACATGGGTATCGCAGTAAAACCCCTCGGATGGACTTTCGGCCGTAAGTCCCTAGGAAACGGTAGGATGACGATGGCGTTTGTCACTTATACGCATACCTTGTGACCTGCCATGAAATCAAACCCGAGAGTGAAGTTTGATATTGGAGTTCGGACTCCAGTATTCCCTCTAGAGATGCATCATCTGCTTGTGGCGCCAGGCTGACCATAAATGGCGCTCAGTGTGAAGGATGAATGTTTTAGAATATTCCAAAAAAGAGAAGGAAAGGAGCCAAAATTCGCCATGGCGTAGACTATTCGACAATTCAACAAGACTCATCCTCTATTTGTTTCGGTGCCGCCAATGATGCTGCAGAAAAGAAACGCCTTATTCAATGCAAAACGCTTATAGAATACTAGGACGGGATGCAGGGATGAGACGCTAGTCTAGGACTGAAAGTTCATGCTATATCCGCCCGTTTTCGGGTCTTGGGTGAATTTGAAATTATCAGTTGAAAGCCCAAATGGTTTGAGGATTCCGTTGCCCAGCTGGTATGTTGGTTAGCGTGAATGATGATGAGGTTAAACCAAGGAAGGCCAGACTCACGTCTTTCAATTTGCCCATCATCTCCGCCATTTCGTTTTCCCTTGCCTTGGCTATCTTATCCGGAAGCTCCCGGAGAGCCTTTTGCACAATGCGCCTATCATCGGGTGGTAGATTGTCCATACTGGCAAGCAACTTGTAGTCTTCTTCGGCCCCTTGCAGGTTCCCCCATCCGCTAAGCTGCGATTTAGCTCGTGCACGTCGCATAAGAGCCTTTGCCCGAATCCGCATAACGTCATTTTTCCTCTCGTCAACCTTCTGCAACCGCTCGAGCTCTTTTTGTTCTGCTTCTTCATCATCATCAGTTATCTCCACCACGGAATCTGTAGAGCTCGACTCTTGCTGCTTTTCTTGGGGGGCGTCTGAATTCTCATTCGCCGACGGGATTACTTTCTCTAGACAGTCGATGCATGCCGTCGCTGAATCAACAGAGGCTTTCCAGTCTTCCAGCTTCAGGTAGCACGCAGCCATATTACTCCGTAGCACGGCGACTTCGTAATCGAGGTAATTCGGACACGAGGCAAGAGCACGATCGTAGCAGGATATCGCTTGGTCGTAGCAAGCCGCAGTAAATAGCTTATTGGCTTCGGCTTTTATAGAGTGAGATTGCTCCAGGAGTTGCTATTTACAATCATATGTAAGCATGATAGGCTTCTGCGTGATGAAAAGACACAGTTAACTCACAGCTTCTTCCTCGGCGGGAAATCTGGCATCATGAAAGACATCCTCTTCTTCACTGTCGCTCCCTGCAATATCTGTGTGTTCCTTGGGTGTATTTTTTGACATTTTGAGTGTGTATAGCTATTCGCACAACTCTTAAGATGGAGAATTTGGCATTGTTAGTAGATTAACTACAGCCCTGCCGTTCCCGCAGCTTCTAATGAGATAGCTTTCGGAGCGGGACGATAACCCGTTCACCGATTGGCTCGGTCATATCGGTCTTTAGCCTCAGGCATCATGTCTATTGTTATCTCCTCTACTAGTATCCTTGCCCCGCCATTGTTGAATCCTTTTATCAAAGTGCGGAGTAGAGGCAATTGATTTACCACACTTTACATCCACCTCGCACCTCGCATATAAGCACTATATCCCTGTCGCAAAATGGCGAATTCTACCCCAAAGTAAGTTCTCCGAACATCGTTGAGTAAACAGAGATCTGGAACTAACAAACGCAAGGCTGCCCCCTGTGCGGGCATGTCTCTTCGATATGGACGGACTCCTAATTGACTCGGAGGACAAGTACACCGACATTACAAACTCGATTCTCCACGAATACGGAAAACCCTCACTCCCATGGTCCATCAAAGCCCAGCTTCAGGGCCGCCCGCAACCGGAGGTACGTTAAGACATCACCTGCGACACTTTTCAATCTCGCGGAACACCCCAAAGCAGCCGCAGGAGTACCCAAGTCTCAATCTCGCTAATTCTATTGAAACAACCAGGCCTTCAAAATCTTCTACCACTGGGCCCAACTCCCCATCTCACCGGAAGAATATGGCGCCAAACAAGCCGCCCTGCAGAGCAAATACTTCCCCGAATCACAGCCTCTGCCTGGTGTGCGCGAGCTTTTGAACAAGCTTGTCTCAACGCAAAAAACCGATAAACCTGTTTACATCGCGCTGGCTACCTCATCGCACAGCAGGAACTACAAGTTGAAGTCAGACCACCTGCAGGATCTCTTTGCGGCGTTTCCCGAGTCCCAACGTGTTCTGGGTGATGATTCCCGGATTGGGAAGGGAAGGGGCAAGCCCTTGCCGGATATCTACTTGATTGCGTTGGAGACTATTAACTCTAATTTACGGCAGAAGGGGGAGAAGGAAATTACCCCCGAGGAGTGTCTTGTTTTTGAGGACGCCGTTCCAGGTGTTGAGGCGGGGAGAAGAGCTGGTATGAGGGTCGTTTGGTGCCCTCACCCTGGCCTGTTGGGGGCTTATAAAGGTCGAGAGGCCGAGGTATTGGCTGGTTTGACTGGTGAACACAAGGAGGAGGAGAAGTCTACGGCTGAACATGAGGCGGATGAGCTCGTTGCCGGTAGATTGGGGCGGAGCTCGGGGAAACCTGGCCAGCTTAATGATGGACTTGGGGATTTGGTTCCTACTTTGGAAGACTTCCCTTACGAGAAATATGGCATTCAACCTGCATAAACTAGTGGATAGAAACATTAACCTGATTACCAGGGCTTGAAACTGTACATGAAATCCAAGATACCCATGTGGTGTTGTGTGAATGAAATAAAGTCGTTTTCAGAGGATACCAAACGAAGCAAAAGAAAACATAGCTACGCTTGGAATGTCGTCAACTTGATCTTGTCACCGAGATATAACCACCAATTTTTCACTAATCGACCGGCAGATGTCGAGGTTTCCAAATGATGTAGTGCTAGCGTATCACATGGTTCCCAACTACTAGGCAAGAAAGTCCATTTAGAGATGAAGACATAGCTCATAATGAAATCCAGTCGGGGTACCAAAGTCATTCCGTCATAGGGGTTCTGAGGTCCATCCTGAAATCCATGGCACCCAACTCGATATTCACTTCATAAGGCCAGTTTCCAAAACAAGACAGATATTTGGGAAGCAAAGAGAGACAACAGGTGGTAAGGGAAGAGTAGAGAAGATTACCGGGGAGTTGGTCAGCTTAGACAATAGGAACGGACAAGCAAGGATGCAAAAAAGAGAAGAAAGTAACAGAAAATAAGAACAGCTAGCACGAGAGGCATTAGAAAGCTGGTGGAATGATTGGCTTGGTACGTTCTTCGAGGGAGGCATTTCTGGGGATTAACAACGGTCTCTAGCGCTGTCGCTTCTCGGGAGAAGGGGCCTCGTAGTCAGCCATGGGACGCTTGCGATTGGTAGCAAGGTTGTTACAGCCGCTACGAGAGTGGTAAGGCATATTTGGGTTCATCATTATGGGTCTCGGGTGGGAAGTGGGCGCAGTCATCCGGCGATTGTGGAGGTGCGACATAGCAACGTTTCCAATCATAGGAGTAGCAGAATACTGCTGGGTAGCTGTAGTGTATGTTGGAGTCGGCGTACCAATGCTAAGCATGGGAGAGGAGCTCATTTGCTCGGCTTTCACCATTCGAGTGAGCCCGTCAGGGGTGAGTGTCCCCCCTTCAACACCAGTGCTCGAGCTTGCAGGGGTATCCGAAGGAGCTTCATCTGTGGGTGGGGTAACCGCTTTAGCAGCTTTGCTACATCTCTTCTTGGCACCAGGCTTTCTGGAACCGAGGACTTGCTTTCCTGCATTCATCACTTCTCCTTTGCGCTTGTTCAACAGCCTGTTTGCAACCACGCGTTTCTCCGCCTGAACAGGGTCGTCAACGAAGTGGTAGACGTAAAGCGGGTCGAGGAGATGCTTGCAAATAGTCTTGTGAAGCATGAGACATTCGATTATTTTGTCAATTCTAGTGGCAAATGTCACTATCTCATGGTTTTTCGGCTTGACGTCAAAGGCACTCAACAATGGACCAAAAGTGTGTCGTTCAATGGCAGTTTCCTCGAAGTATGTTAGCAATGTCGCAAGGAAGCGGCATTTCCTACTTACCAAGACCTGCCAGCATGCAGCTTCCATTCGCCGATCGCTGTATCTACCTTCTTTGAAAGGTTTGATCATAGGTTTGTTGTCTTGCGCACGATGGGTGCTTGCCATTGCATTACACATTTGTTTGACAATTGCCCGCTTCCGTACCTGAGTACGAGGAATGGTAGGATCTTCTGGAAGTCGGACGCTGGGCCGTTGAGATTCATTGGCCTCCTCAAGAGACGCATAATATGTGTCGACGTCGACATTATTGTTCAAAGGATCCATGAGCTTCTGATAGTCCCTAATAATTGGTGGTACATTTACATCGGTGAACGTTGTTTCTGATTCATGACTGCTGTTCAAATGTGCAGAGGTGGGCAGTGAAGAAGGGCGTGCACCACCCCCAAGCTCACCACCGCCGACAGTGTTGCCCAAGGCAGGCGCAGACAAATTGCGTGGGAAATGGGTACTACCGTACGATGGCAAGTCAACATATGTTCTGCTCGCGGGGCTATTGTTAGAGCTGTCTTCATAACTTGCACCGCCCGTCACAATGCCGAGAGGCATATAGGGAGGGCTGGAGTCGAGTTCAGGACCAGACGCCGAAGCACCTGAGCTGATCGCGAAGTCCTCAGCACTGCTAGATGTATGAGTAAGAAGCCCACATCAATACGATACGGTGGACACAACATACTCTGCATTACCAACACGCGTGATCCTGTTTCCAGCATGCTGAGGCATACCAGTCATCGGCATCATAGCGGTCGAGCGACTTCTCGTAGTCATGTTATGAGCTCCGCTGAAAATGTCAGGATGAGGGACCTCCAACGTGTCTTCCATAGATGCACCATTAACGAACCCGCCAGATGCCCAGTTGCTATAAAAAATATTAGTTTCTAGCCAGATCTGACGTCACTGAAAACTTACGTATCATTGTTCATGAGAAAACCATTATAGCTAAGGTCAGCGTTTAGGGCAGGGTTTGAAGTGTGCGGTTGATCCAGGTGCAATAGCTGCTGCTCCCAATCCTGGTAATACCACTCCGTAAAATGGGACATCGTGAAGTCTATATCTATCAAAGGATATCAGATGTTTACGGCCACCCAATGCCAGGGGAAAGCAGCTCAGCACAGAATTCCAGGAATGGCGGGAAATTCACGAGGTTGGAAGGAAGAAAGAAGCAAAGAGAGGAAGAAGCTGTGGGAAGAAGAGAATCATCTGAATTTGGTAGAATAGAAGGAAGACGTCCACACATCAAAAGAGTGAGATAGTATAGAGCCAGTGAAGAAAGTGTCTGTGAAGCATTAGCGTCATAGAGAGGGAATAGGAAATGAATAGGAATGACCAGAATGAATGTGGGGATCAAGGTGCGAATGGGGAGGCCATTCATCAAAGAGAAGCTGTATTTAAGCGAAAATGTGAATTTCACCCCGGGAAGATGCCGCGTTGCTGTTGGTCTGGAAACTGATGATATATTCCCAAAAGGGAAAACAATCAGAGTGACTGTCAACAACCCCTCGCTTCAGGCCAATGCAGGAACAATAGGGTCCATGGTCCTTATTCAGGGCTAACAGAATTCACCATGCCAACCAAAACAGTCAATATTATCCAGTAACCAGAGTGGTGAAGAACAGGAAGTATGTATTGGTATTAGCTTCAACAGTCCACAAGTCAATTGTCTTCAGCTGACAATGGCACTGTTGCATTGAGATAACCAGAAACAATGAGGTTGTTGACCGGCATATGAACCCCTCCAAGCTACTAGGTACCTCAACCTCCTTCCGTCACTATATATATCGATCGAGCTATATTAGCCTACCTGATAGGGTCCAATTGGAGGACGTCACTTGATCATTTAGAACATGGACAGATATTGAAAAGTCAACTTGCCTGGTCTTGTGTCCCCATTGGCAACCGCATAATGCTTTAAAGAGTTCCTTTCACCTGAAAAGACCTCTAGGTCCATTTGACTCAGAGATGATGGTAGCATTCTATCAATTCCCTGCCTGCTCCGAGGTAGTCGTCCGAGGAATTGCAGTGGCTTTTCTTTGATGATCTCCTTTCCCTCCTCCCACCGTCTCATCCATGATAATGGTTCATAGCAGTGATTTCGAATTTGGAAGGATGTGAGCTGTCCCGGATGCCGTTGGAAATAAAGTTGGAAAGAACCTGACTCATATTCTGTAGGCCTACAGGAATGGCATAGACCATACTTTCACGCTATTGTCAAGCCCTTCTATAGAAGACGAGTCATCGTCGCCTGAATAGTGTCTTTGCCCAGCACACGTAGCCACAACATTGCCCATTGGATGTAGAACAGTACTGCTCACTGAGTCTACGAGTGCTAAGGTCAGCGATAGCATTAGAGTAGACCGGATAGATAATACGTACCATCATGGATTTTCCATTCCCATACTGGTTCCTGCCCACCAGTAGTATGTGTCGGGTCACGCCATACCCTCATGAAACCGTCAGTTCCTCCAGCCCAGATCTCATGCGATGTGCCTTGATTGGTAGAGACAATGTCAACCTTCATCCGCTGGTTAGTGATAGCCTTGCGGCCTTCTAACCAGCCAAGTAATTGACCGGTTACTCGGATGTCGTATATCATAACACCGTCACTCTTTCGTTCAGCTATATATAGGTATCTTCCACAAGGACTCCAGAGCAGCTGGGTTATACCTCGGCCCCCAATACGACGACTAGCATCGGTCTTTGCAATACTAAACGTGCCTAATGACTGTCCAGTTCCGTTTGAGTCATATAATCCCACCTGCCTTGAGAAGGTACCAGCTGCTAATATGCCATCTCCTGTCGGATTGATGGCCATAGCGGAAATGATACCCTTCATTCCAACGCCCCCACCCACCGTCTGTTTACGCTTACTAGGTATAGTAGGCATCCAGGAAACAGGTCCATCGCTACCGGGCCGGGAAACATCAAAGAGACATATAAGACTATCTGACCCAGTGAGGAAATGCGTTCCACCGAGAGCTTGTGGATAGATAATTGAATGCGGCGTTATAAAAGCTTCCGTGGTTGGGTGTATCAAGGAATAAGTCGCCAACAGCGTAGGGGCCAGAGTTGAGGCCAGTCTAATTGGATGATCTCGGACCGATGATAAAAAAAGTGTAGTAGACGGATCCTGAAGAGAATAATAAGGATAAATAGCAGCTGCATAGGTTGGTTCCGCTGAAGGTAGCACAGAGTAAGGAGACAACCGATGCGGCGAGGGTCTTTCTTCTAAAAGATCAGGGGGCCTGACTAACTATTAGCAGAGCAAGAAATGAGGATTATAACATAAACTAACAGGATATAAGTCCTTATATGATGGTCTGCAGAATCCGTTAGAAGGGTGGTGCCATCGGGAGTCCTACATGTAGCATTCTAGTCAGTCACATCAAGTTGAAGGTGAAGTCGTCGTGAGCATACCAGTCTACACTTTTGACATAATTTGTCTCGAAAGCACTTTTGTCGGCGCAACGTGCGGTGCTCGGGGTACCATGGCTATGGCTATCTAAAGATGTATCACGCGCCTCATCACCTCGTTGAGTTGAAGCCACACATGTGGGCGCAGAGCTGGTAACGCCGCTTGCGGTCATGATGCACTGAGATCGTAAGATTGACAATATAAGTATTGGCAGTATACACTTGCTCAAATAGCTTTAAAAGCACCTAGAGCGCTATTCGAGGGACATGGCAACTTGATATGAAAAGAGTAAAAGGGACGTTGGGGATGAAGTTGACCTTATACTTGATATCCAGATACGAAACCAGGGGCTCAAGATGCGGGGGATCTCTCCTCTAGTCAAGTCACATTAAACTTTCATATAACACCATCAATGAGTCCAGCATAAGATATCCGAACTATTAAGCCTAAATAGTTATCAGGTAGCGCGGAGAAGAACTACAGTATGAAGCGTCTTCTGGCTACGAAGAAAAGATCCCAGGTACGAGGTTGATAATCGCACAGCGAGCAAAATTATATGTGAGATATATCAACAGAGAGTCTCCGTAAATGGCTAAATCACGATCCGGCTAGCAAGATATTTGCAGTGGATATAACGTCCAATAAAATCTTATACTGATCGAAACATGATGTTCAAAATAAGTTTAAGGCTGCTGTGCACCGGCATCGGAAAATCTTACTCCATCAATCACTAGCTTGGAGCGTTGTTTCGGACCGCTTCACTTTGTTTTCACCACAGCATGAATATTGTTCATTATGCTATTTTCCTCTAACTAATTCTAAGGAAGCTGCCTCCTCTATCAAGAACGGCTGGGATTTTTTTTATTTCCTACAATAACCTGCATTCCGACCTATCCCTTTGCTCAAGCAGCACGCATTCCCTTCCATAATGTTCTCCGCAAAACCTGCGGGCGGCGGCCTTTCCATAAACACCAATTCTGCCAATTCTCTATTGTAAGGCCCTGGTTTTCTTGTCTCCTCAGTGCCGGTTGATTGTGTTTCTACTTTCTGTTTTGACATTGATTACTTGTTTCTTGTGTTACAAGGAAGCCGGTCGTCCACCTTTCTCTTTCATCCTAGTGCGCGCACTTCTTCGCTGTTACTTTTTTGTCGCGTTCTTGTTTTGGTTTTTAGAGATAGAATGCTGTCGCTGTTTATCAAGAAACATTATACTCAGAAATAGTGTGTTCCAAAAAAGCTAATGACTAGTCGCATTAACTAGTGGCGGGGCTAATACACAGACAACTTCCTCTACAACTACACCAGGAACGACGAGCACGACATCGGGACTTTTTGGTAACCTTGGAAGCTCTACAACACAATCAAAGCCCGGGACCGGTCTGTTCGGCAACGCGACTAGTGGAACTACACAGCAGAATCAGTCTTCCGGAACAAACATGTTTTCAGGCTTAGGCGGACAACAAAGTAATACTGGGGGCGGCGGCTTGTTTGGAAATTCCACAGCGACTACTTCCCAGCCACAATCGGGAGGCCTTTTCCCAGGAACTGCAAATGCAAGCACAGCGCAGAGTGGCACAACTGGCGGAGGCTTATTCGGGGGTGCTTCTACCGCACAGACTCAATCAAAACCCCTGTTCGGTGGCTTGGGAACGTCTACTAACACAGGGGGATCGCTATTGTGAGTGTGATATTAATATTACCTATACCCTCGTATTTATGAGCTAACTGTCGGCGGGTATAGCGGCGGTGCGAACCAAAACAACACACAACAACAGCAGCAAGCCCAAAAGCCTACATTATCTTTGTTTGGAAACCAGAATACCACAACACAGCAACCAGCGCAGCCGACTGCCGCAGCTGGAACGGTAGTCCCAGGGGTCAAAGTGGACTTGAGCAATCTTCTGCCGACGACCAAGTATGAGAGCTGTGCCGACGAGATCAAGAAGGAGCTGGAAGTATTCGACAATTACGTTCTTACGCAAATCAAGATGTGCAACGAAGTGGGAAACATGATCCCTAGCATTGCTGCCCAGGGAGAGACCATTCCGAACGACGTGGAGTATGTCCAGGGAAAATTGGAAACAATGCAGCACGCACTCGAAAACGATGCCAGCGATATTGATCAGTTACGGAATCTTGTGGCTCGTGATGCGGCTGAGGCACAAGTGGGCTTCCGGGCGATTGATACCCTCAAGCTACCTTTGCAGTTCCAGCCTGCAGGGGGCTCTGGGTGGTGGTCTGTTCAAGACCAGAAACTGTCGGATCGACAATCGTTGCGGTCAACACGCAAGAACACTTTGGCTCTTCCCGACGATGTCGAAGGCGATTCTTCTACGACCGTCAATGGAGTACCTGTTAACCTTGTCGATTATTTCTCTCAGCGTTCTGACGAGATGGGGACCGTCCTCGAACGTTACAAGCAGAACTTGAAAGAGATTGAAGACCACCTTCATGGAGTCGAGGCTACCCTGGAGCGACAGATCCACGAATTCGTGACATCTCGCAGCCGCGATGGAGCCACTGCGGGAACACCCAAATCGGTGCTTAATGATCTTGCTGTTGTGCTTGGGGACGTTGAGGCTGGTATTCTGGGGGTTGCCAGTCGTCTCGGGGGAGTTACAGAACAAGTTCAAGAAGTGGTGCTGGGGCCGCCATCTCTTGGCGAGGGTAGACTGAACTTGTAATGAATCAACCGTTTTCTGGTTATGTATAATATAATGAAGCTTGCCCTAATTTACTCTGAAACGGAAGGAGAGGGCTTGGATGTTTTGGCTTGAGCATGATTTTCGAGGTCAGGGCGTTCTGCGGTAGATCAGTTAACCGGCGCTATTCCCCTTCCATCAATCTCGGTTGACTCAAGTATCCATTATTCTTCAATGATAAACATGGCGACATACGGTGTGACGAAGTACGCAGTCTAGAATATACCATTGACAAGCTTGCTTACGAGGCATGTACCCCATACTCCGTCTCGAGCCGGCTGACTAGTAGAATGTAACCGACTACCCATTGCGGGTACCTCCCCCAACCGTTAGGCGAACCAGATTGTCGCACGCAAGAGCTTGGCCGGCTTGCGTGATCGCACCTAATCACTTCCAACCCCAGGTTTCCACACTTCCATGATCGGCACCTGGCTTAGAGACGCTTGACGTTTCAAGTCATTGATCTCCTTGTCTCAATTTTTGCGGCATCTATTCACGGAGTACAGAGTAAAGACAAAAAGAAAAAGAAAACGAAACAACCGATTCTATAGACAAGTAAAAGAGTCAGTAGTTTCCTTCTACCTTGCACATCTTTTGAGGCATATTACCCTCGAGCTCGTGCTTACATATAGCCATAGTGAAAATGCCGCAGGGCAAAAATGACGTGATGTGCAACTCGTTTTGTCATCCATTCCAGAAGACCTGTGGAAACTTAGTCTCATGGGCCACTCCGTACTGACCATCAGCCTCTTGGGTGATTTTCGCCAGCGATGGTGCCATATCCGCGATCCCGGGCATTGATGATGATGTGGAATGATAACGGTAGGTTTGAAAATGGCGGTCTACTACTACCTCCACTGGAGCTTTGAGTTCGATAAATAAACTACATAGACGCTTCCAAGGAACTGCTCATTCAAACACATCTCTTCTACACTTAGTTCTCTATACTACTCGTTCAGCTCAAAACATGGCCCCTTCACTTGAGGATCCGACCTTGGCTCCCGCCTTGGATCATTTTATTCTTCCAAAGAAAGAGATCATTGGCGACAACAAGTTTCTGTATACACCGGGACGCACAGTCATCGAGCGCCACGACAACTACGCTTACGAAGACCTTCTGCCTTCATTCCCTGATATTCATTGGGATCCGCTAGAAGAGATTCCTTATGAAGACAGAGGACGTCGCGGGGATCCTAAATTCCGTAACTTACTGCGAGATGCAACCGATGTTTTTGACTACACACCCAAGATTGGAACTGAGATTCACGGTGTGAACTTGGCCAAGTTAGATGAAGCACAGAAGGATGACTTGGCTCGCCTAGTCGCTGTCCGTGGGGTGGTATTCTTCCGTGATCAAAAAGACTTGGACGTTGATGCCCAAAGAGAGCTAGGTGGACATTTTGGGAGACTACATAAGGTAAGGTGTCATCCGGGTTTAGCTGCTTGTGGGTTAATCTAACAACATGCAGCATGCAACTACGTCTGTTCCGAGGAAGCAAGGCTTGGAGGATGTTCATGTAGTTTATAGTGCAGATAATTCTGGTGACCAGCGGGCTTTGTTCACGCCCAGCTTTTTGTGGCATTCGGATGTGACCTACGAGGTACAGCCACCATCATACACATTGCTGAAGGTTCTTACAGGGCCTCCCCGTGGAGGGGGTGGCGATACACTTTGGACCTCTCAGTATGCAGCATACGATGCTCTCTCCTCCCATATGCAGACATATCTGAAGGGCTTGACTGCACTTCACTCAGCGGACATGCAAGCTTCTGATTCACGAGCCCTCGGCCGACCAGTCCGTCGCGAGCCTGTCACTACGGAGCACCCTCTGATCCGCACCAACCCTGTGACTGGCTGGAACAGTCTTTTCTTCAACCCCGGGTTCGTGACAAAGATTATTGGAATTCCTAAGACAGAGAGCGATGCTATTATCAAATATCTTACCGATGTTATTGCAACCACACAAGAGATGCATGCACGGTTTCAGTGGAACAAGGATGATTTGGCTATCTGGGACAATCGGACTACGGTGAGTAACGATACTGTATTAAGTAGTGAACACTTCTGACGAACTCAACAGAACCATACGGCATCTTATGGATTTGCACCGCACCGTCGCCATGCAGTCCGAGTCGCTGCTCAGGCCGAACGGCCCTACCTGGACCCAGCCGGCAAATCACAAGAGGAGGAGCATATTGCGCTGTACAACCTGCCACCGGTAAACAAGGATGGTGCTCGTCAGTCAAACTACAATGACTAAGACTTTGTTTCTCTTTCTCTTTCTCTTTCTATTCCACTGCCGAGCGAAGCACTTGCGAGCATTCTGAAGATATGGCGTTACACATACCCGGGAAATTAATTTGTATATACTGCTATTTGCATATTGCTAATAAGGCTGTCTTTTGGATGAACTCATATTGGACAAGGTAGCCACTCATTATCTGTAGGTAGTAATAATACTAGTAGGTACAACCTAAAGATTTGAAACCTTCTGGCAGCCTGTCAAGCCACGTGCGGACTTCTGACAACTTCTCATTTTTACTCTGAATACTTAGAACCGCGAAAAGCTTAACTCGTCACTCACCAAGAAGCGGAAGACTCAATGGAAAACCTCCAGGAACCATCCCTTCTAGAGTATGCCCGATTCTACGGTATTGCCCGTGATTTCACGGCATTCGATCCCCTCACATACATCGGCGAGGCCACAACTGAAACACCATTACCCCAGGATACTCTATCGGAATTTCAAGATCATATCTACGAGACACAGAGAAACGTCGAAGATAGTCTTCGCAAAGAAAAGCTCCATGTCAGAAAAGAAAGCGCTCGCCTGCTGGCATCGGCGATTCAAGATGCGAGAGCAGAAAAAATAGACATAAATTGGGATGAGCTTCTACCTGGATTTAGTCGGGCTGATGAGCTCAAGGTGCAACTTCCGATCTTTCACGAGGACAGCATCAAGGAAATGTTGCAGTACACAAGTCCGCTGCGTTACGATGAAAGCATGGTTGAAATCTGGCCTCACGACGAATCGTGCCTGAAACTTAAGGACGAGGAAATCATTGCTGACCTTTTAACCAAGGCTGACCAGGTTCGGAAGGATATTATGCCAGAGAAGTTAAAGTGCAGTAGAGAGTCAATGTGGTTGATACAAAAAGCCAGAGACTGTGGAAGTCTTGCCTTCACAGATCTAGAAGGTCTTTTGGATGACATAATGATTTCCGGTCAGGTATGAATGTTGAAGATATATCGCTGGAACTTAGACTTATACACTTCATGAGTTTGCAGGAAGAGCTCAATCCTTCGAAATCTCCTCCGTTACTTCTATCGGATATTGATGAAACCTACTATCGGAGTCCCCCACCGGCTCTCAAGTCGTTGATGCTGCCCAGTCCTGCTTCCTCGGGTTTTTTTGAGCTTGAACTGCAGTGCAACAAAAGATTAGTCTGTTATTCAAACCCAAAGATATCAGACTGTGCAGTAGCGCCAAACAAGGGAGAACTTAGTTATACGAGCAAAGAAAAAGTTCGACTGGAGCATGAAGTATCACTTGACCGAAACAATGCAGAAGTAAGAAAAGTTGGAGCCGACAATGCCACTCAGTCTTTTCCACACAAGTATAACAAAAGTGAAAAACAATGTGTTTCAGGTATTTGTCAACAGATTGGCGATGCTATCAACTCGATTGATTCAGATTCATCAGGCATCTTTCTTATGCAAGAGAACGAGTGTATACCGACCGCGTGCACCTCAACGCAGGAGCGATCAAGTCGATCACCCAGGGTTATACTTGTCGAGGAGAAATGCCAGACTGCAAGCATGTCGACAGAGTTTATATCGTCTTTTGGTTCCTCGTCAGTAATGGACTCGTCCAATCCAGATTCTACGCAGTGTCAGGATATTCAACCACACCCCATGACAACTACACCTTCTTCGCAGCATTCGAAACCGGAAGACCATGTTGGTAGCTGTTTACATACAGCTAAAGACCACAGGGTTGTGGGAGACATTCCTGAAACAGCATCTGACAAGGAACTGAGGTTTACCCATGAGGATATTAGTGACATGGAATTCGCAGGACAACGCCAATTGTCGGAGCATGACACAACACCTCCTCAACATGAAAGTAGCAAGGCGGCCATGTATACTGCCCTGGATACCGCAGTTTCTGAAACCAATCCTTCCTCATATATGGTGTCTAATTTAATAGGCTGCAAAGTTCCAATAGATGCAATGCCTGGGGAGCAAAAACGAAGACACGAGGAGAGGCAGGATGTCTCGCGGAAAGACCGCAAATTTGTCCAACCATTAACCGCATCCCTAGCTAACGACAACTTCAAGTATACGCTAGCCTCACAGTCGTCGATATTAGGTTCCTTGTCTACTTTCATGGAGGCAAGAGGCCGGGTTAAAAGGCGACAAAGAACGGCTGTCAGTCCATACTTTACCAACAACGTGCGGCTCGAGGATATTGTAGAACATCAGGACCCAGCTATAAAGGCTGAAAGCTCCCACGGATATGAAGAACAAAAAGATATGCTAGAGGAGCTATATTCTCCAGGGTTAGAACTTACAACACAGCGGTATCCTCAATACCCTCAACTGCAAGCCCACACTCACGAGCAACCACTACTATTCGTATCAACTGCACTCCTCAAGAGCCATCTCCCAATTATTCAAGGCCTTGAAAGATTACAGAGCCCTCCAGCTGTGATATACAGAGACTATGATGTTCCCATCCGAGACCAGCCCATTCCTCGCATCTGGACTCTATCTCAAACAAACACCAAAGATAATCTCCCCAAAGAGGCAGACATCATCGTCTCACCAACAGCTGGGATCATACTGACTATTCTACAAGCTACTACACAGCTATACCTTCCTGGCCATAGACCTAATCCACAGACGAACGGGACTAAGTGCATCAACTCTCCGCTCCGCGAACGTATTTTCCTCCTAGCTCCGCGGTACAGATACCTCTACGTATTTGTTGCTCACGGCACAAGTTCTCCAAAATATGGACAAGACAACGCTCCACGATGGACAGCAGATAGACGGTTGTTAGCATCTTTCACATCACTCACAGCTTTCTGCAATTCGATGTCAGCGAATTCAACCATCTCTCCGATCTTGATTTCCCCATCGTCTAATACACTCATAGAATGGATTCTGGCACTAGCTCGCAAACATGCTTTTCAATTGCCTACTAATACTGTTGATTTACCGCAGACGACGTCTTTTACACCCGTGAACCCGACTCAGAAGAACAAGTTTGACATCAAGGCTATGGAGAATGAAACTCGCTGGGAGATATTTCTCCGTCGAGGAGGGCTGAATCCGTATGCTGCGCAAACTATTTTGACCATCTTGACATATAAACGAGAAATACCCAAATGCAAAGATAATGACAGAACACCACATGATGTCGAGGAAGAGATAAGCGCCCTCTCCAGATTTATCGAAATGTCACCGGAGCGGCGACAAGAACTCTTTCCTGATTTGATTGGAAAGAGAAATGAAGCAATTCTTGAAAAGGACTGGCAATGTGACTGGGCATTAAATTTTGATTAAGGATCTGTGGTTTTAAAGATTGATTATTACGTGAGCTGTGTCCATGTTGTAATTTTCGCAATATTTAGTTATACAATCTGTCGCCAGTTCAAGGGAGGTGTACAATGACATGAATATTGAACGATTGTGAAACCCTAGCCCTCCTATATGGCCTACCACCTCGGACAGTCGATGTTATAATCCTCAATCCAGGGCCGGCATGGTCTAACAGCTGAGATATCGACACCTGCAATATCAACGCATAGACACGGAGAGCACTTCAGACCCAGACAGTAAAGAAGAAGTAGAGAGGAGACATTCGTATCAGATTACTCGTGTTCATCTCGCAGACAGCGCGGGAGACAACAGCTGCTAAAGTACATCGCATAGTATGCAAAGGAACCAAGACACAATTCACGCTTTAGATAGCAGATAAAAGATAAGGGGAACATTAGCCCGGAGATCGAGGAACAGATTCTTACACCGTCCTCACTTCGTAGATGGCTCTTTTTTAAATTATTTTAGAGTGCATGACAGAAGCTCATGATTTGCGTGATATAATACAAGACTCCGATTGGATTATTTCAACCAGTCGGAAAGCGGAAGAACAAGATGAAGAACCGATCTAGTTCTCCTTGATCTTGGCAAGGAGTCTATAGTCGCATTAGAATCCATTGTTTCCGGCTGAGGGACAAAAGATGGAGAACTTACTCATGGTCCCGGAAAAGAGTGAACTCTTCCTCACCAACCTTGACGGAGCTTCCACCAAACTATTAAGACCACCATTAGCATCACGAAATTTCCAGTGAATTCATCAAAAGAATCGGTTGCTTCTATCGCACATCGGATGGTTCCGGAAGCGAATTAGAAGGACCCAAACCATTAACGTACCTGAGGGATCAAGACGTGGTCACCGGGAGCAACGCTCATGGGAAGGCGAGAGCCGTTCCTGTCGACGGCACCGGGGCCAACGGCGAGGACCTTGGCCTCATTCTGCTCTTTGACGCTGCTCTCAGGAAGGAAGATACCGGAGGCGGTCTTGGTCTCGGGCTTGATGCGCTGGACCAGGACACGGTCGAGGAGGGGAGCAAGGCCCTTGATGTTGCGGAGGAGAGACTAATCGATATTATTACGTTAGTCATTGATCTTCAGGGCGGCTCCGGCGGGCTAGCTATGCGAAGTGACAGGGGCGATGAAGTCGATGGATGCCGGGAAAAGTTCCAGCCGGAGCTTCCCATAACACGTAACAATTGCGAACACGTACCATTTTTATGGGAGAGATGTGAGTGGATGAGAAATTGATTGAAGGATGCAGAATGTGTCAAGAAGTACGGCGAGGCTGAAGTGTGGAGAGCAAGAAAGGAAGAAGAGGAAGAAGAAGACCGGGGAAGGGAAGAAAGAAGATCTCGACTCAAGTCGACACGAGAAATTTCCAGAATGCCAAGACCGACAGCTTCACTTCCCCATCGGATTGCCGCTGCCGAGGGTATAGCTCAACTTTCTATTTACCACCTTACAGCTCCCGTCCGACATATTTGACTCAATTGCAGTTACATGCGGTCGCTTTTGATTATAGAAATCGCAGAGATTTGTTTAAGATAATGTCTCCGTCTCGGCTTGTAACTAATCTATTGCTCTTCCCTGGATGTCGTCAAAGAAGAAGCTCCTTTCTCCCGAGCATGATTGGATAGGCGCAAAGACACAAGCTAAAAAAAGAAAAGGAAAGGAAAGGAAATATCGTGGTGTACCTATTGGCGTATCTTTGATTGTTACACATTGAACTCCACCAGACCGAACCGTCCCAGGATGCTACACAGCGCATTATAAGATTACAACGTGACCAAAACATGAAACCATCAGCTTTTTACCATCTCCGCCCCCGTCCCCGTCCACCACCAAATCCCCCTCCATAGCCCATCTGAGGTTGGCCACCACCTTGGTTACCGTAACCAGGCTGGCCTTGTTGTCCGCCGCCTGCGCCGGATTGGCCACCCATCATTGCCTGGGCGTGCTGCATGAAAGACATTGGATCCATAGATGATGGGTCCAAGCCCTGCGCCATCATACTAGCTAGCATTCCCTGCATCATATCTGGAGACATATCTGGCATTCCTGGCATGCCAGGCATTGGCGGCGGTGCGCCGCCGGGACCTCCAGGCCCAGGTTGAGGACCGCCGGGCATCGGCGGAAGCCCCATGGTCAAGAAACTCTGCATGTCATCCAGCTGTCTCTTCTGGTCACCAACTTCCTTTCGTAACTCTTGCTGTTTCAGCACATAGCTTGCCCATGTAAATTCATCAAATCCGTAGTTGAAATAGTCCGAGATGTCAGAACCCGGCCGCCTCCATGGCTTATCATCTTCTGGGAAGTCCGCATCCATATCAGTCGACAGAATTGGTTTACCGGTAGCCGGATGAGTTGGGTTTGCATGAACATCGATATCTGAAGCATGGATAGGAGGATATGCAGAACCTGGTTTCTGCGGTATGGCGGGTCGAGCGCTAACTGGGACCGGAGTTGCATGCTCCACTTTCGGTGTCACAGAGGGCGTAACTGACTTCGTTACGGAAGAAGAATCTACAGATGGAGGTCGCTGCGACTCAGCTCGTAGACTAGCATGGCGGGGATGTGGACTTGGCCCAATGTTAGCCCGAAAACGACCCTGTCGCGTTGTTGAACGAACTCACACTTCTGGGGGAGGCGCATCAGCGGGGGCTTCCGTGATAATATTAAAATCATCCTAACAGGTTTCTTTTTTTTAGCAAGAGCCATAAAGAGAATAATCAACACGAGCATACATCATCTTCTTCAACCTCTATCTCCTCTTCCTCGACGTCATCTTCGTCTTGGTTGACATTCGCTTGGGCGTGATGGGCTATATTCTGGGACGTAGCTACCGGCACTGCATCGGCAGGGTCATAGAGATCATCATCATCATCGTCCATAATTGCCTGGTTCTGCATTTTAAGAATTGAGTAATGGGTAAAATAGCTAATGTGAGCAACGTGCAGACTGTTTACGGCGGATATCGTATCTTAAGGCCGAGTTTGTCTTGTTTGCTCCGCTCCTAATATTCACGCCTTTAGTATGAACATCTGATTGACTTCGGCCTCAATGGGTTATTTTGCCTGGTCTATACATAGCTTTTGTACCTGTTGTTGGCCTTTTTATACGTGATAAATGGAGCGATATTGCCACCCTACGCATATAAAGTACAATTTATACTAAAGTGGTCTATCTTTTGTATCTGCATAACCACGCTATATATATACAAAAAGGGACATAGCAGAACTGTAGTCAATGAGTGATATGCAAAAGCTTTCATCGGGAAAACCGAATAAAAACTATAATCAGCCTAATTATCTAGCGACGGTGTCAATTTAACCCAAGCCTATCATGTAATTAGTTACGTAGCTATCTTTTTTGCTCTCAAATTTGAACATTGGGTCTCGGTCACGTGTGATAGTACATTGATTACTACATATGAGATCTTCGATTTCGACATACGTCAGGTATCCTGATTTGCGCATTCAATCCAGCACAATGTCTCAATCAGAACAGCCGAGCCATAGCTCGACACCTAGGTCTTTCACAAGCCAGACAGTTTCCGCAGAAGAACTTCTCAAGTCACAAACTGTTGGTTTAGTTCATCTTTCTGATTTTCGCAAGCGTCGCGCAGAGGTTCTCGAGCAGAAAGAACGAGAAGCGCATGATAAGTCACTAGGCAGGTTCACCTCTGGTAACTCGAGAAGCGCAACTCCATCAGGTGGCGATGTGACCGACAGGTAAGTCGAAGCGCACTTTTGGAATCGACGGTTCTTAGACTAATCGCGACGGTCTAGCGCCTCGACCCGAAGCGATGGGCCGCCGAAAAAGAAGAAGAAGAAGCCGCTTGCGAAGAGCAAGCTCTCTTTTGGAGATGATGAGGAAGAGGATGATAATACCGGAGAAGATTCTGCGGCCAGTATACCTCGTTCCGCTTCACGAACGCCAGTAGACAACAGTTCTTTACCACCATCACGTCGGATTACTCCGAACCCAAACGCTCCACCCCCACCCAAAGCAATGACAAAGGCCGCGCTGAAGGCAGAAGCTGAAGCGCGGGATGCCTTGCGCAAGGAATTCCTGGCGATGCAGGATGCCGTCAAGAACACAGAAATCTTGATACCATTTATTTTCTATGATGGAACGAATATTCCCGCGGGTATGGTCAAGGTTAAAAAAGGCGACCCAGTTTGGTTATTTTTGGACCGATGCCGAAAGGTGGGCGCTGAACTGGGAGTTGGCGGTAACAGTGGTGCTTCAAAGGGACGGAAAGATAATCGGCGCGAATGGGCAAGGGTCAGTGTCGATGATTTGATGCTAGTCAAGGGGGAGGTAATCGTTCCACATGTGAGTGGTTGTTTTCAACCCCATAATATCGTGGCCAAGGTGCTAACCAGCGTCAAGCATTACGAACTGTACTATTTTATTGCCAATCGAGTACCCAGCTTCTCAAGCGCAGGAGGATTGCTGTTCGACTATTCCAACAAGCCCCCTGAAACAGCCCCTGCCAATGATGATCCTCTATCGAGATCGAATACCGACCAACTTGAGGGCGCTGATAAGGATCCTGTAGCTACGAAGGTCGTTGATAGACGGTGGTATGAGCGGAATAAGCATATTTACCCTGCTAGTCTATGGCGAGAATACGAGCCAGGACCAGAATTCGAGGAGAAGATGCGCACAACACGACGTGATGCTTCAGGAAATACCTTCTTCTTTTGATTAAACGATTAAACACATGATGGGAAGATGAATAGATTGCTATAGAGGGTGCGTTGTTCTGTGAATACTGTATATTAAGATACCCAGCAAATAATAAGATACCACGAGGGAGAAAATGGAACTGGTTTTGTGTAGTCCCCAGGTCTCCCTGCGTATGTCTTTGTTATGATCCTTGCCATATATACAGATGGCTACTGTCGGGTACCCATACCATACCTTTCGACACCGCACTCGCATATCATCGCCTTGAGTTCGAACGTTCAAGACTGCTTCATATTTACGCAGTTTCGATATGGATTTCTATCTCCGATGCAATGCACTTAAATGTCGATGTCAGTTGAAGGAACAAGCGGTTGTTACGACTTGTTCGTAAGTCGGACCCCTCCGTCTCGATTTGTACGTCTATTGTCCTATTGCCTCTGCAGATGCTAAGCATTGACGCATTAGACACATCTTCTGTACTACTTGTGCAGGTACCCTTGGCCTTTCGAGTTCCACCGCTGGCGAACGTCACTGTCCGGCATGCCAGACAATCCTCATCAACCCAGATGATGTTGTGATAACTGCCTTGAACCCAACGGAGGATTACAAAACCAGTGTTTTGAGTGGGTTGGATCCAAGCACCATAATGGAATGTGCTGGACGCGCATTGCTCTTTTGGACCTACCAAACAACCCAAGAAATGTGTGTAATCCTGACCGCTGCTCGAAGCTATTGCGTATTGACGGGCAACAGCTACTACCAGGAATTTCTTGCAAAGACACTCACAGACAAGTATACAGGTTTAAATACACAAATGGATAAGGTTATTCATAATGCCAACACAGAAATTTCAACTCTACAGGCAAGGCTATCAGGTTCGTGCTGTCCTACTTGTATACCCAAACTTTTGATCTGAGTAAGGACCAGATATGCAGGCGACACATGAGCAGCTTCAAAAGAAGAACCAGGAGCTTGTTGACTTATACCGAGAAAAGTGCAAGAAGTTCTCTCAAATTACGAACCTCTATAATTTACTGAAAGCTCGGGCAATGCGGTCCCATATGCAGACAGCCGCATCGGACTCGGTTTCCCAGGCCCTGAACTCTTTAGGGGCGTCACGGAATGACCCTCCAGATTCGGAATCAAACAGACCATTGGGTCCACAGATGCCTCTGCAGACACCATCTCATCGTCAACAGTACATGTTCCCTGTTGACCAGGAGGGAGTGGAGCAATTGCACCGATATCAACGCAGCGGCACTGGGAGCTCAAAAGGGGCAAGGAAAAGAACGGATACCTCAGCAATGCCGCCTCCAAGTCTTCTAGGAAATCAAAGACATCGTGAGTATGTTGTTGTAGCTTCGATGCATTGCCTAATATTCGTATAGAGGGGATGCCCATGACTCCCAAGCACCGAACACGCCTCACAGGCCAATCACTTCCTTCCACAAGAATGCCACACCTACCACCAAATAGCGTCGTGCTTGAGCGATTCCGGGCTGAGCCTATTGCAACCGGTTCTCTTACTACTGATCATTCTTCGATAAATCGGGAAAATCCACAATCGCAAGCCCAACGGCCCTCCAGAAACGACACCTTCTTCGATAGCACGATAATATAGATTTGCAGACCATATGATGACGCAAGTGCAAGCCATGCAGGCCCTCCTTTGTTTCTATTTGCCGTTGATGCGAGCTGTTATCTTGATTCTTCTGTTCGCACTACACTTGGTGGTCAACAGTATATATAGACCCGAAATATATTATTACAGTGTTCAGCATTAAAATTCGATCAGAAGGTCGACTGTCTTCAAAAAAAATAAAATAAAAATTCAATACACTAATCATAATATTTAGAAATTTATTCATATAGAAACTAGGAAAATTAACTAAAGAAAGCGAAGTGCCAGTAGGATGCCATCCTAACCGGCGTTATAAATTGGAGCGCCTCCATTCGTCCGACGTAATCTATGCACCCGTCCACTTCGATATCAGTCAATTCAATCCCTAAAGAGCTACTCTGTCACTGGAATAAACTAACTTAAACTTATACAGGTAGCAGAAGATATAAATCGGTCAACCCAGTAACCCTAGTACAAAACCCCAAAGCATACCGCCTCCCACCCAATACACACAATCAACTTACTAGCATGTCCCACTACTAAAGCCCTAATATCAAAACAACCACCACCACAAACCAAAGCAAAGAAAAAAAGACCAGGAAAAAGAAAGACAAAACAGATCGAGATAAGATCACAAACTCAATGGCCCCTCAAATCCACACCCAAGCTCCATCCAGCTGCAAAGGCCCGTCCCGTCGGCTCCGTCTCAAGCCATCCATACCTTATTACCATTACAAAGATAGTGGTCCTCCGTCCATCCGGGACGTCCCCATCTCGGACGTGCGGAAGCTACTCACCACAGAACAGCCCGATTCCACCACACAGACCTTATCCCACGAGTTTATTCTATTTTCTGCAGGGATCGAGATCGTTGGATCATCTGGGGTTTGTCACTGAGTTTATCTCTTAGTGGTATTTTTGGATGTAGTTTATTTTGACTCCTGTTTTGGGGTTACTGTATGCATGTTGTATTTATGGGTATTGATTTTACTTCCTATACATTACTAGGCCAGATTATGATGTGCGTTTGGCGCTTTCTGGAAGAACTGCTTCTTCTTTTTCCCCATTATTCCTTTTCTTTTCTTTCCTCGTAGATTTATTGTTTCCTTGGCTTCTAATGTGAGTATTGGATTACTAGTTATGTATTCTTTGCTAGGTTTATGTAGGAACGAATAGCGTAACGTTGGTAATCGTGTCTTATTAACGACTAACATCGCAGAATCATGTATCTCATGTCCTGCAAGACCAAGTCTAAAGTTCAACTCCATACAATGGATATCCCGTCTCCTTGACCCGAGAAGCAGGTCGAGGTTTTGTCCAACTGCTCGCTCTTTGCCCACAGGAGAAAATATAAATAAAATGAAACCATATCATGCCATGCGTTCAGAAACGAAATGCACACGTAAGATTAAATTAAGTAGAATCAAAGAAAAAAAAGGGAAATTCTTTAAGCAGAGAACTCCTTGATATCGGACTTCTTGCCCAGGAGGGCAAGAGGAACGATACCACTGACGTGCATCTCAGGGCCGTAGACATGCATGTTGAGACCAAGTTCCTCACCAACGGACTTGATGTTACGGAGACCCTCCTGGTAGTTAGGACCAGCACGACGAACCCAGATCTGGACCTTGTGCTCGTTGAGGACAGGGGCGACCTCACGCAGGGCACGGATGACACCCTTGAAGGTCGAAGCAACGTTGGTGAAGTTGGCGATACCGCCACCAATGAAGAGAACCTTGCCGTCGGGGTGGATAGGAGCACGCAGCATCAGGTCGAGGACGGTGTGAGCGTAGTTGTAGGTCTGAGTCTCGGTGGGAGCACCGGAGTACTCACCGTAGTTGGCGAGCTCACTGACGAAGCCAGCGGAGGCAATGGCATCGGCGTACACGACCGAGGCACCACCACCAGCAACCAGGGTCCAGACACGGCCCTTAGGGTTGAGGACGGTGAGCTTGAGAGAGGCACCGGTCTTAGCATCCAGCTCGGCGATGAACTTCTCCTCCTTGCTCATCTCACGACCGAAAGGAGCGGGGAACTCCATGGGCGGGCCAGCGTCAATGTTGACCTTGCCCTCCTGAGGAGCAACGGCAATACCAAGGTTGGCGGGGCTACGGGCAATAGCCCACTTGGTGCCGCACTCGAACTCAGCAGTCTGGTCCAGCTTGGCAGCCAAGTCCAGGAAGTGGACCTCAGCGGAGGTGGCATCAGCGTTGGGGATGACCACGAGAGGGTTGATCTCGAGGTAGGTGAACTGGCAGTCGACATAGACGGCGTACAGACGAGAGATGAAGTCCACGAGGACATTGTGAACGCCGCTGGGCACCTTCTTCAGGAGCGTGGCAGCAATCTCCTCATTCGAAGGGTAGTTCTTCAGGTTGACAGGAATAAGAAGCTTCTCGGCCTTGGCGTCAACATCACCAACATCGACACCACCTTCGTGAGTAAAGAGGATCCAGTCACCCTGCCAAATGTTAGTCGATATCCTCTACCGTTGCCTATGGATCTACAATGCTTCTTACCTCACGCACGGAGTGGATGTTGATGTAGTACTCAGTTTCCTGAGGGTGGGGAACGAAAGGCTCAACCAGGAACTGACGGAGAACGCCAGTGACGGTCTCAACCTGGACGTCCTTAGCGGCGCGAGCCTCAATCCATTCCCTAGCCTCAGCCCAGGTCTTGTTCAGAGCAAGAAGACCGCTCTTGCCACGTCTCTTGATCAATTGGTCGGGCTTAGCGACGAACTTAGCACCGGCGGCCAACAACCACGGGTAGGTCACTTCGGCCTGATCGAGGACATCCTTGACGGCACGGTCTTCAGGGAAGTAGAGAGAGGCGAGACGAGCGGGAGGGTTGTGGGTGGAGGAAGGAGGAAGAGGAGTCGGCTTGATGACGGGGGCACGAGTGAGGTGGTAGTTGAGGATGGCCTTGCCATCAGCCTCGAGAATCGACTTGGCGGACATATTGGAGGGGTAAAGGACTAGAAAGAGATATGGAGGAGAGGATCAAGAGGGGAGTGAGGAGCTATGGAGTGATAGTATAGGGGGAATAAAAGTGTTAAGAGGAAGGGAAGTCAACCCCAGATTAAGAGTATAGAGGTGTGGGAAGTATGTGAGGATAGATTGGAGTGAGAGAGGGAAAAGTGAGGAAAGAAAACAAAATAAGTTGTTTCTGGCTTGGCAAAAATTACCAGAGAGGAGTATTGGAGGTATAGGAGGACAGTTTCAAATGGGGGGCGCAGTAAAAAGAAGGAGGGAAAAAGAGTACGTCGGGTTCGGCGATGATAATAATTTCAGCAGCTGGAAATTATTATTACTCTTCTGGATGACAAGTTGGAGGGGGAGGGGAATTTTTTTGCTGGTAAAACTGTACTCTGGCCCCTCCGGAGCAACCATACCAGCGCAATACGGGAATACCAAAACACACCAAAAAAGGCCGAGCTCGGGAGAGGTGTTGAGATACGGTGGGGATCATCAGAGGATGTGGATCACACCAGGACCCACCGTGTCAAGCGGCCTTAATTCCTACGGGTTGGGAGCTTCGCTTTCCACTCTGTTGGGGTTCTTCGGGAAGGGGTATTTAGCACGCAGTATCTGCCCTACGCTGTAGCCTCAATACTGTACGGATTAATGAATGGCAACTTCTGGCGCTCTTCGGACGGTTCCCGCCGGAAGTCGCACTTACATCGTAGATTTGATCTGTAATATTGGTTTCTCATTATCGGTTTTGTTGGGTTTTGGGTAGGTTTTGTTGGTGACCCCTCAGGAGTAGAGAGTTTGATACGTAGGAGGCAGCGTACACGTGGACCACTGTCTAATCCGGAATAATATCCAGGGACAGGGGACTGCATTCATTGAGAAGATCTACCTACAGTACTCGGTACAGTAGGCCGACTGGATGGCTATCACACAACAGGTAGAATCCGTCAAGGATTGATTTTATTGCCTAACCGCTCAGGTACCCATAGATCCCCTCAGTTCACCGCCTTTAGATAATCTTCTAGAAGGTTAGAATATTACCATGGATACAATTGAGGTGGTCTAGGTACTATCAGGATACTACACTGTACGGAGTAGTACTACCACCTTCTCTTACCTGACGTAGTTACAGATACCTGGTCATGAAGTCATAGATACTACCTTTTATTAACACCTTGAATGTAAAAGGAAATAGTCGGTTCTGATGCATCTTTATCGGAGTTGCATGATGTTTTGTCGGTGAGCATCGTCATGTGCGCTCGCTGTTAGCAGGTAGCCGAATCGAATCAGATGTTTTCTCAAGCGGCATCTTTACGTAGTAGGATGCATGCGATGGATGAGGTGTACTCGGGTTTACAGTGTACTTTGTATACTAGTGAAGGTACACTGCCATCCCTGTGCCAACAAGAAAAAAATATCAGACGTTCATCGACCCCACCTTTAGTGCCGACCAGATCATCGTACAGAATTAGTGTCTGGACCTTTAACTTTATGGAGTCGAGACCTGTTTGAAGATGGCCCGATTATCCTGCTCATTACCCTTTTTGACCGTAGTCAGTATTGTATATACGGTGTACTTCAGATCACTATCGGGGTCAGTATTATGGATACCGTGTACTTCGGGTCACCACTGGAGTCAGTCCAGTTTATACGGTGTACTTCAGATCACCGCCAGGCAGAAAAAACCAAGACTTGAGTTTGTTGAGCAATATTATTAACCTCCCCCAATTAACTAGTTAATGCCCTGCAGGTTAACTGGTCGCGTCCTCCGCACTCTATAAGCAAATACTCTGTACGCCGTCACACCAGCCCTAGCTCTTCTATTCCAACACCGTAGTTTCTCCTCTAGATGGTGCCTGTGGCTTTCCCGAATCCCGATCAACTAGACTAGATTTTCCAGTAAAAATTTCTCATCTGAAGGTTATTATTAGGACAATCCCGAAGTCCGAACTTAGCCTCAGGCCGGACTACTATTTTCCCAACTGGTCCCGCATTGCGCCCCCCGCCGTTTTCTCAAGACCGTCTAGTACCGCCCCATACCGCCCACCCATACGATTACCTGCCTGATACATACCAACCATACGCCGTACATACTTCAGACTCCGGGCTTCTGTACTTCACCTCAAAATTATTATTAGCAGCTCCATAATTTCTTTACTCCGTACCAACCCCCAATCTTAACCCGATATCGTTCCCCTCTGTTGTTATTTTTTTTTCTTCTCCCACTCCGTCTTAACTCATCGATTAATCCACTTCATTCCCCCTCCAATTCCAATTTCTCCATCCTCCTTCCTTGGTTATCGTCCTTATCCTTCCCTCCCATCTATCTTCTCCTTCCCTCCCAGGTCGCTATTACTTGTTGCGACTTACTCTCCTCTATATCATTTAACTCACCTACATACCCACCTAATAATACTTTCTTGTTTCCTTTGATTGTTTTACGTTTGGAGCTCTGTTGACAGGTATGCCTCGAAATCAGTATCGGATACTGATATCATCCATTTCCCATCCCCTTGACCTACCCTTCCCGCCAGACCTGGAATCGTGAACACCTTGCTAATGTTAACCGGATTGACAGAGTAATTAGCCATCATGTCTTCTACCGCTCCTCTTGTCAACACCGCCAATGGCGGCTCTGCCAACGACAACATCACCCGCTTCGCACCCCCCAGCCGTGTGCTTTCTCCTCTCAACCATGCCCTCTTCCACAACAAGACCAGATGCTTCGTATAGTGAGTAATTACGTCCTCTGGAGGTCAATGCCATGTATTGACTGTTATAATAGTGGTATGCAGCCCAAGGCTGTGCAGGGCATGCTCGACTTTGATTTCATCTGCAAGCGCAGCACACCCTCAGTCGCCGGTATCATCTACACTTTCGGTGGTCAATTCGTGAGCAAGATGTACTGGGGTACCAGCGAGACTTTGCTCCCTGTCTACCAGGACGTTTCCAAGGCCATGGCCAAGCACCCCGATGTTGACACTGTTGTGAACTTCGCCTCCTCCCGCTCCGTGTACACCTCTACCATGGAGTTGATGAACTGCCCCCAGATTAAGGCCATTGCCATTATTGCTGAGGGTGTCCCAGAAAGAGTAGGTCCTTTATCTCCGCCAAGCTAAACTTCGACTAACAGTGGTAATAGCGCGCTCGTGAGATCCTCGTCACTGCCAAGGAGAAGGGCATCACTATCATTGGACCCGCTACCGTTGGAGGTATCAAGCCTGGTGCTTTCAAGATTGGTAACACTGGTGGTATGATGGACAACATTGTGGCTTCCAAGCTCTACCGTAAGGGCTCTGTTGGCTACGTCTCCAAGTCCGGTGGTATGTCCAACGAATTGAACAACATTGTTTCTCAAAATACCGATGGTGTCTATGAGGGTGTTGCCATTGGTGGTGATCGTTACCCTGGTACCACTTTCATCGACCACTTGCTGCGTTACCAGAACGAGCCGGAGTGCAAGATCCTTGTGTTGCTGGGTGAAGTCGGTGGTGTCGAGGAGTACCGTGTCATCGAGGCCGTCAAGAACGGCACCATCACCAAGCCCATTGTTGCCTGGGCTATTGGTACCTGCGCCAGCATGTTCAAGACCGAGGTTCAGTTCGGTCACGCTGGTGCTTCGGCCAACTCCGACCTGGAGACCGCTGTTGCTAAGAACAAGGCCATGAGGGAGGCTGGCATCCACGTCCCCGAGACTTTTGAGGACATGCCCCAGCTGCTCAAGCAGGTCTACGACCAGGAGGTCAGCAAGGGCAACATCCAGCCTCAGCCCGAGCCTGTTCCCCCTAAGATCCCTATCGACTACTCCTGGGCCCAGAGCTCGGTCTCGTCCGTAAGCCTGCCGCCTTCATCTCCACCATCTCCGACGACCGTGGCCAGGAGCTCCTCTACGCCGGTATGCCCATCTCCGATGTCTTCAGGGAGGACATTGGTATTGGTGGTGTCATGTCTCTTCTTTGGTTCCGCCGCCGCCTTCCCCCCTATGCTAGCAAGTTCTTGGAGATGGTTCTCATGCTTACCGCTGACCACGGTCCTGCCGTGTCCGGTGCCATGAACACCATCATCACCACCCGTGCTGGCAAGGATCTGATCAGTGCTCTCGTTTCTGGTCTTCTGACCATTGGTTCTCGTTTCGGTGGTGCCCTTGACGGTGCTGCTGAGGAGTTCACCAAGGCCTTCGACAAGGGTCTGAGCCCCCGTGACTTCGTTGACACCATGAGGAAGGAGAACAAGCTCAGTATGTCCCCCTACTACCGCATCCACTACCCTTCCCAGTTGAAAACGCATCACTAACCGCACATAGTTCCTGGTATCGGTCACCGTGTCAAGTCCCGTAACAACCCCGATCTTCGTGTCGAACTGGTCAAGGAGTTCGCCAAGAAGCACTTCCCTAGCACTAAGCTGCTCGACTACGCCATCGCTGTTGAGACTGTCACCACCTCGAAGAAGGACAACCTGATTCTGAACGTCGACGGTTGCATTGCTGTTTGCTTCGTCGACCTTATGCGCAACTCCGGTGCCTTCTCCCCTGAGGAGGTCGAGGACTACATGAAGATGGGTGTCCTTAACGGTCTCTTCGTCTTGGGTCGCAGTATTGGTCTGATTGCCCACTACCTCGACCAGAAGCGCCTGCGTACCGGTCTCTACAGACATCCTTGGGACGATATCACCTACCTGCTCCCTGCCCTGCAGAAGGGTGGATCCGAAGGCCGTGTCGAGGTCAACATCTAATCTTTTATATATCCTTATTAATTTCTTACCTTTTCATTTTCTCTATATCTTTACACTCGTGGAAGTGGCCAGTGTGGGATACTGGTAATCTCATAAAATCCCGTCATGTTCTTGACGTTGGAGTTATGATGGTTTGCGTTGCATTGTTTCGATTCTTATATCATTTTATTTCACCTCACAATCTGTAGTGCGCACATGTGGCATGACTAGCTGATAGGGTTGATGAATTCTATGCAAGGGCAGAAAAGGCAGAACCTGTTTAGAAGAGTTAGAATTACGACAGCCTGATCTACAATCCAATGGGTTATAATTTCAATGATATTTTCCATACCGTTTCAAACTCCGAGTAATGTTTTCCCCTATACTTCAGGACCAGGTCCCTCGGTCTAGTTGAAAGGTATCGGCGCTTTGCCCGCTTTGCGCTTGTAAGTTGCAGGCCTGGTACGTAATATTTGAGAAAAGATAACAGAAGAAAATTCAATCCTGATGGGGTGACTTAACGATTGCCTTTCAGTCCAATTGACCAACAAAATGCCCGAGACAAAAAGGTTCCTCTGACACCCCCCCACATTGCCCTTTATCAAACTTCGGGCAGTAGTGAAACTAACCGCAATAGGCTGGACTAACTTTAAAGCTTCTGCAATTCTTGAATCGATAAAACATATCCGGACATCTACGGTTCAACTCGATCCGTCGCCAACTCCGATAATCCTCAAAACTACTTATCACAAGGGGTGCTCAGCCGCTCAAAATCGCTAATTGTCGCTCAAAAAAAAGAAAAAATTTACAAGGGAAAAACCCTCAGCACATCAGCCAACTCCACCCAACTATAGAAAAGAAAACCCGGAAAAAAGCAAAAAGGAATTCAAAATGGTCCGCGTCAAACACCGCTACCTCCTCCTGGACATCCTCTACCCAGATCCCACCTCATGGCCTCCCTCAACAACAGCGCCCAAAAATGCACCACGAAACGCACAATCCCAATTGCGGATCCACTCGCCCACATCCGACGCCCTGACGCCGAGCTTACTTGCGAAAATGGTGAGAGAGGAAGTCGCGGAGACATTTGGTGATTGGGGTGTGGGGAGACTGGGTGGTGTCACCGCTGGGGGTGTTAGTGGTACGTATAGTCCCTTCTTCTACTTTGTTAGCTCTATGCTGGCAGAGGGGTTTCCGCCGGCTTGAAATGGTGATTGATCTTGAGTTCGATTGGGACAGTTAAATATTTGTCGCCTGCAACTTCGACGGCTATCATTCGTTGTCCGCGCGCGTCATTCCGGCTTGTTTGGACAGCGCTTACTTATATGTCTCGGGTGCCGGAGTATGGGGACTCGAATCGGTCGAGGCGGTCGGATGTTCCGTTGACGAGGCCTTGTGTTTTTCGGGTTATTAGGGTTTCTGGGACGATGCGAAAGGCGGAGGAAGAGGCGATTCGGCGGGCGAGGAGGGAGATTGTGCGGTTGAGAGGCGCAGAGGAGGTTGGGGTGCTTGGGGGTTTGGTTGGCGGGCTGGAATATGGGGAGGGCTCTGGTGTTGTTGAGGATGTGATGGAGAATGATGAGGAGGATGTTAATATGGGAAGTGACGGGGAGGATTGATGGTCTTCTATAGGATGAAGGTGTTTGGTTTTTTTGGGTGCGTTCGCCGTTGTTGGCGAGGTTTTCTTTTTCATTCATCAGAGATACCCTATGATACATGTATAGTAGAGGATGGTAGAATTCATGTCATGACTTTCGTACAACCTTTACTCCGCTGTCTGGTATGAATCCCCTGCCAAGATCGTTGTACTCATCGTCGTCCTCGTAGCCGGCACTGGGTTTGGTAGCACCAGCCGCTTCGTCGCGTGTTTTGGCCTCTGCTTCCAGCTGTCGCCTTTCCTGTTCATCATGCTCGTCTTTGGCATCTAACCAGCGTTCCTGCACATCCCGAACATCCATAGTTCCTAGGCCGTCCCGAACGGCAACTTGCCAGACAGTGTCGTTTGCACCTTCAGCAGGTCCGAACACATACCCGCTTGCACGGTCAATAACATGTAACAGACTCATCATGCTCTTCTTGTCTTCGACAGCTAACGTTTCGAATCCAACGAGTCCGAAATCTTCAACGAGGTCTATAATGGCTTGATTGAGGGCCCCGAACTTATCATGCGAAAGCCGAGATGATTCCGCTTCTAGGTGCGGCAGCAAATACGAAAGGTCTTGGACTTCCGTGTAATAGTCTAGATTAAAAGGGAGCGGAGCATAGTTCGAGAGATTGTCGATCTTGGTGAGGACGTTGAGGTGGGGAAGGTCCATCTGGAGCATGGCGCGGAGGGAGAGGATGAGGGCGGATATGTACATAGAAGGTAGAGTGAGGTTATATGAATCAATTAGGTGTATTACGATTAACTAAAGCAGCAGTTAGCCCCATGTATGCCACCGCGTACCAAGAACGGAATGGGAGAGACATACTCTATATCCCATCTTTTGGAGCTTGAAGAAAATGTTTCGTAAGGAAGAGTGGTGCGTGAAGATCTCGACCTGACCTGGACAGTCAAATAGAACATAGTCATCTAACAACGACTCGCAATTCAGCATATCATACCAAATGCGCCACACCAGCTCCGACGCTTACCTTTGAGTTCCTTCATCCCCTCCTCCAACCAGTCAAAGTTCTCCTCCAGTTCTTCTAGTGCATACAATATACCGCCATTAGGACCCAGGTGATCTTCACTCATTACTTCCTCGAGCGTAACCAGGTCGCGAACATCCAGTGCACATGGGTATGACGTTTTATCATTTGCGGGGTCCAGATTCACGATCGAACATTTGCGCCCAATTGCCCCAAGAAATTGATGCATGCCATTGCAATATGTCGACTTTCCCGCGCCGGGAGGTCCTATCACTAGCTGCGCAAACGGCATGATGATCCGCCTGTGATAGAAATTCAAGGTAGTCGGAAAAGTACGTGCTATAGATAAGTTGAGAGACTTTATCGATTGCGTTCATTGACAATGGCGGGGGAGAATATTACAGGGCGGTATTATGCGGCAGAAAATGATCTGAAGGACCGAAGCTGTGATGACGCCGGCCGATCAACAACTATCTGCCGTTGCTGCTTCAATTGGCTTTTCGCAGTGACTTAGCGCAATCATGGCGTCGAGTGAGTATATTCTTCTTACGACATAAATCAAATACCTGGCTAATGCACTTGTAGACCAATTTGTTGTTGCCTCTCCACCGACCGATGCCATTTCCGCCTTGAAGTTCTCTCCCGACCCTAATTCCACACGAGTTGTTGTATCATCCTGGGACAAAAATGTGTACCTTTACGAGCTGCGCGATGAAAACGGGAATGTAGGAGAAGGCAAACTATTACAGAAATTCGAGCACCGGGCCCCGGTACTTGATGTGTGTTTCGGCGCAACCGAGGACGAGATCTACACGGCCGGCTTGGATTGGGACGTTAGGAAGTGAGTCCTGCCGCATTCTCCTTCCACAGAGAAGATACCGAGAGCTTGGAAACTGTAATTCAGTGCTAAAAATCTGCAGGATTGATGTAGCAACATCAACCCAGACCGTACTTAGCAGCCATGAAGCCGGCGTTCGAAGCGTCGTTTACAGCAAGGAACATCAACTAGTGATATCAGCATCTTGGGACTCCACATTACATGTACATCGCATTGATGCCCCGGACTCTATACCCTCGATCATTCCCCTTCCTTCCAAGCCCTTCTCCATGTCTCTCACTGCTACGAAGCTGGTCGTCGCAATGGCCTCACGCGCGTTGCATATCTATGATCTGAAGGCGCTGTCTCTCCTCACGGCTCAGTTGGATGGTACTGTTCCGAACAAGGTCGAGGTCGAGCCGTGGCAGCGGAGAGAAAGCAGTCTTAAGTTCATGACACGGTGCGTGGCATGCATGCCTGATGATGCGGGTTATGCTTCTTCGAGCATTGAGGGTCGGGTCGCTGTCGAATGGTTTGATCCTTCTCCTGAATCGCAAGCACGGAAATACGCTTTCAAGTGCCATCGCCAAACGGCTGATGATGTCGATGTTGTATACCCCGTGAACACTCTTGCATTCCACCCCGTACACGGAACCTTTGCATCCGGAGGTGGTGATGGCGTGGTTGCTCTCTGGGATGGTATTGCGAAGAGGAGAATCAGGCAGTATCAGAAGTACCAGTCTAGTGTTGCTGCCGTGGATTTCAGTGGCAATGGAAAGTACCTGGCCATTGCTGTCAGCCCAGGATTTGAAGATGGGAAAGATGACGTTGTTGAGGGGACGGTCAAGATTTATGTGCGCGAACTTGGTGAGACAGAGGCCAAGGGAAAGGGTGCGAAATAGAACTACGTAGCTTTACTATGAACATCTAATTATCACGACTGGAAATGGAATTTCAACCCTTGTCTAGGTAGACAGTGTAAGGAATCCAATTCACGCTAGCATCAAATGGTATCATTTTTAGTTCCACGTTTATGTATACATATCTAGATCGTCTCGGGAAATAAGTGGTTAGGCAGAAGCCTTCCTAACGGACACGGAGCCGTCAGGCATGCCGAAGTACGCGGCGATAGGCTTCTGACCTCCAGTACCTCCACGAACCTGTGCCTGGGGGCCAGTTTCACCGGAGAAGATACCAACATCCAAGACACCGGGAATCTGCTTGATGGCCCGAGAAAGGGCTTCGACCTCCCAAACTCCATCCTTTCCAGTGCCATCTTGTCCGGCTGCAATATCTGCTTTGGTAAGAAGGGTTTTGAACGGAGCGTCAATGATGTTGAAGGCCTGGTCGGTCTTCAAAGGGGTTGGCTTGGGTGCGCCTTCCAGGGCGGTAGGGTTCAAACGAAGAGCAGGCGAGATGCTACCAAGTCCCTTGAGTTCTCCAAGGACACGGCTGGCAGCAATGGGGGCCACCTCGATGGGTATGTATTTCCAGTTCGAAAGGAGACGAGACTGAAGTTTGCGGGAGTCTGTTTGTGGTTAGTCTTGACAAGAGGATATCTGTTCAATATCAGGTCCACTGACCAGCAACGCAGACAAATTCCTTTGCCTGGAGGGCAACAATCTTCTCCTGAAACAAACAGGCGCCGCCGCCCTTGATCAGGTTGAGGTCGTCATCGACCTCATCCGCTCCATCGAAGGCAATATCCAGCACGGTTCCTTCGGGGAGAGAGTCAAAGTCAACGGCTGTCAAGCCATTGGAGATGATGAGCTGCTTGGAAATATAGCCTGTAGGCACATATTTGGTTTGAGAGGTATCGACGCCAGACTCCTTGATGGCCTCAACAACGTAGACGATGGTGGAACCACTGCCAATGCCCACATACTTGGCATCCTTAGGATAGTGGTTCTTCACAGCAGCCTGACCGGCTGCGCGCTTTGCGGATTCGATAAGATCGGCCATTGTGGATTTAAGGCGAAAGTTTGCAGGAAAGACTGTGGGAGAGCCCGAGGAGGGACGAAAGGTACGAAGACGCAGACAAGGGTGAGTGGAGAAGGATGAGGGGGACGAGGGTCGCAATCTGTATAAATATTATTAGGCGGGCTATGCCGGAGGTTAAAGTGCTCTAGCGGCAGGAATTAACTGGGGGGAAAGAACCGCAATTGCCCTGAAGGTGGGGATTCAAAATGCGATCCCAAGGAACGTCCGGTAATCGTGACTTACACAGTAAATTGGCAGCCCCGTGGAATTACTAGGAACATGGCACAGCAATTGAGGCTCAATGGATATATAATACTTGTACAAAACACACCTAATGACAACGTCCATGCGAATTGCAGAGTTTATGTTGATTGTCGCAATAGTAAAAGTGCAGTGGGGTGGGGTTGTGTCGTCATAGTACTTTAGACGGCCTCAGGCACGGCATAAGCTGTCAGCGGTTAGGATTACCCAGTACAGTAATCCAGACTTGACCACCGGTGTAGTTAGAAAAAAGGCCAGCGTGACCCGGAGGCCAGAATAGATTTACTACCGGCACAGTTGAACTGGGTAAGAAAATAGAGATCTCATCTTTTTAATTAAAAAAGTATTACAACTTCAACTCTGAGTATACGAGAGTCCAGACAGACTAAGAGAATATATTAACTGTAGAATACAGTTGCTATATCAAGCTAGCTGACTTTCAAATCGAAATCGATTAGGAATTGTGCATCCAATCTGGAAGGGTTATTCCATTGGATGGATCATTGATGCTTTCAATATCAAACCCCTTCTGGCGAATCGAGGGTAAACAACGGTAAAGTACCTCACACGTGCGGGAAATGCTAGCCAGATCTGTCCATGCATGAGGCCAGTTGCCCCTCAATCGCGGCCTTCGATATTACAAAGCTATAATACGTATAAGTTCAACTATCGGGTCAGTTTTATCCTACTAGGGCTTTTCTCTGCGCCAATAGGACAAGAGCACTCCACCAATCACTTTGGCATGACGTTGACACCGAATGTTCAATGGGTATTTTGGCCCCATAGGCATATAGCCTAAGTATCCATAGACCTAGGGAGCCCATTCTCCATATTGAAAGGTGAGAATAGCTCATAACATCTCCTAGGGTCGCCTGTTGTGATACATGCGACAAGAAACGTGTCGTCAGCAGCTATTCATGAAAATCCTTTAGGGAAGACTGAATAAATTTATTGGCTGTTCGATCTTGGGGTTCGTATGTGAAATTTTGGTCATGGCTGTTTCGAAATCGATCGCCCGTTGGTTTCTGAACGCTCTGAGTCTGTTGAGAAATTGACATGGCCGGAGATGTTTGCTTGTCCATGCTCAGAAGCATCACTTGAGAGTCTGCTTCACCCAACCTTCTTCATGTTTAGAGATGCGTCTCTCTGTACGGGACAGATGCCGATCCCGGGGATGCTGCTAGTTCAAGCAATTGATGGGAAAGGACGGAAAATTGATTATTTTTTCTCGTTTTATTTAACTAGCTTCCCAATAGAATGATTGCAATAGAAGGGAGGGAAGGGAGGATCAGTTGTGTGCCCGGCGGTCAACTTGGCGGTCCCTATTTCTGCCAGCCAGTAGTGTGTCGGAGCTCCAGGAACGCATCTTGCCCCTCCAACTCCACCCACGCTCCCGGGTGTTAGCTACCCGTCACGTGGGCATGCAGCGTCTACTACGGATTACTGCAGAATCATTGTCAACAACCACTACGGGCTTTCAACAATTGTCAGATGCTTGACATTCTATCCCATGTCCGAGGCAGTACTAGCATTCTGGTTGTACTAGTCACTTGATAGCGTCTCTCCGCTACTCTCCGCTATTCTCACCTATTCCTCACCATTCCTCTTTCACTTCCCCGCCCTCATGACTGATGCTTTTCCTAGTGCCCTGACTGGGCCATCATCAAAAGAAAGAAAATATGATCGGCAACTGCGGTTATGGGCTGCAAGTGGCCAAAAGGCTCTAGAGGAGTCTCGTGTACTGTTGGTCAACTCTGATGGCCCATGGAGCAACCAGAGCACTGGTGTATCAGGTGTAGTAGGTGTCGAAACACTGAAGAACCTTGTTCTTCCTGGAATTGGAGGGTTTACTATCGTGGATCCTGCTACTGTCACTGAGGCGGACCTTGGAGTTAATTTCTTCCTTGAAGAACAGAGCCTGGGGAAGCCCAGGGCCGCAGAGACCTGCCGATTGCTAAAAGAATTGAACCCAGACGTAGAAGGGAGCTTCCAATCAAAGGTATGGGATAGGGAGATCTGTCTTTCAGTAGCTTTATATGCTGATACATTCTCTTCAGTCAATTACGGAACTTCTGAGACAGGATCCAGAATTCCTCGCACAGCATAGACTGGTGTTAGTTTCTGGTCCTATGAAGCGATCCTCTTTAGATGCTCTTTGCAAGGCTGCCAATGAGCTAAACATTCCAGTCTTGTATACACGCTCTGTTGGATTCTACTCCACTTTCTCGCTCCAACTACCGCCCTTGTTTCCTATAGTAGAGACCCATCCAGACCCGGAGACAACACAGGATCTTCGTCTGCTCAACCCTTGGCCAGAGTTGGTAGAAGCTGCTTCTCGAATTAGTGATCTGGAGACCTTGGATGATCACCAACACGGTCATGTTCCATACCTATTACTACTTCTCCACTACCTTGAGAAATGGAAGGAGGCACACAACGGCAACGTTCCATCTAATTACAAGGACAAGTCTGAGTTTAGAGAGATGGTGCGCTCTAGCGCAAGAACAAGTAATTCTGAAGGCGGCGAAGAGAACTATGATGAGGCTGTTGCGGCAGTATTGAAATCGTTGAACCCCTTTAGCTTACGCAGCTCGACTCGCGAGATCTTTGAGATGGACGAATGCAAAACCCCCCGAGCCGACTCGGCTGATTTCTGGATTATCGCATCTGCAGTTCAGGAGTTCTTCCAGCAGCATAATGTGCTGCCTCTGCCCGGCCCGCTGCCCGATATGAAAGCCCAGTCAGCAGACTATGTCTCTCTTCAGAACATCTACAAGTCGAAGGCGAAGAAAGATGTAGAGGAAGTCACAAATATAGTCAGAAGAATCGAGTCCCAGATAGGATCTCGGTCAGGTGAGGTCCTAGAGAAGGATATCGAAATATTTTGCAAGAATGCCGCTCACATCAAGGTTATTCGTGGACGCAATATCCCTGAAGTTGATGGCGAAGTACAGACTCTTAAGGCCATCCGCAACAATATAAGCATACCTGACTCTCTAATCCCTGTCTTCGTTGCCTTCCAAGTCCTGGACAACGTTGTTACCGACCTCCAAGAAGGAAAACTCCCCAGTGGATCGATTGATGACGAGGTGGCGTGGGACACTCAGATTGATCGTGTGCTCTCTGCACTCACGACCGACGACCAATCTGCAGTTGATCAAGATGCTCGGGAGCACATTTTGGAAGCCACCCAAGAACTACGCCGGACAGAAGGCGGCGAGCTGCATAACATCTCGTCTCTTACTGGTGGCTTGGTCGCGCAGGAGGCACTCAAGGTTATCACAAGGCAGTATATACCGTTGGATAACACATGCATTTTCGATGGAGTGCGAAGCCGTAGCGAGATGTATACGTTGTGATGCGGTTTTGCACTGGGCAGCTATGGCAGAGTTCGTCTAAGGAGTGCAACCATTATTAAATGAAATTATGAATTGGAATATTCTTCTCCCACTAGTAGTTCCTCTGATGAGGCCTTTTCCGACACCTAAACTGTCATAAACTCGCTCCTAGTCTACTTTATGGATATTACCTGTGTCGCGGCGTACGCGGACTTTGGTTATGTCGTCCTCAGGCTGAGAATGTCTATTGAAGTTCTCATCAGATTGAAGTCTAGGCCTCACTGACTGTGCGAGAGAGGAAATTGCGCACTTCCGGGAGATGAAAGAAGTATAAAGTTAACTATAGCAAATGCCAAATACTATATTCTTGGTTACTGGCATTTCATGGTTTGCAATATAGACCTATGGGGTTGGAAGACGCGTGCTAAATCACCGGAGAATATGGGAATTGCAGTTGCATATTCATAGGTGTATCTATACAAACCAGATATCAAGTCATATCCAAACTTCCGAAGAGCATTCACTATACATTCATATCATCATGTGTCCTTTAAGATATCCCTAGCTGATCTCCCATCCTCTTCCAGTGGAGCCCCACTAAGCCCATTCTCCAGAATTTGCGGGTGCCTGGCCAATCTATACGTTAGCTACAGGACTTCTAACCAAGGTAATTTAGATATGGAGTCCTTACCTCCTGATGTAAAATTCAATTCCCAGCATTGAAACAATACTTCCGGCTGCCCAAGCAGCCGACAACGGGAATCCAATAGGATACCGCGGACTATCTGACGTTCTCCAAATACGAAGTGGAATTGTCGCATGGCCAACGTCTTTTTTTGAATAAAGATTAGCAAGGCCCAATCACAGTATTCAGTGGCATCAAGGAAGGAAAAAAGGAGGAAGGATAAAAACACAGTACTCGGTGGGTTAAACATACACACAAGCGTAACAGTTAGGGCTACGAGGATTGATCGGACTTCGGGCTCTTTGCGAAGGATCTCGCCAATCCAAGCTAGTAGTGCATACCTAACAGATAGTTTTAGCTTAACAGGATGCGTAATCTGGGAAGTAGAAGAGCAGGACATACCCCCACCCACTGGTAGCAAAGGTCATGAAGTAGAAGGCCATGACTGTCGGCGTGGAGTCGGGCCAGGCAGATAAGACAGAACAGCAGAGGACTTGCAGCAGCTTTGGTAGTGTTAGACAATCTGCGGATAAAAAGGCTATTATAATGTATAACTCAGTGTGTAAGTCTACCTACCGCTGTAGAGACGGCCACTTGCCATCGCCATTGCTTCTTGTCACTCAGATAATTGAGACCGACATTGGTGACGATTGAGATTGCGTATCCGCCCAAGGGGATGAGGTTGACAGTGTACGTGCTGCTTTCGTTAAAAGATTATCTTCACAGCTAATGATGGCATAATGTAGCTTACCTATATAGCTGTTCACCATTATCATTTTTTAGGCCCTATCACAGATCAGCATTTAACTTTGCCACCATCACAAGTAAGAGAGATATACCTTAAGGTATAGCAAGAAATATGAGTTGCACCTCTGACTCCATGCATATTGAAGATATGCAGCTATATAGAGCCAGCTCAATGGGGTTTTCAGGAGAGCACGAATCTTCTCCAGAACAACTTGCCGATTGACAAGCTCATTCGTCTTAATCCCATGGCTCGCCATGCGGTCTACAGCAATTATGCGTTCGCGCTTTGTTAACCACAACGCCCGGGTGATACTGGGAGAATCGGGGATAATGAACAGGCCAAGCATGCCCCATGCCATCGTTATACAACCCGTGACTATGAACAGCCATTGCCATCCTTGTAGTCCGCCTGCGCCATCTAGGTTCTTGTATAAGGCTGCCTGTAAAATCCCAAGGAACATATTGCCTGCCGTGCCACTGACACCGAAGATTGCCAGGCGTGTTCCCAGCTCCTGGGGAGTATCTAGAGTTCTTCTTAGTCTGAAACAGGTATACGAATGCGATATCCTTGAACATACACCAGTTGAAGAGTAGACTGGCAAGGCCCGGCCAAGAGGTCTGCCCTTTTCAGTGTCCATATCTCTACCTTAAAATGGTAGGGTGGTACTTACGGACTCGAAAACCCCCAAAAAGAATCTCAATGCATATACTGTTTTTGCATTCTTTGCGGCAAATGTACTGCTATGAGCATTAGCATGCTTTAGAAAGCTTAGAGGAGAGAGTCTTACGCCAGATTTAATGCACCCCAAATAATTTCGCAGGTTGGCAGCCATATAGATGGCCTAATCTTCGTTTGCGTCAGCTGCGACGGCACGATTGCTATAGCGTATCCGATAGAAAAGAAGGTTGTGAATTCCACGAGTTCATTGCCATAAAGACCGAGGGACTCCTTCATCCCTGAAACATATGCCTGGGTAGTTGCAGACTGGTCCATGTCCTGCAGTTCATCCGGTTAGTAAAACATTTGTTCGGATTATGCTGAGCACCAAGGGAAACCGACCTTGGTCAAACCAGAAACAAATGCCCATGTCAACAGCAGGAAATCAATTTTAAGAACCACCAGACGCTCTCTGTCAGTACAGAGTTTTGATAAAATTGAGTTTTCCCATACTTGGCTTTCTGCATCGCGTGGACTCTCATCATTCGAAGGGCGTTGTTCAATAACCACACTGTTTTTGGTCGTCGCCATCCTTCAACTGGGTATATAAGCCTTTAGCATGGTACGTCGTTCCCAGTTGGAATAGTATTCCTTTATCGGAGACAGAAGGTTTATATGCTGGAAGGAATCACTCATTTGTCTATGGCGCGATAGTTATCATCGATGGCCTGCGACGTTGGCCTGTAGCCAAGTGGTTTAATCCAAAGTCTGATTGGACTTTCGCAAAGGACCAAAGATTCAAGATGGCCAAGAATCGGAAGTTAGAAATTAACATGCACGTCCTCTTTTAGTGTTGGAGGAGCTTGCGTCTCTGCAATACAGCGTATGTGAATGGGTGTTGATGGTGTATTTCTTGGCTTGAAAGGCATCATCATGTCATATCATTGAATCATTTTGGCACAAGTTCTAAGGCTGTGACCACAATAGGTAATTTTTTTCGGGACTCCTCCGGTCTTGGTTTTATTAGATCCCTTCGGAAGCAACAAGGATTTGACTGGGGTCATAGAGAATGGAGGGGTATAATTGTTGCCATTCTTAGGAATTGTTTAGCCCTCACCACTAGTGGCGCCCCAGCATGTAACCGTCTATATAACCTGGTCCCAGCCCGATCGGCATAGACTGTAACATCAAGTTTTGCTACTATTTTCTAGTAGCAAAATCTGTAATACCAATGTCTAATAGATCTTAGATATCATGCCTAATAACGATTCTGCCCCTCTCTACCCCGCTTACCTCCCTGTCCGTCCGGAAGGGTTCACTCCAACTCTGAGGGTTCCACTCCAGGATATTCCCGAAGCAGGATGTCGCGCAGATCCCTCCTTACCAGATATCTATACTAAAGACAGCCAGCTTAAGAACATAACCCCACGTATTGGAACGGAAATACGAGGAGTGCAGCTCAGTCAATTAAGTACGGAAGGCTTGGATCAGCTAGCACTGTTGGCTGCTCAGAGAGGCGTACTCGTTTTTGTATGGTGACCTAACTTCAGCCATTCCATGATATGGGCTCGTCACTCTTTCTACCAACCGAATACTAACTAACGAGCGGTGCAGAGAGACCAAGATTTTGCCAACATTGGGACAGGCCGACAGCGGGATATCGCAGCTCATTATGGACCCCTCCATCAGGTTGGCCTATGATAAGCCTCGTAAAGACGTGCAATTCACATAGACTAATGCCCTAGTTGCATAGCATCCGACAATGGGATACCCACAAGGAACCAGTCCTGAGTTTCAGGTCGTGTACGCAGATGAAAAAGTGTATGAAAGTCTACCCTCCGCACCGTATCTCCCGCCAGCTAATGGACTTCTAGTGGAAATCTTCGCACTTTGCTTGGAAGACGTACAAGCTATGATCTTTGGCACATCGACCAGACATTCACGCCCAATACACCCGGAGTAACATTCTTCTGGGTTCTTGAGACACCTGCGTCTGGCGGCGGAGATACCGCATTCACATCACTGACAGCCGCCTATCAAGCGCTCTCGTCCACGTTTCGTGAAGGTCTACATCCGTTGAAACTCCTACACACCAGTGCCAGTGTGGGGGAGGTTGCGCGTATTGGGCAGGAAAGAGCACTGAAGGAGGCAGTACAAACTGAACATCCGCTTGTTATCGAGCATCCTGTCACCCATGAGTCTGCGTTATTTGTGAACCCGACCATTGCAAGACAGGTCGTTGGGTACAAGCCAGAGGAGTCGGAAAACCTACTAACATTTTTGCATAATCATATTCGGTCATTGGATTTCAGTTGTCGGGTTTCATGGGAGAAAGGGACTGTTGTCGTATGGGATCAAGTGCGTACCGCAGCTTCATACATCAGCGTGAAGACTTTGCTAACCTGTGTATTAGAGAGCAGTTGCACACTCAGCTGTGCCAGACTTCGAGGATGGTGACCGCCGGCATATGGTTAGAATCATCGCATATGGCAGTCAACCCCAGGCAGTTTCCGTGCACAAAACCTAGAAGAACGCCGCGTAGTTCTATACAATATGCGAGCCTATCCGGCGAGGTGAACGTACCAAGTAATGAGGCGAAGAAAATACCAGTATACATGTATCTCAGAAGTCTGAAAAGAAAAGTCTCCAAGTGGTTCCAATCTCGATTACTCAATCTTTTACTGTTCCTCTCAGAAAATCTGCAACCTCACCCTGTCTTGTCAATATCTTTACTATCCTAAGTGATCACTTCCTACTATCTGCCACCCATACCCTTTGACATTCGTAATGTATCCTACATTCCTACAATAGCTCGATGATATTCTAAGATCTCTCACTTTCTCTCTTCCACTAGATCATCTTCACTTCACCTATGATATACCTAACCTGGACTACATATTTCTTTTACACTAACTTTATCTGCAACCCTTTCCCACGGTCTTAATCGATTATTCAACCATTTTATGCATTTCAATATTCAAAAACACCATACATTCTATCGTACTTGACCACAGATTTTTTCAAATCCCTCAGTTCGTCTCATTCCTCAATCTTACATGACAGATATCCCCGAGAATTATATTTTAACTGTCACAGCATTCATGCAGTATTCTATATCTATCACTGCCCTCCCCTGTCTACTTGATCAATTCTCCATTACTGTGACTGATACACCGACACTGTTTTAGTTTACCGGATTTCGAACTTATACCATGACGTCTGACACGGATTCCGATCATGACCTTGGCCATGTCGAACATGGTAAGAAAAAGCACATTCGTTACTTTTCCATATGCTAACAAAATCTGTAGAGAAAGACGACGGAGTCCCCGAAAAGCTCACTCCAGGAAGAGGAAAAATGTGGCTCCAAAAGATCCTCAAGCTTGAGACTCATAGTGAATGGTTTGAGTGGCTAAGGAGTCCATTAGTTGCCCCCTGGTGGAAAGAGCTATATAGCGACTGTCTATCCAGGCCAAAGTCAGGAAAGCCCGCCAGAGTCCGTTACAAAGTGGTGTTAGAAAGGCTAGCTCGCGGGGAGGCAAACGGACAAACGAGATATAGCGCGCGATTTCCTGAGAAGGATGAATGGGACCTTGCTGACCATCTAGCACGCTTTGTGTGTATGGTTAAGACTGAGAACTTTAGGTCTAATCAGGGCGTTTTCTTCAGGCAAAACTTTCCCGAGTCATCCATGGAAGCCATCGCCTGCGCCCTTCTGAGCTACTTGAGGAGCACCAATGGAAATTCTATATTAGGCAAGCGTCCATATTATAAGATGTCCAAAGAAGGGCCGTTATCTTGCGTGGATCTAGAAGCAGACGGGCAGGAATCGGATCAGCTAAGCGCCGAAGAGCCTGAGCTGATAGATATTATGATAGATAAGTGGCGCGAGGAGATGCTTCATCCAAGAGAGCGGATTGTCTTGACCAGATGTTCTCCAGATTACAATCCACAGGAAAAGTACTGGCAGTTCCAACTAATTTCCGAAGCCCTAAAGAGAGCTGAGACGCCGTCTGTGGATGAGCAGATTGAAAATTTAGGAGAGCTACTAACCAACCAGAACGCCACTTGGGAACCTACTCTGGACCATTCTGTTGATGGTTTAGATCCGTTAGTGAACAGCCAGACTGATCATTTTGATCCAGTGAAAATAGAAAAGACGGCAGACCTAGAAGCAAGTATGGCTGCAGAGATTGACACGAGTGACTTTGAGTCCTCCATGTTGATCATTCCAACAGAAGAATCATTGGAGCAATTTGAAAAGCATCGAAAGATTCTAGACAATCCCGAATATCAGGTAGACAATCATGAACAGGCCTGTCAGATTCTCAAATTCGCAAATCCTAGGGCACCACGAATGAGATCCATGAACCGATCAGCTGTTCTAAAGTTCTGGCAGCCGGTTGCCATAGCCCGTTTGCTTGATATTCGTGCAAATACTAAGGTTCGAGGTGCTATCCTTGGTGACTCTGTGGGGCTAGGAAAGACGTGGGAGGCTATTGCCGTAATGCTCAAGGTCTGCACTGCCCCAAACATGTTCAGTTAATAAGCTAATCAACGAATAACCATCCATATAGATATGGGAAGATTATAACCAATCTGTTAAACAGGCAATGAGTGAAGGAAAGGGACTCCCGGCAGGTAAACCATTTTTGGTCGTCTTGCCTCCGTCACTCATCATGCAATGGTGTGCAGAGATCACTCGGGTTACAGACAAACTGCGAGTTGTGTTGTATTATGGCAACAAGTCATCTAAAGAGGGCATACAGTCACTGAATACTATACTGCATAAAGAACATGAGCTGTTTGATGGTTCACCAGTCAATGGTCGGACAGTGGTTATTACTTCTTATCAAACACTGAGCAACCGCCATGGGCCCGCCGCCGTGAAGGTATGGTGTAGAAAAACAGGTCAGAAGTATATGGAGGATAAACCAACTTCACCACGGGATTTTCCGCAGCTCCTGGAAGGGTGCTTTTCAGATGTGATAATTGATGAGGGGCACACACTTCGAAATTCGGATACCTCACAGTCCAGGGTGGTCTACTGGTTAAAGGCGAACTTCTATCTACTATTGACTGCCACTCCTATTTACAACTCTCGTGAAGACATGCGCGGATATATCCCACTACTGTTTAAGCCACCCTCTCAAGCGGATAAGGATACGTTGAAGAAGTTAGGGAGAGACATTTTCAAACTGCCCTCTGAGAACCCTGCAAGATACGTTTGCTGCACGAAAGAGGCAGTGGAAGATTACATTCTTGACCATAAAGTGCCTCCAATGGAGGCAGGGGAGCGCTTACGTGTCATATTTGGCCAGATCATGGTTAGAAGAACATTAACATCTCGTTTGGAGTCATTCGGTTCAAGGATGATAGGGAGCGATATACCGCCAACCCATCGCAGACTCTGCACTGTGGTATACAGCCAAGAGGAGCAGGATATGTATGCTAGACTTTCTGCTATTTATGTCGATGGACTTTTCATGAGGCATCCGAAGGATCCCGCTAAAGTAGTTTGGAACATGTCTAAACTTCGCAAGCTTTGTCTTTTAACCTCATGGCTAGGTTTCGAATATCTCGAGCATACGCTCTACGCACCCAATATACCTATGGCCTGCAGGAAATTGAAAGAGGGGACTCTTGGAACTATCTTCGCACGAGCCATAGTGGGGCAACTGAATACTCAACCCCAAAAGTCTATCTACCAGAGCATCGAATCGATAGTTGATGCACGGAGAACTTGGGTTCTTGAATTTCTCCTAAAGGGTTCGCCCAAAATGAGGGCTATGCTTCCCGTCTTGCGTGATCAGGTAATTGTTCATGGCGAAAAGGCAATGGTTTGGACCCAGTTTCCTGCTGAGCAGATCTATGTTGCAGCCATTCTCAAAGAGGCCCATATTGATGCGGAGGTTTTCCATGCTGGACTGACTCGTGATGAGAGGATGGCCCTCGTCGAGCGGTTTACACAGAAACACGATGAATGCATGGTATTGATATCTGCATATAATGTCAATGCTGCTGGCATTAATCTACAAAATCTCTGCCGCAACGTTCATCTCCTCTCGGTAGGCTTGTCCAAGTCGGTAGTTAACCAGGCTATTGGAAGAGTAAGTCGACTCGGCCAGGAGCGTATGACATTCGTCTATGAGTATCGACTTCAGTCCTCCTTTGACCAAGAACTTGTTTCCCGCAGTGAATGGAAAGCCCTTCCCGGTTTAGTCGCAGACCTTGGTGAGGGTTTCAATTTCCCTTCAATTTCGAAAGGTGCAAAAGGCCTACTCAACCGATGGGTGCTACGAGCTGGAGAGTTGTATCAACTTGCATCTGGCGAGCCTGTGAGAAAGGAAGACATCACGGAGAGTAGGTTTATTCTCCAGAAGTTAATGAGATCTATGGAAGACACTATCTAGTTTCTTGGTTTTCTCTCTTTTTCTTTTTCGGTAGTTTATGATGATATTGGCACGGATGGGGAGCCCGGAGAGCTAGCAAGACTCGTTTGTACCCCACAACTAGAAAAAGGGTCAAAAAAGTATCTTGTTACTTGATCAGGTGCTGGGGCATAAAGAAATTCGGGGGTCTAGTTTTGAGAATGCCAAACATGGACTTTTGGAGATACTACCTCGTTGATTTAGTGCAATTTGAATATCTTTGCGTATTTTAATGAAACTTTCTCTTCAAGAGAGATGCTATGACTGACAATTGGATATCGAGCCTCATCGACTTAAGTGTACTCCGTACTCCTCCGTCGCCTTGGCGTTCGTCAACTACACCGAGGCACGTGCGGAACCAGCAGATTCTCCCAGGTTGGATTAGCGCCGGACTTAGGGAGTTGACAACAACTAAAGGGAAATGCGACCTATCTTCAATGCTTTCGCTGACATCTAGGCTCATGTTTTAGGACATGATGCACTCAAGATTTCCGTCACTTTGATACCATTATTCACTCGGATAACCTCATCCTACCGCGACCGGTTGATCTCGCCGCGAATGTCTTGTACTTGAAGCCTGAACACTCCGGATCTAGCCCAGCAGGCCGGCAAGTGCCGTCCAACCAAGCAGCCAGCCATGTCTGCCTTGCAAGGGACAGTGAATGCACCGGTGACTACAACCACTGTGCAATCTCTAAATACAACGATCCCGGCTGCCGCTACCTCTGTACTATCCTCGTCCGCGCGCGAACTGCTCGCCGCCCCGTTCCGTCGTTTCTCCGCACTCTCGTCTCATGTCAACCGGCTAGTGGGGTTATCGAGTATGACAACATATTTGGGGGCCTCAGAAGTGGCAGGACCAGCAGGAGGTGCAGTGATAGAAGCGACACAGACAGCAGCGGATGCTGCCAGAGAAGGCATCGTTGAAGCCGCCGCGCAGGCCGACTCGAGTTACCATCTCACCGACATATTCCAGGCTGTTATAAAGTTCAGTGGTTTCTTTTCCTACTTGACTAGTCGATGGTCTTTGGCTTGCTTCACCGTGGTAAAGTTCTACCTGCCAGATAGTTCCCATGACGTTCCTGCCCTAATATATCAAAGGCCCTTATTCTAAACAGGATCACCATATATGCGTCTACCCGGCGACACCTCCATCTTGATTGGAGCCGACGACTAGCTTTACGAATTATACCGATCCTTCTCTTTATATCTCAGATCCACTCGCTACTCCGCGCGATCCGTTGCCAGACGTCGACCGAGTACTCACTCATTCGGTACGGCACTCCCGGGAAACGTTTGTTGTTTGATCATGCTGGGGGTGGAGGGTTTCTGTATTCGCTCGGCTCCGCGCTTTTGCCATGGGAGACAGATGAGCAGTCTTGCAGTGCAATGAACATGGACCGGCCCGCTAGTTCCTCAGATATCTCCTATGGATCGTTTGTGCTTCTCTGGCCGGTGTTCCTCCGGCTGTGCCTAAGTCACTTTGTAGAAACACTTTCGTGCGCGCTACAGGGAAGGGCAGTGGTTACAGAGGCTGGGATGTCTATTTTCGAGCACTCTCTTGCATTTGCCGAGGCGGAGTCTACAATCAGCCAAACTCTTGGGCTAGGACTGTTTGGTCTACCCAAGCAAAGTACTAGCAAAGATAACTTGGAGGAAGGTGCCCAATCCACCCTTCATCTACTGAGTAGGACTCAAGTTCTCGAGCGGATGAATGTGACTCCAGAGTTACTTCTGATCGCTTTGATATCATGTTGCAATAGTCTCACCTCGAACGTCCTAGATGTGTTTGGGAAACAGAGCCGGTACCGATTATTCAATACGGCGTTCTGGGGCCTTTGCTTCATGTCTACCATGGCGTGGGGCTTGCTGAAAGGCTCGTCTGTGGGAAGTGAGAACGTGGTCCTCAAATTTCCCACAGTTTGTATCGTGGGATTCGTACCACATCTGCTAATCCTATCGGGCATTATCACATGTGCTGTGATCTATATGCTTGCTCTCCTCGTCACAGCTTTCTCCCTTCCTGTCGATACTCCTCAGCCATTGTCGCTTCGAGAGAGATTCACGTTGGCACATGAGAATATGCAGGGCGCTACCCAGCTCCACAATATTCGATTCAATAGACACGAAGACTTCTATACCACTCTGTTGAGAATTGGATACACCGCCCTGACTGCAGCCAGTGAGGCGGTGTTTCTGAACGAAGGCAAAGGAGTTGTTGCTCGAAGTATGACATGGCTAGAAGAAGATAGGTTGGCAGAGATCGAATCGTCACGAGAAAAGCGATCTTTCCGGGACCCTGTCAGTCATACGAGCGATGTTCCTTTCGGCGGTGGTGAATCTGTGGATTTTGATATACCAGAAGCGCCTTCCGATTGGGAAAGCGGATATGGCCGGGAGAAGAAGATCGAGAGGCCCAAGAATGGATCCAGATCCCTGCGAACTCAGACAGACCCAGGTGGTGTTGGAGCTTTCCGGGGCATGGTCCGGTGCTACCATGGCTTTGCTTTCTTTCGTGGAATTTCCTATCTCCTCCTTAGATGGACTGCTTTTGGCTTGGACAAGCTGTTGAGCAAGGTGGGAATTAGTGCCCGGCCGCAATGGCTAAAATCAATAGTAAGACCACGTAAGAGTCGACCTCAGGGGCTGAAGACCAAAGAAGCGGCGTCCCTCGATTTCTGGATCTTGACAGATTCTGGCGAGTTGGTGCTACCAGCGGACTACGAGTTCGATGTAGAAACAGAAATGAGGAAGCGGGAACGATCAGGTGCAACGCTTTGGGAACAGTCGGATGAGCAGCGACTTGATGACAAGCTTTACGGCTGGTGGAAGGCTGGAGGCTCATGGGGTGACCGGGACTTGAGCTCAGACTACTCACCTCCCGAAAACGACAATGATGACACGACCAGTGTCGTCTCAATGTCCACGACCACAGACTCTGAATGGGAGGACGAATCGGACGGCCGCCGTACGCCCACCCGCGACAATCCTTTCCCTTCGGGTTTCTCCCGCGAAAGCACTACCGTACAAGAATCAATGATGGATATTGGTTCCTTCGCGCGCTTGCTCGATCCGCGTGATCAGGAAAGCAGGCAGGAAGCACGCATCCTAGCTGCTCATCTCGCTGCCGGTCAAGAAGGTCGTATACTGACTCGACGTCGCTTTCAACAACAGATAGAGCATGAAAGGGCACAGGTATTATTGTCATCTCGATTGTCGCGGGAAATAAGACCCGAGAAACGAAAACCTACTATGGAAGAGGAGAGTGAGATACTTGAGAAACTTATCCTCTCCCGACGCTCAAGCGCTTCCGTCCGTGCTGACGAGCAGTCGTGGGAATCTGGCGCCTCGGGATTGGGGCCAAGCGGGCCACCGTGTGTTATCTGCCAGACAAACCCACGTTCAGTCATTACATGGCCATGCCGATGCCTCTGCGTTTGCGAAGAGTGTAGGGTGAGCCTCGCGATGAACAATTTTGGTAGTTGTGTGACTTGCCGCCAGGACGTTGGAGGATTTGTGCGGCTATGGGTGCCATAGACTTCTTCTTTACCAATTCAATTTTATTACTTTTTTAATGTTTTTCTACGGCGGCGTTACCCTAATGGGCATACCAATGCATATATTACTACATGATCATCACTTTTTCTCGTTCTAATTTTAGTTTTCATATAGAATTTGCTATCTTCCCATATCCGATTACACTTAAAGAGTACAAAAGGAATAGTACTACCCCATATCATCCAATGTGGTTTAAGATTAACCAAATCTGTTTCTGTATCAACAAAAGATAGGTAGAAAGTAAGCCAGAGAGCAACAAAAGGAAACAATTCCCGCATTAAAGAACCAAAAGCCGAGGCAGAAGGTAAAAAAACAGGTAAGACAATCATTAAAATTATATTATTACAAATCCCAAGCCTTAGTCAACATACTAACATTCAATCCTTGCAGGGACGACAATCATTGGGATGCACATCCCTTCCTTCGAAGGGTAACATCAACCCCAACTAAAGGAATCAAAGGTGGTAATACGCAGCCACGGCAGCGACAGCCATACCGATAAAGCCCCCCGTGACTTGTGCTGCTCCATTCGTCTTGAGAGGCGGGGTAGCTGAGCTGGTCGTAGCTGTGCCCGAAGGCGAAGCACCGCCAGTGCGAGTGGATGCTCCTGGGGACGAGGAGACATGGGAAGAGCTAGCGGCCGAAGACGAGGGCTTAGGGCTAGAAGATACATGTGTGGAGACGGTGGGGATGGTCATGGATCCTGTGGGTGATGCCCTTGTGCCTGTGCTTGTTGTCGTTGCTGTTGTGGTGGTGGTTGCTTGTGGGGTACTTGAGGCTCCTGGGTTGGGGACGCTGATGGGATGGCCAGCTGAGGAGCATGCGGAAACAACGACCCTAGAGACAGCTTTGAAAAGAGTTATTCTGTTAGTTCCCGGGCTTAAATGGGTAGTCGAGTTAGTGGAAGACGTACAAGATTGCTCGGCGAGAGGGCAGGCTTTTGCGACGCATGGAGTCACTTTCGGGACGAGCTCGGGTTTCTGGCAGTGGCAGGCGAAATCGGCTATGGATGGGCATCCATCACCTTGCAGAGCGGTGACGAGACACGACACCTGTAGGATTGGTCAGTGTTGCTCAGTGGTTGTGATAGAGGGATGGTGGCCTTTACTGCGCAAGCTGGAATGTTGGGGAGGTTCTGGGCGACGGCCAAACTGACAAACAGGACGATCAAGTGGTGAAAGAGCTGCATTGTAGCGATTTAGAGGTTCTTGTCAAGAGGAAAGAAGGGATGTTGGAACGATATCAAAACGAGTGTCGATATTTAACGAGCGGTGACGAAGACAAGAGTTACATCTCTCGGGAGAAATGGGCGTCTTTTTATAATCCATGAGGGGAACGTTTCACCAGATTCAGGGAATTGCATCACATGCTTATTAGCTTTAAGATTAGAGCTTGTTCCATTACAAGCTTCTCTGGTCAGGACGGTGCAATTCTTCTGGTTGGGAAAGGTCTACCCAATCGTTCCTGGACTGTCACGCCATGTGACATGCAACACGAACCCTACATGAGTTCATTCTCCGGTACAACTGGGGAGTAAGGCCTTAGTGCTGTTGGTGTTGGTACTCCGTACACCCTGGGAATGATCAAGGTACGGCACAGGGGCGTAAGCAACGCTAATGATGATGCCCCTTTGACCTATTGACTTTACTATTGCAGAAGGCATACGTAGGCTCGGACCAGGGTGTTCTGCACTTATACGCTGGATTTCCACTTGGATGAGGGGTTATACAGGTCACTGGCCAGGTTATTGGTGGACTCCGTGCAAACAATTTCGATACCTTGCTAGTCGAACGACAAGAAGGCTATGAAGTTGTCAATATCAGAGGTCTGAAGTAGGACAATTTCCGTGGATAATAGACGCATTTAAGGCTAGAGACGTAGCTAAGCACTTACTGGTTTGCATCAGACACTCAATCTGACTGGACCTGGACATATTTAGCACTCTGTCCGGTAGATGCAATTTTACTTCTCCTACCACTCATTTGCTATAAGGGCAAAGGTAAGACATGGCGGAGCCCATCGGGGCATGGGCCAATGTGTCACAGGTGACGAATCAAAACAACCTATATTGAGAACACAAAGTCCAGTGAGACGGCTTCGGGACTTTGCTGATAGGTTTCTACCAACCCGAAAAGTAAGACATCTACTAGGATCTTGTGCAATGGGGCGTGGCCGAGAACAAAGCAAGTGTAACCTATGTAAATCACTGTCTGTTCGCGTGTGGCTGTCTTTGAAGAGTTCTTTGCGATATAGTAGTTTGTCTTCGTCTCCCCGTTGGTGGAATCTTGGGAACTCACCAATGAGAAATCCATAATCCCTAGTCCAAGTAGTTGGATAGGAATCTCTACGCTACCAAGGAGTAGATGTGCGATATAAAAGAAAATTCAAAGATCAAATACATTATAACTTGTGTCACAACCGATCATGTGAACACCCAAGTTACCGCAATCGAGGGTATGTATATACAATGTTTTCCCAACGCCCTGCTCCGAATAATAAACACAATGCCATATACCTTCGACACTCATCTGTTCCAGATCACACTATCTGTACAGTGGAATGGTGGCTCAGGATAGAAGCTCGTCAACGTATGCCCTCTGTTTCACGTCATCTTTATGTTTGAGTAGTACGGCCAAGACCTCAATTGGGGGGCTGAGATTCAAAGAATTCGCACGTCTCCATCGCTTCAACCGAGCAATTCCAATGCAAGGCTAGATATCAGTCAGCTAGATGTTCTCCTTGGGCACCAGAAAATGTTGGACATATGGGAACTTATGATGCACGAAGCAAACGTACCCCAAATTGACTGGAAAGATCGAAATGTCGAAGAATCTTTTCATGTAGTGCGAGGTCTTGCTGGTGAACTGTCGCGCATACTGTTAGCGTTTTGGCCCTGCATAATGTAGCTGTACAGTGGGAACACTAACACCGAGGTCCCCTTATCTTCTCTTCCTCTTTCCTCCAGTATTGCTGCAGGTCCTTCTCGGTGATATTAATCGCCTTTTTGTCTTCTTTCGACAAGGGCTGTTCAACTTCCTCCTGAGCTTGTTGCCTCACGGCAAGCTCCGCCACATGCGGCTGCTCAGGCTCAGTAGGTGTAGCCGACACTTGTTCAGGCTCTGGGGTTTTCTCAGAAATAGAGGCGATAAGTGGTTCAAGGTCTTTGGTCTTCTGCGTTTGCGTCGGGGTCACCGATGGCTTGGTAACCCTAGACTTAGATCCGAATGAGAGGGTGGCCTGGTTCGAGCGGGTGGCCGTGGCCTGGCCACCGCGACGACGAGTGGGAGGCATTTTTGCGATATCTTTGTGGTTAATAACGGATATGTTGAAGAAAGATAGTCGGGACCTATAACGTACTAAGATGCAGGGTGGAGAGAACGGTCTGGTCTGGGGTCAAACCGGTACTGTGTAGTTCGACGGTAGTAGTGGGGACATCGATGTCATAAAGTTTGGATTGGTAGTTGCACATGGCAACCGAAACCCTCAATCAATATACTAGTATCGGGGATGGCCGTTGGGTGAGAAATACTAACAATATAATAGTATCGCTCTTCCTCTTCTGGAATATGTACTCAGAATTATCTATTTTTCTTTCTCTCATTTAACGTTTCCTCCTTTCTGTTTTTCTTTTTTTGCCCTCTAGGTTATACATAGCTGCGGCAGTTCCAGTAACTCGAGTTATTTTGTCTTGTCCGAATGCGGCTACTCGGAAATAGTCACAACCCTAGCTGATTATTTCGAGCGAAAAAAAAAATTTTAAAATAAAATAACAGAGATACTAGTGATAGGTATCAATTGAATCGGTACTGGAGCTCTAGCTGGGCTAGTTAATATCATCAAATACTGTGTGGTAACCCTGCGAACATGTCCGGCTCCATCTAGGTAGAAAATATATAGTTTTCTTACCATGAATGAAAGCTCGTCGCCAACTCCTATGTATTTCTCACCTTTATCATTTTTGAGGAGACGTCCTCAATTATTGACACAGGACCATGTAGCCCAGTACATTCCTATATTTTAATCCTATGCAGGTTTCAAACCTTGAAACAAGTCATTTAATTCTCAATGTCAGTCTATCAGAACCAGGACGGTAATGTACCATTCTCGAACAAATAGGTTATCACGTTCCGGAGGATCCATTAGGGTGTCCGGGCTTCAGCATCAATCGGCTTCCGATACTACCTCTATCCCTCCAAGGTGGTTGTTACTAGTAGCCGCACTCTCGCTGACATCCCAGCAGAGGAGCAAGTTCAACCGAGCAACCGTGCTCACTATGTGAAACATATGTAGTGCTCTGTACCCTAATACAGTAAGGATTGTTTCGAGATTGAGTATGAAATCTTCCTGTTCGTTGGACAAAATTTATTGATCCTGATCACTTGCAGGAAATCATACATACACCGATTATGACGTAAGGACCAGACAGTGAAGAAGTGGACAGCCCTCAACCATTGATCATCTTTCATGATATACATAGCTGCCTGATGAGTCGCTTTGCAAATAAGATTACCACGTTGTTGTTTCTGTTTCCCGAGACATACATATGTACATGAAGGGGGGCTGTTCACAGGGCAGTGACAGGCCGTCGAGGCCAATGAGACATTCAATTCAGCCTTGTTGGGTCTAGTGGGTTCGAATGTGTAGTGTACCAGTGGTTCACCAAGTCTTATTTATAAATAGGAGGGCCTGTGCATGATGGCAGTATTGCTTAACCTCCCGTCAAAGATAGCATTGACGAACAGAAAGCAATAGGAGTTAAAAAGAAAAGGAGAGGAAGGTATTGATTGAACTTGAACGAGCAAAGGTATTTATGGCTCTCGTATTCATGGAAATGAGTTGTTGCCGATCCGCTGACGGAGGAGAGTGCATGTTAAACCGGAAAGGGTTGGCAAAGCCGCCGATCGAATCGAGGCTCGACAAGAGGTACTTGTTGTAGCCGCCGCAATCGACTTGCTCCTCAATCACAACTTCCACCCACCCCCACATAGGCGGCTATTCGACACCTATTCCTGTGCCCTTTTACGCTTATTTAAAAATTCCCCGGTTTCACTTACCAAGAAACCTGAGACACCTGCGCCTTTGGATTCGGTACTTGCCAATCGATAATCCGTACATCCTCTTGCGATCCGCTGGGAGGTACTCCGTTTCTTGGGTCGTCCGAGCGCTTCTCCAGGACAACACAAGCCGCTTACCGCAACTGCGCCGTCGCAAAAGCTTCGGCGCAAGGCGTTCGAGCGGAAACCGCTGGTCCAGCCGGTCTCTATGACCCTTTCAAGGAGTTTGAGGTCGTCGAGGTCGCATACCCCCCGGATAAGCTCCGGAGCGCATCCCTCTCAGCCGCCCCATGGTGGTGCGGGTGTAGCGCTCTCAGCATGGCCGCCTTCGTGCGAGTGTCGGGGCCGCCGAATGGCAACTTTCTGATCGGGTATCCAGGTATATCCGCAACCATGGTGAGTGTTAGCCTTCCCTCCACTTGATATGTCATGAGCGTCGCAATAACCGGTTGACTAGCCTCGTATTGAAGGCAAGGTTGAGATCAGGCCTAGTGTCGGCATCACGGCCCCCGTCAATGTATCACTCGTTACCATTTCCCTTCACCGTCGTGAGACAATACACCCTTCGGCGGATTCCGTTACCAAGAAACACCTGGCCCCTCCTCGGAAAGAAATTACAGATATCGTGGGCAAAGAGATGTTGCTCTTTCGCTGCCCCGCCGGTCGAGAATATGAGGAGGTTATTTCTATGGACCTGCCTTTCGTCCTTTTCATCCCCTACGGGCGCAGTGGGCTAGATGCGTCTCGGCGAGTCCCCCCGGCGAGTTTACAGCTTCCGAGTCGAACGGCAGAGACATACTACGAGATTGTGGTGATGGTCCAACAAGGACATTCAGATCAGAGAAAATACACTTTTCCAGTGCCAATTGCACGCTATGATACACTTTCTACGTTCGGGATGTATAACCGCCCCGAGTCAGCAGAACGAGTAACAGATCACCTGGTCACTCTGGGCATCTCTTTACCACGATGGTCTTATGGCCCACTTGACCCAGTGAGTGTCTATATCAAACTATCTCCAAACCCGGACTGGATGAGCAAAGCCCGAAAGGTTACAATAAGTAAAATTACGATTGGCATCGACGAAGAAATCATATATAACCACGAAGGTGATGAACCGCAGAGGAAAGTGAAAACCCTAACAAAGAGGACTGAGCACATTGGAATGAAGCTGCCACCGTCGGGTTTCCTAACGAACCTTGGCTTAGTATTCCCAGCGAAGGATATGCGAGATGCTGAGGGAATCCTTCCTAGAGGGAAAGCTGCCTTTCCAATGTATGCAGTGAGCGGGTTCACGACCACCGCAAGCCTTTACAAGATAGAATACTACTTAACGGTAAAGGTTCGTATTCAGTTCGCCCACACCCTTCTGAATATTTAGTAGGATGAAGCTCACTGTCCATAGGCCCACTTGACATCTGCAAGGGATATTGTTATCCGACAGCCAATAGTTGTTTGCCCTCTTGATCACGCCGGGTGTAAAGAAGAAATGGATGCTATTGAGCAGGCCGCTCGAGATGCTGTCCATGTGAACCCAGATAACCCCATGTTGCCCTTACCCTCGATAGTACGACCCAGTGACCCTAACGCTCTTCGTCATCTCGGAGTAGCCATTGTCGGTAACCAGAAGAAGCCTTTGATCGATTGAACAAAGGCAATGGCCGAACTTTTGGATATCCTCATTGGGATGGAGTCCGACGTCTTGGTCAATCTTGGTAGTGGGAGTTTCCACTTTTGCTGCACTATCAAGTGCAAGGCCAAATATACAGGATAGGACTCAGTCTGCACTGCGAGATTCGCGTGCAATTCCCAGCTCGCTAAAAGACGAGCACGATCATGTTTCACGAACGCATGGGCCCCGGAGTTATTTGTTGCATGGTATTCATGATAGCCTTTGTCTTTTGTCTTCGCTGGCCGGGAGGAAACGGGGTGTTTGGGTTTGGTTAGCATTCAGGGAGGGACCCGTTGGCCAGGGGTCACTTATTCTTCGATATCATTCCCTAACTGTGTACGCTCAATCTAATATGTAAGATCTACTGGTAGAATCTGAGAATCGACCAAGCGCATCTATGCACAAGGATTGACTTTGTAGGTACAAAACAAGCAGCAGGACAGAAGCTCGACTCAGTGCTCTGTGCATCAGCTTGGGAGGCAGCTTCACTCTGCAGGCACTGCACCGAGGGCCGATTTATACCTACCACATAGCGTGAATTTAGAGTTATATTCAAGATATATTAGGACTTCGATCATTACCCAAGGACGTTGACAAGAAAATTAGAAGTCACTGAATCTTATTAGTTCCAAGTTATGACCCCGTCTGTCCCGCAAATGTCCCCCGGATGCCTGAACTACCAAAGCAGCTTTGCTCTACCCCACCCCAAGGTCGACGGGAAGAGTGGATAAATTACATGATGGGGATTGGGCCGGCGTTAATATCTGCCTAGGCTAAAAGGTGAGGATAAGTAGATCGGCGAAAATGTTTATATACTACTAGAAGTGAAAAATAGTGGCAGCCGTGTTTTAAGCTGCAATGTTGGAATAGCATATTCTCCGCGGATCTCCACAATTCTTGATTAGATATGACTATAGTTTGAGGAAAGTTATGATTATTCGTGCTAGTAGTAATCACTGCATTCATCAGCTCACTGCAAATACTGAACCCGTGTTTCTGATAATAATATCGGCGTCGTAGAAGAAATCGCATGAACAACAACAGACGAAACCTGCACTATTATTCAAGTGCCAAATTAAAACAGTGGTCTGAAGGCATAAAAAGTAGTTGGGCTCGAGCATATAATGAGAGATTTGCCCAGAGAATTAGTATCCTTGTGTGCCATTATGGTATTCCCAGGAGCAGGTATAGGTTTCTCCAAGTACAGGATTCGATGGTTTGTTGATACCCCCATGTTCCAATTACCAGCGAAAAGTATGCGCTAAAGTATTCCAGACACAAGGAGATTGACATACAGAGGTTTGAAATGCCATCTCCTGAAACAGAACTTGACGATAGAGACGAAACGTTCGAGAGGGTAATCATTTTCGGGCATGGGCAGTAGGGTTTCGGGATGTGCCATGAAACTAGACCTGGGTTGGCCATTTTCTTTTCTTGATGCAGGATTTGTTGATCGTTCTGGCGTTAGCGGAGACCGATACATACTTCGTGGTCCGCTATAGCACAGGTCCGCGGGTACCAAGTCAATTTTGGAGACAAAGGTCTTCTAGGAGAGCCAGGCCGTCGTCAAAAATTTGGAGGTGGGTCCAGTTTTCCGAAAAAAAGGCATGGATCAATCTCTTTTCACCGTAGGCTATTATTTGTCAACAAGTAGCAATACAGAAAAAGGTATGTATGAACTTACAGCGTTTGGGTAAAGTTGTCGTGCAGTTTATGATGATCCATTCAAGGATCATACCATCGCGAATCCAGCCGTGGTATTTCCCGTCAGGACGAAAACGAGCAATATGCTCCAGCAACCGGTCTTTTTCTCTTACCAATTCGACTGCCCACTTCTTCTGCGAAATCCAAAAGTCCACCCTGCCGTCGTTGGTCTGCGACCATTCCGAAACAATATTGACCCCTATACCTGCTATATCGTTGAACGCTCGGTAGAATTCACTCTGATAGGCAGCTTCGATTGGTTTTAACAGCGCTGCACTGGAGACGCTCTTGCCATCTGCCGCGTGTCTCAATTTGCAAGCAGAGAATAGCCCTAGAACATCCACGCACAATTTTTGAACAGTGTTGTATTTGGGATTCATCTTCCTGTTAGGCTCCCCCATAATATGTTCTATCCATCTGAGCTTGATTGGCATGATGCCTCCGAAGTATTCAAAATAGGGGCTAGGGAGACTTACTTCTCGTGCAACCGAGAGGGAATCACATACAGCTCCCCGTCGAGTATATCCCCTGGCTTTGTGGTCTTGTGGAGCCAACCTTTGGTATAGCATACGTCCTCAGGGGATTTGCCGTCGCTTTCGCTAGGTACCTCAATACTGCCTTGTCCTAAAACGTGCACAAGTACTGCACGAACTTCAGAGGTCACCTTGCGACCTTTCGGCAACGATCGCTGAAACAGAGAAGTCGACAGTAGAAAATTCCAGACTTTGCTATCGTCCTCTAGACTTTCGACGAGATGACCCTTGGTTAAAATGTCCAATTTCCCGTGCTTTAGCGCGCTGCGAAAATGCTAATGCCAAGTCAGTTGATCAAGCCTGTCTATGGATGCGGAATTTAGCTGAAGGGAGGAAAGAAACGTACGTTGTAAATGTACTGCAACAACGACACGACACCACCGGGGTGCCCGTTAGTCAAAGAAAATAGGTAATCTTGGGCGTCACAATCGAGCACAAACTTTCCCTCGAACGTAGGATTGGCTGTAATATTTTGGACGGCATTTTTGAACTCGTCTCTGTTGAAAAAGAGTCCAATCGAACATGATGCATGCGGAGTGAGGGAGACCCGCTGGTCCCTGCGAAAGTGGGCTGGGGTATATAACACAGCGTCCGTGTCGACGCCGGTTGACGGGCTGCCATATGAACAAAAAAGACAAATTTTGATGTCCGGACCACCACCGCACACCCTTTGTTTGATTATCCCATCCCAGAATTCCATATCTGAGTATGATGCCTGGGCTTCATCAATGATGATGATAGCTCCTGGAGGTAGAGTATCAGAGCTCCGAGCAAGTCCGTAACTGGCATGGACCATTCTCGAAAATTTCCTCCAAACGCTGTTGCTGCCGTTGGGGAAATTTGCCAACTTCGTCCAATTGCTGACGAAAAACACATTTTTTGTCTTCTTAACCTTATAATATTGCTGCAGCAGGCAGGCGAGGGTTGTCTTCCCACTTGTAGGGGTCCCGCGAACATGAACAACTTGCTGCTCCTCGAGGAGATTTGCTAGCTGAACGACAGTATCTTTCCGTTGAGATAGGAAACGCGAGTCGAAATCTGTTTGTCATATACATCATCAGGTGTCCCATGAAGTGGGTGAGCGAGGCAGAATCTAACCATATTTTCGTGTATAGTTTGCTGGAGTGGCAAAGGGGATATATTGAGAAGCATCCTCGTGTACTAATCCACTATGTCCACAGTGAGAGCATGGTTTGTCCACTGCGTCTTTGATTCTGAGTTCGGGGGAAACTGAGGCTTCGAACTGGGAGCATAAACAAGACGTTTTACCTAACCCTTCTATTTTCTCATAGCGACACTTGCCCCCCATGATATGGAAAGTGGGCGAGCTCGCCTGATCGTTGATGAGCTTGGTAAAAGTAAGCGTGTTCGTGAAGCTGGCACTCATTGCTGTAAGTCTCTCGAGAATCGTCGACAAATGAATCAAAAATACAGGGGAAAGTCGAATGAGGAAGCTGCAACCAACCGCAACTGGGGTTCTTAACTGAAAGGCAAGACGAGGCGGTGACGTTTGAGTTTCAGCTTGATTGGTTGACGCAATGATCACGGTCATGGTGATGTGGTGAATGAATGGTTGGATAATACCCGGAATTTACGCCCATTTGACGCATAAACGGCTGCTCCTACTACTAGTAGTATCAAATGACTCCTCATTCTTGCCTGACCATTTATCAGACGCTCAACGAGGACCCCAGAAAGGCAGCGAGGCACCGCGGCACCGATGTGGTCAAAGAGATCGCCGATGCATCTTAGTTGTTCCAAAAGTAATCGAACTGCGCCAGTCATACTTATCACATTTATGCTGGAGCTACCCCATTGCCAAGGAGCTGGTTCGGGATCGGGACATAGTTCTTGATTCGCTCTGTTCTTAGAGTCCTCACAAGGATAATTTTTTCTCCTGTGAACAACATGTTTTAGATCGTTCTTGCAGTCTTTATAGATGACATCGTATTCCAAGTAGTAGCACATGTCGAACCGCTAGGTCAAGGCGAAGATATGGTTCTAGTTTTCTTGGGAGAGGCACCTTAGAGAATGGAGTCTTGAAGGAAACCAAAGATGGATTGTTAGTTATATTTATATCTAAATAAAGCGAGGATCTAAAATGAGAATTCCTATACCCGACTAAACCTCTGATGATATCTAACTGAGTCAGTCCACATTTTGTGTGATGTACATCCGTATAAGGGTGGCCCATAGCCAATTAGGTGTGATGAGCAGCTTCTGGAGGCAATCTTTAAGAATTTCTGGGACCGTCTGGTATTGTTTGGAGGAGGAACCGAAAGTAGTCAGCGCATTGTTGAGATTAACTGAGATCTAATGAGCCAGCCAAATAATTAATGAGGTGTCTGCTGCTTTAAGTGCGAGATGTAAGTATACACACCTGGGTTGACGCTATTGTTTACAATATCGAGGTCCATGGGTACTCAGTACTAGCCCATGTGCCCATGGACAGGGAATAAGAGAGAGTGTGTGGTGAAAGGGGAGCAATACAACTTCCCCGCAGTACGAAAGTGGAACTGAAAATTAACTCTGATAAGCTCGGGTCACCCGAGATTTTTATCGCCAAATCGGTCTCCGGAAATTTACCTTGACCACTCTCTTGCTCTCTTGAGCTTTAGATTTCTTCCTTACGTCTCGACCGGTCTCCACCTGATGCAGGGCCCTTGAAGCTTTTTTCATCTTCCATTGACGGTTTCTACTTACACCCGTAGCTACTATAACCATCACAATGGCCGACACAGACGAAGCTGCCATTCACCTTCCATCGCATGACTCCGCGGCACACATCGACACGGACTTGTCCGATGAGACGCAGGACTTTCGCATGCTGAGCAATCTTTCCTTGTCAGTGTTACTGGTTCCTAGCCCACACGTATTATAGTTATATCATGGACTGACTCGGAGAATAGCCTCGCAGATACGTCGCAAGCTACTCTCCCCAAACGCGGTGAGAAGGACTTCGAACCGAACCCAACCCTCTACCAAGCCGATATCCTAGATGCCTCACGTCAGGCTATGCACAATGCCCTTGCACATCCGCGGTTACACAACCCAAAGAACCAGATCATTGGCATCTACGCGCCCGATGGACCTACTCCGCCTCGATCATTAGCTACGCCGAAAACACTAGACACCATTGCAGAGAATGATACCCCAGCACATACCGCCGAGGCGGACGAAAGTCAGTCTAAAAAGCCCACAGGAACTGGGACAAACGTCCATCCGGATTCCTGCGTCTACGTAACGAACCCGAAGGGGCAGTTTTTCAAAAATATGGGGCGCGCAGATCGATGGGGTCGGATCTGGCTTCTGCCGGAGGAAGCTTTATATATGCTTGAGAGAGGCAGTCTGGATGTTAGGTGGCCGCGGTCAGCAACGGGATGTGAGGATGATGGTGAGACGGAGGACTCTGGGATCCCAATGAGTTTGCAGGCTGCGTATGCGTGTTTCATTGGACATGGGGGTTTGACGATCGATCGGTTTTCTGTTTACTCCGGATTGAGGAGGTTGGGTTACACACTTATCCGAGCTCCTGGGTGGTATGATGAGGCGGAGGAAGAGCTCGAGGACCCCGAATCAACCAAGCCACAAGGTCCTGGTCTGGCGGGAATCTATGGGCGGTTTATGAACTGGCTGCATAGCTCTAATACCACGGCTGTAGGGCCTGTTGCTGGCCTTGGGGTCCATCGCAATTACAGTGAGTCGGACTACATATGTGTCTGTAATATGGTTCCGTTCTAACGCTATACAGATAATATCTACCGCAAGCTTTCGATAATTCCTTTCTACGATCCTACAGCTCCTTTATCCAAAGCCCCGCAGACGAAACCGCCATTCCGCGTTGTATTCTATGTCTACAAGCCATCTACTCCATTCCGCAAATCTGCCCCTCCTGCACCGGACTTCAGAGTTGCTGTCGTCAATGCTCGCACGCAAACTACAGTGCCAACGTTAGCTCAACTCGGCACCCTCCTTGAGAGCACACCCCTGGATCCGCCAAAAGGCGAGAAGATGGAAAGAATGCTCTACATGCGACTCCGACATGGATACCGGAACGTTGTCTTGGCGGTTGTTGACCAAGGCGTTGTAAGCTACCTCCGGGTCGCCGATGCAGCGTTCGGAAAGGAAAAACTATATAATAGACCTGCTCCTTCCGGGAACAAACGGGGTGCGAACCCTCGCAAACCCCGGCCGAAGCCCAAGGGCCGGTGATGCCAACCGTTATTGGCAATGACTCTGGTTTATAAGTACACAATATACCAAGAAAGTTTCCAGATTTATACAGCGCCACCAGACTATGAGGCGACAGCACAGCCATTTTGGTTATGGATCCTCCACACTAAGCTTGGCTTCCATAAAGTATGGTACGAAACAGAAATGTCTCCCCAGGAATAAGGTCCTGATCTCCATGGCGAAGAAGGACGAGGACCTAGTAGAAGGGGGGAGCTTTGACGTCATCTGCCATCATTTTTAGAACGTCCGTCTATGATGAAGATCGGACGTAGATGCTTAGATGGCGTGCAGTATTCACAAGGAGCGAACAAGGGCGTGGTTATGATATTATTTTCATGTCATACCTTTTACGCTGCTCCATAGTCTTCAGGAAACGATATTCTAGTGTCAACCGGATAAACCCATATATACACGAGACCCAACGCCATGTACTCTATCCCATTCACGGTCCAACTCCGCCCGTAAAAATAATCGAAATATAAAAATCATCTAAATCGTAACGCAGAGAAGGTATGCCTCCTAAAGCCTTATCAGCACAGCATCCAATAAGATCTAGATTATCTCTGACATACGGAGGCAAAAATCACGTATCCAGGTAATCCGCCGCCATCAGCAGCTCTAGACACAACTCCGCCGGAATTTCCATATCTGGAACGTTTGACTGGTTCTTATTCTTCTCATTGTAGCAAAAGTACTCGCAGACTTTCTCGAGAACGATTCCGCTAATATTCTCCAGTGTGCAGCGACCTGTCAATGCTTCGGCGAATTTACCTAAATAGTGAACACACAGTAAGCACACAGAATCCGAGAAGATAGCACAGCGAGGGCGGATTGAAAAAAGGCAAAAGGGAAAACGAACTAGAAGGTTCCAGCATCCGACGTATCGTCCCAGAGACACAGGCCGCGCTGCGCGGAAGGACGAATTCAAACCCATCACCCGAGACCAAAGTCACGAACTCCGAGTCAGCGGCTGATGAAGCCATTTTCGCGTTAAGGTTGTGAGAACGGAGTTGATATGTGGGGTTGGTAAAGTTGGATTTGATCAACGGTGGAAGCGGGACAGGACAGGAGAGATAAGAGACGCGGTCGTGACGGAAGTTTTAGCTTTTCTCCACGTGGTCTGTGCGGAAGCTTTCCGATGAACTGCTTGCTTAGTCTGTTTTAATTTCAATGTCCGGCTTTTGTATACTTCATCTGGCATGTATGCTTCTTGGATGGTTTGCTGAATTGATTGTTTTCTTTTTGGTACAATTGAAAGGGCTGGAAGCATTGTTGATTGTCTTCCTGGTTTTCATTTCCATGACTTTGAGTGTTCACATACATCCAGTCAGACTCAATAATGAACAACTGCCTTTCATCTCTATACATCTAACTCAATCGAGACGTGGCCGGGCTTGAAAAAGCACAATCAACCAGAATGCAAACAATACGACTCAGTATGCGCTGCACAACAATGCCAACATCACACCTCCCCTCTCTAGGCCGCCAATACACTAGGCGCTTATTGAACACAACTCTTTCCACAGCCTTCAATGCCCCAACAGCGTCACAAAGACGACCTCTCTCATCCCAGTCACCCAACACCTCAGCACGCCTCGCCAGCCGTACCTGTATGATCACAGGCGGGACATCGGGTATTGGGTTTGCCATCGCAAACCGATTCCTCCAAGAAGGCGCAGAGCGCGTCATCCTCGTTGGACGATCGTACGAGCGCCTCCTCAAAGCCGCCGCCAGACTGCAAGTCAATGGTGAAGGCGCCCAGAACCAAGAAGCGACTGATGACACAGCATCAAAGTCGCAGGGAACTTTGGTCGAAACATCGGATAGAATAAGTCTCCTTGTGGGCGATGTATCGGAGGCTGGATCGTGGCTACGTGAGCTGGAGAAGGCGATGGTATGTTGTGCTACATTTCTCACTTTGTCCTTTTGGCTTTTGTTATTGACTTCGAACGATGGCTTGGATGGTAGACTGACAAAAGATACTAGCAACCCGTCGACATCTTAATCAACGCAGCTGGGATCTCACACTCCAATATTCTTCCCAAGACGTCTCCCGAGGAAATCTCTCAAACCCTCCGGACAAACCTTGAAGGCGCGATCTTCACATCCCGCGCTCTTCTCCGCGCCTCTCTCCGCAACAGGCTAAAAGGCCATTCCGGCGAGACCCGACCTGCATCTAAATGCATTATAAACATTTCGTCATTACTAGCGGTAAAAGGCGGAACCGGCGCGGTCCCATACGCTGCTTCCAAAGCAGGGCTTCTCGGTCTCACCAGGTCGTTAACAGTTGAGGCGGCTGGTTCTCTGCGCAATGTGGTCGTGCGGTCGAATGCGATTGTGCCGGGCTATATTGAGACGCCGATGATTGCGGACTTTAGCCAAGGACAGAATGAGAGGTTGAAGGAGAGCATTCCACTGGGTCGGTTTGGGGCACCGGAGGAGATTGCGGATGCGGCGGTGTTTTTGGCGGGAAATGAGTATGCGAATAATTGCGTCATTAATTTGGATGGGGGTTTAAGCGCTGTTTAATCTATTATATTATATCTGAGGTTAGTCGTGTATATATTAGGACATCGGTGAGGGCTTTTAGAATACTAGTCGTTTGCTTTAGTGCAGTGTACGATAAACTCAATTATGATAACAAGTAAATTCATCGACTCATCTGTGTATCTGTTGGAACGCCACGCCGAAGTATGCACATTATGACTTCGGTCAAGCTAAATAGTACCAACGGTAATCCCTTCGTCCAATCTATTCGGAGCAAACGCATGATATGTTACAGTAGATGGAAGGGGATAGAGGCAAAAAAGAAGATATCTCTGGTGATCCGCCCAAAGCTCAAGAAACAACCAATGTGTAAGACAAAAACATTGCATAGGGAAATATGTCCGAAGTTGAGAGGAAGTAATTGGCCTCCATGTGCCACTTTTTATTCGTTCAGTCGTCAATCAGAATTGCGCCTCCTTCTGTCTCTTCTAAGACGATAGGATTCGATCCATCGCCGTCAGCGACGGAGATACTAGCCACGCGCTTTGAACGGTCTTCGCCGTTGGCAAGGCCGGCTTCCTCGGCATTGCGCTTGCGCTTGTTCGGATCTGAAGTGCCATTAACGTGCTCGCTAATGGTAGGCGTAGGTGCCTGTGGTTTCCGGGGAATTTCAGGGACCTTTACTAAAGTGATTGGCTTTTGTTCTCCTGCTGAGGACTCAGGCCTATTCAAATGTTAGTAATCTATCTAATCAAGTCGGTCGTCGGTGGGCTTCCCAGGGAGATAGTCGGAGGCTTACTTTTCAGTCACAACAACTAGTTCAAGGTTCACACGCGGTTGCTCGTCCTCCTCGTCTATAATTGTGATGAGGCTTTCATTGCCCACACCCAGTTCCGATAACTTCTTAGTCAAATTGTCTTCGAGGTCGGGGTCATAAATTGTGCCCAACTCGTTGCTAACTGAAAGCTCTTCACCGTACCCTAGCTGTGAGCGGAGGATATCCTGCACTAAGTCGTTGATGGTGGCCTGCTCCGGGTTAATCTTTACCCTGGCCAGGGCGACCGAGCAAACAGGGCAGTTGGGGTTGGGTGGCTTCAGAGAATCGGAATTAATTGCACGGGCACCCGACCGTTCGAGGAAGATCTATTTTGCACGACTTCATTAGAGGCAACATCACTAAAGGCAAAAGGTACCTACCATTTTGGCATGTGAGTAGTCATCCTTCAAGACCTTGAATGCCTGTAGGACACACAGGCCAGCAGTCATAGCGTTTGTGGTCGCGATCGCTGGTATAATATTACCGGCCATTTCTGCCCACAGTCAGCAAAACCTGGTTTTGTCACAGCGTCCCATTGCTCAAGCACTTACGTTTCGTATCAAACTTTGATTTAGGCTCAATTCCGAATATTGTTGCTCGCAGGTTAGCACTGGCAGTGACAAAGTCTAGCGTATCCACATCATCCTTATCAAACACCAGGATGGGCTTGACATCGTTCTTTGTTGTTTCTAGGAGTGTCTTTAGCCGTTTGCTCAGTCGATCCAAGCTGTGATACATATCAGTCAAAAGGATCACCACTGGTGGAACGAGGAATAAGTCGAACCTGTCCTTAAAAACGACCAAGTCCTCGGCCAAAGTCCAGACTTTTTGATCGTTACAAGAAATAGTAGGCTCAATTAACGAAGCATCTCCCTGTATCTTCTCAAAGTCCAGGGGCTCCGGGGCCTTCCGGGTCTTCCACATATCCTCCATACCACGTAGTCGGTCTATGTCCTCCTCGAAAACCTTTGTAAATACCTTATGAGCGAATTCGGGGGAGCCCATTGATTCGCGGATTTCTTTGAGAGCCTGTGCCTCTTTTCGTAGATTCGCAATTTCTTCCGCTGGGCAGAGTTAGCAATCTTTGCCCAAGGCTGGATGGAGGTTCATCAGTATGGCTCACCATTATTGGCATCTTCAGTACTATCCAATTCTGGCGTCTCATCCTCACTGGTCCCAAAAAGCTCGCTAGGCCTGCTTAGTTTATATCTTGCCGAGTATAACCTCTCCAATAACTCACGGGAAAAGATAGCTTTTCGCCCAGACAATACAATGAATAGGTTGGCTTGGTGTACTGCGGATGGTGCACACGGGGAATGACTTGGGGACTTCCTTTGAGTTGCAATCGTAACATTCCGTTTGGCCCTGTCGGCGGTCAGTTAAACCCAGCAGACTCATGTGGACGCAGTGGGTTGCCCCCCTATCCTACCTTCTTGATAACCTGAACCTGACCGTTAAATCCGGTAGTTCCGCTTTCGATCAGTGGCACATCGGCAGCTAAGCACATCCTGTTGACATGGCGACGCGCTTCCAAGTTGTCAAGCGCATTGAAGACCACGTCGAAATTCGCGAACCAATCCACGTTGAAACGGCTGTCCTTGATGTTCGCATGGTAGGCTTCGAGCTTTGCACTTGGTTGGAACTTCTGGGCAGCTTCCTTCGCGACCTGTGCTCAGGAAAAGACATTCGTCAGCTTCTCTTCGTCCCGAGACAATGAAAGGTGTCGGAAGGGTATCAGGGTGGGACGTTGCGCAGGTGACGCCACGGGCGGGGCACAAAGGGTGGACGGTTCAGTAGTGTGTGACGCACCAATGCCTTTGATTTTTTAATGTGTTCAAAGCGAAAGAGGAACTGACGATTCAAATTGCTCAGGTCGATGGTATCAAGATCGATGATGTGGATTTCGCCGAAGCCAGAGAGCAAGAGGTTCTTCAACAGCTCGCAGCCGATACCACCGGCGCCCACCAGGAGTACGCGCGACTAGAAAGAATGACATGAATCAGCTTCTGAGATAGAAATGAGCACAAAGACAGGGTCAAAAGTACTATATACCTCCTTTAAGCGTCTGGACAAGGTCCCGAGCGAGCGCTTGGAGTAGGTGTCTCGCGGCATGATTGAGAGCGCGAGAGCAATGTGAAGGTGGAATGAGTGGCAGCTGAGGTCAGAACAGGGCGACAGTCATCGCCAAATGAGAGAGGATTCAGCAAGGAAAAGTGAACAAAGCGACGCTGCAGGGGACGGCAGAAATGAGCGAAAGTCCAGGACCGGATGATTGATTTCGGGAAATGCGAAATGCGTCGGAGAAGCACCGCGCTTTAATTAGTCCCAAAATGGGGGCCTGGAATGGGCAATGACGACACCGCTGTCCAGAACACGAGACTTTCTATTACTTCCTATATCCGACCTTTTTTTTTTTCCTTCTCCCTTTTAATGAGTAAGGACAAGCTAGTCATGCATAATAGTGGCTCTACTAAACGTCTCGAACAGCAGATGCGATCGAACGATTGGACCCCAGAGCAATCAATGTGAATTGAATTTATTGGTCATCCTCATGTTATGCTGTATTCTTGATCACACCTGATTAGTCCCGCTTATTAGCCATTCAGCTTCCCACGTTCAGCCAGAACGTACAGTAGCTTTACTATTACTAGTAGAACAAAAAGTACATTCGATGAGGTCTGTGGTGGGAGAAATGGGTACATACATACATTGCGTAAGAAAGCCGTCCCTTTATATGAACAATTCTATCAGTTCAACTGGCGAATTCACTGCTGTTTAAACCATACATATTGAACCGAGTGGCTGCAGCTAGCCATGGATTTATTGGAGAGATCCATCTACCATAGTACTTAATTGTAACACAATGTATCATCGTAGTATGTCCTCCAAGGTCAAACATGGCCTTGGGAATAAATTCATGTTTCGGTCCTTACAACAAAAATATTAATAGAAGACCCCATCAATGATCAATATATCTTGAATGACTTCTTTCTTGACTCCTACATTTCTCCAAGGCAATCTTATTTGCCGGACCAAGCGTCCACTCCGGCCCATAGAAGGATCCAATGCAAGTCCCCGAAAAGAGACAATGAAAAAGATCGCTCATACTTATCCATACTTTGGCTAGCCTACCCTCGTAAAGCAAGAAAAGATAGGATAGAGGTGCCCGTGATTATCTGATGATATAGTAGTTGACTCTCTCTACGACGTGGAATCCTTTCAACACAATCATAGTAATAACATAGTAATTGTACGTATCTTAGTGGGGAGTCGTTGCCTGTCCCAATTTTCCACCTTTTTATACCTCCGGTACATCTCCTCAGGTTCATTGGTGATGGACCAATCGTATTGTCTCTTGGGCTGACTAACCAGGGCCTTATCAACTTGAACCAGGAAAAAAAAAAAAGAACCAATCGTCTTAGATGAGATCCATTCCTTTTGTTGAGCAAGGGTCAATGAATTTTTTTTTGGTTCGATGACATTGTGCGTAAATGAAAGGGGATTCTGGGACCCATTTTTAAATGTCCAAAAAGCAACCACATTCAAAGGCGTATATGGGCCCTTATCAAATTAACAAAACTTGACTTTATTTTTGCCCAACCGATCGTCCACCAAAGCAACCAGACTTTTTGCCTGATCGTCGCTTTTGGTTCAAAGGAGTACAAACGGTCGTGGGGAATTCGGTGCGCTAGTACTGTCGGTCTTTGTTCCCTCCTTTTCTTTTTTTTTCTGTATCAATTATACCTGATTTCCTGCTATTTCCCTCTGCGATCTCTTTGTCTAATTTTCTTTAACTATTACCCCTCTTAAAAGTAAATTTTGGGTTTTCTTGGATAGTTCTTCGCGGTTTATATCAACGGAGCACAAGGGAGCCGTACCACCATGTCGGACGACGAAGCAGATCCCGAATTGCTCGCTCTTTTACGCAAGTCCCTCGGGCTAGGAGGAGGGGCAGCGAACCCACGCGCAGCAGAGACAAAAGTTTTGGAAAATGCGCAGTACGTCTTCGACAATGCTATTGATGTCGCATTGAACCCATCCAAGACCAAAGAAGCTGCCGAAACCATCTGGCGCTTGATGCAGAAAAAAGAATATTCCACACAGACATGGTCGGAGCATGAATTACATCCCAAGGCCAAGGATGAAAGTACCGTGGATTTCATTTTCGCCATGGATTTACTGAATTTCAGTTTTTGGTCGGAGCGCCCGGAGGAGAAACGCTTCGCTATTGAATATCGCGGCAGGAAGTGGACTGGGTATTGGAGCTTAGTGGCTGCGTTGCAGAGGGCTTTGGATGAGGGTAGGTTCTGCACATTTATTATGATCCAATCCGTGATTCCTTTCCGTGCGATGTAAATGCTAAGACTTGCAGAGATCCCCATTACGAGCCCCTACTTCTGGGTGAATGAGGACGAATGTTCTGAGTCTCTACTCAAGCATGTATTTCGATCGGTAACTGATGAGGAGATTCCTCTCCTGCAAGATCGTCTCCAGTGCCTGCGAGAAGCGGGCCGAGTCTTGTGCGAGGTATGTCCAACCGCACCTGAACACCAGTAGCCTATGTATGTTCTAACAGCCTACCTATCCAGGATTTTGAAGGTAGTTTCGTCAACTGTATCTACAACGCCAACTACTCAGCTGCATCCCTCGTGAACCTCATGGCTGAGAGTTTCCCCTGCTTCCGGGATGAAACCAGCTTTCAGGGCCGGAGGGTTCGGCTCTATAAACGCGCGCAGATCTTGGTCGCGGACCTATGGGCCTGCTTCAATGGCGAGGGCCTTGGCGAATTCCACGATATTGACAAGATCACAATGTTTGCGGGTGAGTCCCACCCTTTGATTACCTTCATTAGCTATACTTTACCAAACTTTGGCGGGAGAAGTCAAACTAACCATGATCCAGATTACCGAATCCCCCAAATACTAAACCAACTCGGTTGTCTGATGTACTCTCCACCTCTGGAAAGTCATATTCGCGACCTCAAACCGATCCCCAGTGGCTCTACCTGGGAGGTTGAACTGCGCGCAACCAGCATCTGGTGCGTCGAATTGATTAGACGAGAAATTGAGAGGAACCATCCAGACACGAAACCCAAAATAAAGCCTATACAGTCTAACGGACATGTGGCCAGTGTGGACCGCCGCCAAAGCCTTACCACCTCGGCATTAGACGAACAAAGGAAGTGCACCACACAAAAACACATTACACAGACCAGCCCTGCTAAGCCCGCATCGTCGGGCGTCAATGCAATCTTGATAGATTTCTTTCTGTATGACACCATGAAAGAGTTAGAAAGAGACGGAAAGGAACAGATTCCCCATCATCGCACAAGGAGTATTTGGTATTAAAGGTTAAAAAGACTTTGCTTCACCTGTTGATTTTTGGTCAATATACCCTTGGCCACTACTGTTAGGGAATTGATGTCTTTGCTTTGTTTGCTTTTCTTTTACTGTTTGGGGGTTTGCATAGACATCGATACCATTTCTTCTTTGTTTTTCTGTGCTGGCAGCAGCGATGTCTTTTTGGATACCAGGTTGGTTTCCACCACTTTCAGATCTGGACGGCCATCCAGAGCTCATGACCCATGACCCACACATAGACTTCCTCATACCAATGTTATCTGACCCTCAGGAGACAGGTCGCATATACTCTGACCATTTCTAACTGTCCAACCTTATTAAATTCACTCCTACTTTTCTTTCTAGAGCCATACCGGAAGCATCTATCTCTCACCTTTATCTACTTCTCCGGACCTTCATGGAGCACAGCACTCCGACATTCCATTTCTCCTATTGGAAGATTACCTAGTGCGCCCTGTTTGGAGAAGACATAAAGAATTAAAATTGCGATTTCTAAAATAAACACCTCGAGTTGAAGATGCATAGGGTCGTTGTTTAACCCGTCGCCCAGCGCCCCAGGCAAGCCTGACAAAAATAGAAGAATAGAAATAAAAAGCATCCCATTCGATACCAGTAACAGTCTCCCGGCGCACGATACAGTAACAAACGACATGCACGGCATAACTTAGATCAGAAAAGTTCTCCTGCATGGCGCCGGGGTGGAACATATATCAACTTCCATCCCCAGCTTTCACTTCCTAACTTACAAACTACTCCTATCTTCTCTCCCCAGTACCCTACCCGCATGGTCAGTAACCAGCAAAGATGTACCGGACCTTAATACTCCTCACCACCTACCTGGTAGCATTAGCCACCAGCCAAACCCTAACCCCAGGAAACACACCCACGAACCCAGACACAGGCGCAGTGCTACCTCCACCCGGCTTCCAAATCTTACCCAGGAAGGGCCCCTCCAAAAATCCGCCCCCAAAATCACCCCTGCAGCAGGAATGCAAAGACGTCAAGGTCAAAGCAGGTCCCTCGGTTTCTAAAGGACACCCGGAACAGCAACTCTTGACGGCATTCTGCCGCATCCCGGGATCACAGAAAACCCAGTACTCCGAGCTGAGCCTGGACCGTTGTCTTGGGTGGCACAAGAATAGCGATGGCGGTGGAAGATTTGTCGCAATGAAGCAGTACGTATACTACGACGGCTCTGTTCACCCAAAGCACAAGTTGTTGTGCATGATAGGCTAACGAATGCTAGTGGTGGAGGACTTTCGAAGGCAGGCGGGGAGTGCTCGACTTGTCGGTATCTAAATTCTAACCCTAATCTGCTATGCTATTGCGCGAAGGTGCGGCAGAATGAGATGACCTATATGAACCCGGTTACGGCCACGTGGACGGGTGCCGTCCTTTATAACTTGTGTAAGTGGCCTGTGTGATTGATATGGACTAGTTTCTGATTGAGGAATATAGTTGAGGCGCTCCAAGGCGGGAAGTTTTTGATAGAAGTCAATGAGAAGGGGGTTCTCTCATGCCATGGGATAGCCGGGGAGTCCAAATAACGCCCCTAAAAATTGTCAACAGCTTTCGAGTCCTACAAAAATGGTGCTTTACATCGAGGATTGAGCGTGAGGAAGGGAAAAATGGAATGATATCAGGGTTTTCATATAGATTAATACATCATAAGACTGTTTGGGTATAGAAACTCTATAATACATAATAGCAAGCTCTAATGATACATGGGGTAAAAAATAAGTATTGATCATGAAGCAATTCAAAGTACGTTGAAAATATAAGGAAACAAGAACGGCACTCGCCTTTAGTAACTCCTATCCTCAAGAGCCGTATCTGGAAGAAGTAGGTATCAGACAGGCAAGGGACCGAAATGCTGCGCTGCATTCTTTTGAATCTGCTCAATTCGTGCCAGGACTGCTGCCTTCCACTCGATGTAGTCTTCCTTGCGATCGTCGCTTAACCAATCAACACGATCCTGCATCATGGTACCAAGACCCGGTAGAAGACCTTTTCTTGATGAGTGTTTGGCCAGCGAGCGACCCGATTTCGTTGTCTTTTGCCGTTTGGCGCTTAGAGCCCTTTCTTCATCCTCGCCGTAGCCGTCCTCATCCGAAAGATATGCGTCATCCCCATCCAGTTCTCCAGCCTGTGGGATGTTCTCAAACCATTCCTTTCCATTGGCCCAGCGTTGTTGCATTATCACTGCGATCCACTGGTCGACATCCTCACGATGTCGTCTCTCAGTGGAAGGGAGACCAATGCTCACTAATGCAGTCTGGCGCATTTCAGAAAATGTCTTCTTGTCGAGCTTCTTAGTTTCCCCTTCCTCTTCGGATAAGGAGCTTCGTCTGCGAGCGAGAGCCAAAAAATACACGGCTACCACTAGAGCGTTGACGACCTCTTTATAATCCTCATCATTCTCTTTATCCTTCACAATCAGGATAGGCTCCACGAACTCTAGGGTTTCTTCGTCGAAATCATCCTCGTCCTGGGCGGAAACCCGAGAAATGAAATATAGGACAGATGATACACCTGCAAAAATATGTGGAGGCAAAGTTCTCGAAATGGGAGGCCGGGACCATGTACTCGTTCGTGGGGCTGGTGTAGATAACGTTTTACACACGCTCCGAATAGATGTCATCACCCAGGCAGATGCGTCGGGGATAATTGTAGAGCCAGGAAGGCCATTAGAGCGAATCTTGGGCTTCTGGGGTGTCTGAGAGCGCGATTCGCTTCCTTGTTGTGTAATTGCGTTCTTCAATGGCGTGGGTTTGCCTGTGGTGTTTTGGAGTTTCCGCGGCGTCGCTGCTGTCTTTGAAGGTGTTCGAGTATGCTTCGAATTTTTCGTAGGGGTCGACGAAGCGGATCCGGCGCGTGAAGGGGTTTCTGAGATAGAGCTGCTCCCTGTACGCTTCACTCCAGCTACACTATTCGAAAGGGAGCGGTCAAGGAATGCATAGAGCTTCTTGTAAGCACGCGGAGGACATGGCGGATGTCCCATCAAGGGGGGGAGCTTAAGAGCCCGAGTTAGCCTAGACACAACCAGCTAGTCAGTGCACCAATTAACCAGGATATGGTGAAGCGACAGGGATAGGACGCTAAATATACCGGCGGCAGGCAATCTCGGCGCAAGCATAAGGGCGTGCGATTTCTTCCTCCGGCCTTAGACTAGTAGAGAAGCTGCGAGATTGCGCGACAAGAGATAAGGCCAAACTGCGGAGCTCTTGAGGCAGGTCATCAGCGTGGGTCGGCAACAGCGTACCCAATGCTTGTTCAACGGGTCTGTTATTCATTCTGGGCGTGAATACAACCTCAAATGATCGTACAATCGGAGTGCCGACGCCTTGAATGTCCGTGTATTTTTTTCGTTATCTAAAGGCGCGTTGTTATCGGCGTCCGTCATGTGACTCTGTATTCAATTAGATTTATACGTAAATGCGGCGAAAAGTCCGAGCTCCACCTGTTACATGTTTCGCTGCCACCAGTCTCCCGTCATCCTATATTCTCATACATAGCTCACTCATTTCTCAAATAGTCATGTCGGTCACTGTGAGTTCATTGTAACGCTATAGATTCCCATAACGCTCCGGGATATCGACTAATCACTATGAATACCTAACAGCTCCATACGACCCAAGGCGACCTGAAAGTCGAGCTCTTCTGCGAGGCAGTGCCCAAGACAGTAGAGGTATGTAATGTCTTGCGCCTCTATTCGAATTAAGTCTTCACCTAATAACTTTGCTTCGCTCTGAACCCGTATACTGACGCTAAACTGAGTAGAACTTCCTCGCGCTTTGCGCATGCGGCGCATATAACAACACGCCCTTCCACCGTCTAATTCCCGGCTTCATGATTCAAGGAGGCGATATCTCTCTAGGACCAGCAGCACATCAATCGCAAGAAAGCACCAAACCCATGCTTCCCTTCGACGACATCCCGAAAGGCGGCACATCAATCAATCATCCCGGCGCATTGGACCAGGAAATCCACATCCCCGCTCTTCGACACAATACACGCGGAATTCTCTCTATGGCAGCGCGGCCCGTCAAAGATAGGACAGCTCCTGGATCCCAGGGTGCAATGGGAGCTACGATTAATGGAAGTCAGTTCTTCATTACGTTTGCCGCTGCCCCCCATTTAGACGGAAATAGCACCGTCTTCGGGAAGGTGTTGAACTTAACGGCACAAGATGAGGGTGGTGATGTATTGAGCAGGTTGGAGAAGGCGAATGCGAAGGTGGACAAGAAGGGGAGGGTTGTGCAGCCAAAAGAGGGTGAGGAGTCGGAGTATGAGGCACTGCGCATCAACAGGGTCACGATACATGCGAACCCACTTGCAAAGTGAGAACGGGCTTCGCTAGAAGAGTATACAGGTTTGAGTGCGATATATTACGCGATTGTTGAGCACCAAGCAAAGCCCCCAAATCAAGGCGCCAGGGCCGTGATACACAAGACCCAACATTGAGGAAACGACTTCGCCAGGTCTGCTGTTCTGGATAAGGAATCTTTGGCCGGTTTTACGCGCTGTCGGGCGCCGCTGGTATTTTTAGAGTCCATTGCACTTTATCGGGTCCATTTCAGGCGAAGAGTTGCAGACACCCAATTGGGGTGTGATCTACAGGAGCCATTGCTTTATAACACTACTTAGACGTGTTTATCGAGGCATTTCTAATATATAGCACGACGTTGCATGATGAAAGATGCGATGCAATGGCAAAAGGTCTAGGCGCTATGGGCACAGAAGTGCTATTATTTATCACTGAAGTGGATTACTCAACAGCATAGCATGGAATCAGACTCAGTTCTCAATGGAACTTGGCATCAACGTACTTCTTGAACTTTTGTATACCACCCAGGAGAACCATGATTATATTCCAAACGAACAAAGTGACATAAACCCCCGACACTACACCTTGTAAACAAACCACAACTTCATCGGATATCAAGAGCGCAAAATGGGGCATAGTGGTCTTGAATGACAACTATGCATGCATGCATAGAAAAAATGAAAAACAATTGAAAAGAATAATCATGCACATCGTGAGGAAATAAATATCATCCACAGAAAAAGAAAGTCGTGAGGCAAACAACTCATTGCAGGTCAATTATGACTTCTGCTCGGCGCTCTCTTCCTTCTTCTCTGCATCCTCCTCGTAACCTTCAAGCTTCATGTCCCTAAGGCCCAGATCTTCTTCCTCTTCCTCAGTGCGGATGTAATCTTCGGTGGTGATCTGAGGATCGGCAGCAGGGGCACACAAGTCCTGAACGTAGCTGTTGGCCATGGGATCTTCGAGAGTGATGACAAACTTCATGTCTCCGTTGATAGCAGCATCGAGACGAGAGAAGAAGCGAGTCCACTTCTCTTTGGTATCGGATTCCATGCTGTCTCCTCCAGCGCCGCTCGCATCATCTACATCGAAGATCTGGCCGTGCAGTTGGTCACGGATCTCGGTGAGCAGACCCTCAACAGTAGTAAAACGTCCACCCAAGGTACCAGGCTGAACAGTAACTTCTAGCTCCTCACTGTGCAGAGCGCAGGTATCGGACTTGAGGATATCACGCGCGAGATCAACTTCATTCTCGACACTAAGGGTGATGCGCTTGCCCTTCTCTGGAACTTCGCCACCAGTCTTAACTTCGCTAGTGCGGTATCCGCAGTGCTCGCAAGATGTACTCCAGATAATGACCTCCTTGAAATACGGGATGTTCACCTTCTTCATGTTGACGAAGCCAGGCTTTGCACAGCCTGGGCATTCGGTAGGCAGACTGTAGACCTGACCATCGACAATCTCAGAATCTTCCAATTCGGCAGATCCCTCATGCTGCACAGCATTGGGGTCCGCGGCAATTCCAAGCTCCTCATTCTGCTCGTGCGTGCGAGGGTAATCGCGACGCTTGTAGTTGTTTCCAGTGTCGTTGATGGAAGGCGCGATCCACGAGTTACCAGTGGGGTCATCCAGGGAGACGGCGAAGGGGAAGCCCTCTCGGTTCAGAATCTTCTGAAGGTTCTCGATAATGGGCACAAGAGCATCGTGAAGTTCAGGTGCCTGAGCCTTGCGCAGGGGTTGCTCGCTAGACAGCGACTCGTAGATCTTCTGAATCACTCCTTCGACAGTTGTAAACTGACTCTCGCCCTTGGGCATCTCAATTCCCAGAGATTCCACCTTGAATACTGAAATATCGCTCCGAACGACCTGGCGCTGGAGGTCGTTTTCGTCCTGGACGGTAAGCGTGTACCTAGCTCCCTTCTCTTGGATTTGACCGGCGGATTTGACAGAGTTGTCCTTGAAATGACAATGGGGGCATTCGAAGGATTCAAGGATAATGTCACGGAAGTAAGGTACTCGGAGGAGGAGGAGCCTTGTTGTTCCCTGAAGCCGAGTTAGTTGCGCCGCTACAGTTCTCATGTTCAAGCAGGTAAACGTACGTTTTCATGGCAGTTCATACAAAGACTTTCCACAGTCATCACACCGGTATCCTCATCTCTCTCCACCAAGTCACCAGGCTTCTGGAACTGCGACTCGACAGGAGCTTCTTGCTGGACTGGCTTATCTTCTACCGACATTTTGAAGGATGGGTATAAGGAGGGTTCTGTGCTACAAGGAAAACAAGATAAGAGGGTATCGAAATCTATAACGCGCAAATGAGCGGAAGAATCCACAAATATATTTAACAATCTTTGCACCCAATGATGTCTAAGGAAAGTAAAAATTTCACCAGCGAGCGCGGGAACGTTCCTTTACTTTCCACTATCGCTGTGGCGGGGCACAATTTTTTTTTGGAGGGGCAGATGGTATTAGTCAGCCCGAGGGAGAACGGGTTCTTTTGTCGGAGTTGTATGGAATCGAACAAGTACCCCACGTATGAAGGTGCTCAGTGATAAATGAAAAGATCCAGGCTCAGGCTACAACATGGCAGAGACTTCAATTGGGCTGTCGGAGAAACTACCTCTAATATACGGACCAATAAACTAACGCCAGCTCTCATAGTATGCAACCATTTACCGGTAGCTTCGTAAGATCATCTACAATGGCAGTTAGCTGTGTCCAATACACATGGGCGTGAAATACTTATAAAAAAAAGGGGCCGTTTCCTCGAAAGGAAACGGCGGTTCACAGGCCACCACCAACCCGCTATCGTTCGGCTCGCCAACGTAAGGCTTACGACAAGCCACTTGCGCAAACACCTATCCTGGAATCTGATGAAGACGCTTTGTATTGCAGAGCATCAGTATACTCTCTTCGTTACTCATCAATCCTACCCGTGGAGGCTTACATCCGCATGGTAAGCTGCCATGTTCGGATATATGTCACCAAAGAAGCCACACAGACAAGCCTAAGCTTTGATCCTCACTCTTGAGAGGTCCTGCAAGATGCTTCACGTTGTACACACCCTAGCATGGCAACCCCAGCGTTCAACCAACCAAATGAATGGGCAGAGATTTGATTTCTGCAACGGAGAGGAGAGCAACATGTACTGTCCCTGAAGTTTCCAGCGTTCTGTTCCCAGGAAACGGCCAGCGTCGAAAGAGGTCATGCCATAGTGCCCGATTCGGCAGAAGTTGAACAGCAGAGAAAGATGGAGCCTGAAAACGCAGATGCGACATCAATAGTGCCTCACGCTCTTTACGCAGAGAGATCGAATGCACAAACCCCTTTCAGAAAGTTTCCAGTCGGACTTGGATCTAAAATCTCCACCTCCCACCTGCTTTTCCCATGTATCATCCGTATCGATCAGAAGACATCCCCATGTCGCAAAGCCAAATTACCGAAGCTATTGCCTCGAAAGGCCTCTCGTGTGTAGTACAGTATCCCCAGGGACAAGCTTTTGTTTCCTCTCCGCGTTTGTAGACTTGGAGGGCTTGGAAGAAGCGGACAAAGAGCATCCATAAAAACCGCTTCCTTCCTCCCAAAAGAGAGGGACAGCAAATAGGACATTGCCGTGATTGTCGGCGCCCATCAATCTATTTGCAACCTACATTGCAAAGAGATGGTTAACGCGGCCGATCGGGATCTCCCATGGAGCGCAAATCAAATGGCGGGTGCCGTGATTTGGGGTTTGCTAGCCTTGAAAAGACGGGAAAGACTAGAGACGAGGAGTTGGAGAGTAGGTACAAGTTGCCCAGGCACCTTGATGTTGGAAACACGTACACGATGGATGGCCGACGCATAGGAAAGAGGGACGGTAACTGCCTGGCCATGCAGGATTATTATCCATCAGGAACCAATCCATAGCGGAACGGGACAACAAGCCAGATGGCACCATTATGATCGCATGGATCACAACAGTTGACCAAAGATCACTCCGCGCAGTTGTCAGAAGAACCTCGCTACAACTTAATCCGCCGGAAACACCTGGGTTGCTTCTGCAAAGATCAAATTGGTGCCGACGAGTGGATTCTTCAGACATACCGACTTCATGACCGAGTGTAGGCAAATGACCCAAAGATCAAATTGTTGTGTTCAACAGGAGCAGCGGATGATGCATAATATATCCCACAGTAGTTGAGGGCGCCCCTAATGGTATTCCTGCGTAGCCATCGTGACTATCGTAGAGACAACTCCGAATAAAGATGCCCGGCGTGTTTCACCTGCTCTCTCCCCAAGACTTTCTAGCACCCGGGTATAGACAAACCATCCTCTATGATCAGCATGTTACGTCCAGCATTGGAAAACCGACGCGTGCCCTTTTCAGGAGCTTGAAACGCATGGTAGCCCGTCTTTTAGCGCCTGTGGTAGGCTCTGGACCTCGGGTGCCTATGTGACACATCCGCCATGCGAGACCGTGAAACTTGTGCCATGATGGCATTGAACCGACTTGGTCAACATTAGGGTCAGATTCCCAACTTTTGTCACATCCGCTAGACCCAGTAAGGCAGCAAATGAAGAGACAAAGGTTGAGAAGCTAGGAAGGGAATAGATCTGTACAAATGTAGTCTTTTCAGACAGAGAGGAGACCCTCGACAAACTGGAATGTCTATGAAAGTAGAACAACACATCTTCGAAGACAGAGGGTCCAATAGAGATACTATGATAGAAGTCCTGCTGACTGAAATTCAGAGACAGAGAAACATTGCGGGCGCAGCGTAAAGTCATTTGAGGCAATTGATGTCGGCGACCTGCAATAGTTGGAGAGGTATCCAAAACGTCGAGACCGAATGCTACTAAGTATGCGTAAGGTTGAGCACGCGCGACGCGTATACACGTGACCCACACGCGGTTGCCGGGTTTCGAATTGGGAATTGTTATTTGGACCTCGCGCTAGTTATTTGGACCTCACGCTAAGCCTATATAGGGAGATTAAGCGAATCATATAATTAAAGAATACACTAGTAAAGTTCTTTCAAATACAGCTTATAGAATATTCTATAGTTATAAAAGAACATAGATTAGTATGTAAAGAAAATAATTAAAATAGATAATTTTTTATAATTATTTCTACTATTAACAATACACTACTTTATAGCTAAGGATCTCTCTATTTCTTATCTAGATTAGATAGATAGAGACTCGGGGGATTACTATATATTGTGAAAAAGGCAATAGATGTAGACTCTGACTTTACTGTTCGGGTGCTCTTAGATAGAGCTCCCGGTAGGGAGGGGAAAAAGGAATTAGATTCTCTATTTCTATTCTAGAATAGTTCTGCTTAACTAGTAGTATTACCAATACAGAGCATCATGCCTTCCTATATAGGCTTAACGTGAGGTCCAAATAACTAGTGTGAGGTCCAAATAACTAGCGCGAGGTCCAAATAACAATTCCCTGTCGAATTACTTTTCACGTTAGATTCTACTGTGCAAATGCTAGTGTGGGGTAAATGTTTTTTATTTCCTTTGTTTTCTTTGTATTTTTAATGACCTGTAGACCTCCAGAACTATAAGCCGCGAGCACACGGGTTTCCACCACTTCCTATTCTTACTGGAGCTCAACTCCAATCCATATGATCATTCTAAGCTCTGTCACAATGTTTCCTGTACTTTTGACCTGATTTAGCCGAAAAGGGATGCTCCCAGCGGATGACTTGACGACAATGCACTGGTCTAAAATTCCGTATCAAGGCTCTTCAACTGTGACGAGAAGGTCTTTCGAACCCACTCCATGTAGGCCTTCCATTTATGATGCTCACCGGATGTCTCGGCATTGGGAAACGCCTTGCTCAGCTCTCGGGTAATTTTCAGAACACCCATTGATGCTTCCTGTGCTTTTTCAAGTTCTTGCTTCACGGCATTATCCTTTGGTTTGAAGGACAGTACGACGCTGTAACGCTCTGAAAGAGCATCCAGAGACCTCTGCGTCTCCTCCGGAGCGAGGGTGATTAGTTTGGAAGTCATAAGGTTGCCGATAGTGCGAATATCTTGCTCATCGTCAATTCCGGCTAATATGCGTTCGAAGAATTCAGAGACATGCGACAAAGAGAAAGTCGTGTCTAAGGAGGCATAAAGCGTTTCGTAGGCACTCTGTTTCTATTATTAGAATTGCATGAAACAAAGTAGCTCCGTGGTACTCACCTTCCGCAGCTCAAGACCGTCATCAACTCGGTGCTTGAATGGGCCCATTTGCACCTCACGGATCAATTCTGGTTTGATCTGTGTGTCACCGAACACGGCAGGTAAAAGTTCGTTAAGGTGAGGGAGGATAATATCCATCTTGTTATGAATAGCAGAGTTAAGGGTTGTCAAGGCAAGTCGGTGATTTCCCAAGTCACGGTCACTGAGCATGTTGACCAAAAGTGGAACGATTAACGGTCTCAATACATTGTTGTAAGTATCTCTTGAGTCTGACAGAGTATAACGGAATGCAGAGATCACCACCCCACGAATTGTCGGGTCCGAATTAGAGAGGCATTCCTATAAAGTTGACATTAGCAGGTGTACTCCTTGAAAAATGGGCGATCGATAATACCTGGAAATGCGGTATGTAAGATACAGGGTCGATTAGTGCTAGTCGACCAACACACTCGGCACCAACGGCTCGGTTGTCTTCTTCTTCAGAAACATTGAGAAGAGCCTGCCATAGCTTGAGTGCTGAGGGAGCAACATCTGGGCGAACAATCTCGGGATGCTGAAGCAGCTCTTTTACCGAGTGAAGAAGCAGGTAGCTTTGATGATTGGGCTTTTCCAGTCCCCTCATGATAGTGGGCAGATAAGTTTTCACATCACCCGCGGCTGCATTTCCCAGAGCAGTGGCTGCAGCCAGGCGAACTTTGTCAGACTTCGAATCGAAGTGAGTTATGAATAGCTCCGGTGTCAACGAGCACTCATGGCCCATTCTAAGGCCGATTTCTCCGAGGATTGCGAGCGCGAGACATTTGCGTTGGGCATCTTGTGCGGTTTGCAACTCTTTAAGGAAATCATCCATCTTGACGCCTAGCTTGGATCCGCCGTGGACTAAGAGCGTTCCAATAGCCCTTCCAACAACAGATGTGTCGCCGTTGATGCCTACATCACGCAAAAGCTTCTTCATCAAAACCGCACCGGCACCTTCTTCTCCAACAACCTTGACGAGAAGTAGCAACGCCTTCAGAACAGTACCAACAAGTGAGGAGAGGACGATTGAGCAAAGAGCGGAAACCAAAGCCTCATTTACGAGAAGTTCCGCGTTTCCGGGAATCATTTTCGCAAGGATGATGAGGGCAGGAGCGAGGAAGTGGAAATCTTCAGCGTTGATAAGAGGCAACAAACAATCCTCTAATTCCTTCATAGTCTTCCCATCAAAATGTACTCTGGTCTTGGAATTCATAGCTAAACTGCGTAGAGCCTCTAAGCTGGCACCTCGAAGTACTCGATCTGACTTACGTAGCTGAGCCCCAAGTTCCGTGGTGACTTCGCCGACCCACGCCGCAGTGACATCTGCCTTCCTATCACACAGGACAGCAACGTCATCAACAGCACGTACAGCCGACAGTCGCGTAGTTTCATTCTTCAGGCGGTCTACCAACACGGCAAGCCCCTTTGACCGTCGGTCCAACGAGATGAAAGCCGAACCCTTCTCTCCCGATGTTCGTGCCAGAAGAACCCCAAATACATGAATGGCACGTTGGCGAACTTCCAGGTCGGCACTTGTGTCTGTAATGCGACTATGAACAACATCGTATAGCTTTTCTAATTGTGCTGCAAGATCCTGCGATGCAACAGACACCCGGGGTGGAGTGAGAGCTTTCACTATTTGCTCGACAGCTCCGAGCGCTTCGCTACTCACCTTGTAGTTTCTGTCATTGACGGCACCGATGACTCCAGGGATCAATGCGATTAAGAAAGGCAAAAGGGCATCAGATGTGTGTGTCTCCGCGACTGCAGCAATGAGACTTAGAGTTTCAATCTGGAGAGTGCCTGCACTGGCTGTAGCTCCAGCCGGTGCGGATGTGGTTACCGCTGGAGACGATGACTTGAGCACATCGGCTATCGGGTCTTCGATTTGTTGGAGATGATCAGCTAAACCACCATACCGAACGAGTGCTAAGTTCTTGAGCAATACAATTATAGCTTGCTTTAGTGGCATAGAAGCTTGTTTCCACATCTTTACAAGGCTTTGCACGACGAGGGGCACCGAGCGCGCCAAATCAGCCTGGGGGCCAGATTTCGGTGATGATGGAGCAATAACGGGCGTGCCGACCGCAGACGAGGTGCCAATGCTTGGTTCAAAGTCGATCATACTTGCGTCACTATCCTGCCTCCTTCTCTTCCTCGAGTTCTTCGACCCGCCCACCGATTCAAGGAAGCCATTCGATGTGATTATCATAACATCTTCACCTGTCTTACGGACGAGGGCAGTCATTGTCGAAACCACCTCCAGCTTCACGCTTTCTTCTCTTTCTTTGCCGAACCGGGCAATGAGGGCAGGCGCGATTTGCTGGTACAAGGAAGAGTCATCCAACGCACGACTCCGCCCGTAGGTCGAGATGACGGTGAAAAGTAGCTTCGCAGCACACCGGCGCACCTTCCAGCTCATGTCATCAACATCACTATAGCCACCTTCCTCCTCGAAATCTTCGAATTCATCGTCATCCAAATCAGGTTCCTCCGTTCCGTCGTCCTCGGAGCCATCATCTTGAGTGCCACTCATTTCTTCATCTTCCTCCATCTCAGCGACATTCGGATCGTATTTGAGGAATCTAAGGGCGGATTTGACCGTATTCTGTAGGTAAGGCTGCATCTTCTGGCCGCAGGAGCTTATCAAGGCTTCTAGCGTCACCAAGGCGGTCTCGCGGAGCTCATCCGCTTGGGGATCATGTTCGTCATCCTGGGAAAAAGACGACATCACAAGAGTTTCACGATAGCCCAGGAAATAAAAGAGGTGTTATGTTAGTAGAAAGGCAATCTAAGAGGTGGCTATTCGTTTTAAGGGAACACTGGTATGTTGTGAACCAACACCTAAAGCTAATCAGTTGACGTGAGGCGGCGGAGCTGGACGAGAGCTCTGGCCGATAAAGAGACCCCGCGCTAGACCCCAAAATATATCGGAATAACTATCGCCGATGGCCCGATCTTGGCATAAAAAAATACATAGCTAATCATGCAGCAAAGCTGTCTACTGCTGGAGGAAGTCAAACAAATCCAGAGAAGAACTAGCCCGAGATTGTTGTTTAGACGCCAATAGCGCTTGCAATCCACCCTGTTTTCTTGCCTTGGCCCGTTTCTTGCTGCTCGCATTATCGGCTGTCTTACTAGTAGGTTTAGTCTCGGTAGAATCAGGATGTTGTACTGCAGGAAGAGCTGCTGGAGGTATAGAGTCTATTGCTGCAGCTGTTTTAGACGAAATATTGGGGCGAACAGGCTCCTTTCGAGACGGTCTCACTGTGCGCCGACGGCAGCGGAGGCACTTGTAGATAATGGCCCCGTCTGGGGCTGCTGAGGAACGTTTTGTATTTTTCTTCTTGATATGAATGGTTTTAGTCCACTCAGGGGTTCGTATGCTGCCGCAAGCCCCACAAGAAGCTTCTTGTTGTCGCTGGTTTAATGCTCTGCTTTCGTCGAGAAAGATTTGGTTATGGACGGCCATTAGATGAGCCGCAGTGGAAGGGCTGAGAGAATCCAGAGAGCTGGCAGCATCCTTGAGAAAGCCCAACCGAGGGGCATGATCGCTAAAAGGCATGGCTAATATGAAGAGAACAATGATATTAAGTAAAAACGGCGATTTGCAGATGTGAACTGAGTAAAAGACAGGAACATATATTAATAGGTTGAAAGGAGCTGATCCTTGGACAGATAGATTGTTGCAGAGCGGCAAACAGCCAATTAAGTTAATTTTAGTGCAACCAATACAAACCCGCCGACTTTTGTCGTTGTCCTTCACTACTCTTCAAATTCCCCATTCTTCTCAAGCACACAAGAATCCTCACTTGTCCTCAATTCCCTTTGTGTTTCTTTCTGTGGTTTTGACATTGAGCCACTGTCTTTTTAAGAGTTGACAATTATGCAAAACTGCCTCTTTTCTCTCACTGCGTGCTGAGGGCTGGGTCCTTTCTAGTTCATATTACAGAGTAAAAGTTGCTTGTTTCGGTATCAAGTCTTTATCTACTCAATCCAGCAGTGTAACACCATGGCGCCGGAGCTCAGTTCTGCATCTATTCGGGTCGCCTTTGAAGGCTGTGTAAGTATCTCTGTTGTATTGTGCTGGAGACTTCCAGGTTTTCATAAGTTACTTCTACCATAATACTAACACAACGCTAACGTTAGGGACATGGTTGTCTTCATGACATATACGCATCAGTGGAGAAGGCCGCTACGTTGAAGGGCTGGGATGGGGTTGACCTTCTGATCATTGGCGGCGATTTCCAGGTATGATCATTATCTCTGTGTAATATTTCTATTACTAACACCCCCACCAGGCTGTCAGAAACTCTCATGATATGGCTTGTATGTCTGTACCACAGAAGTACAAGGAGCTGGGAGACTTCCATGAATACTACAGCGGACAACGTACAGCTCCTTATTTAACCATCTTTATCGGCGGTAATCATGAGGCTGGTAACCACTTATTTGAGCTCTACTACGGCGGATGGGTCGCTCCCAACATTTACTACATGGGAGCGGCAAATGTCATTCGTTGTGGTCCTTTACGTATTGCAGGAATGTCTGGCATCTGGAAAGGTTATGATTATCGAAAGCCACACTTCGAACGACTTCCATACAACCGAGATGAAATCCAGTCTATCTATCATGTCAGAGAGCTGGATGTTCGCAAGTTACTCCAAATTCGCACCCAGGTCGATCTTGGCCTTTCACATGACTGGCCCAAGCAGATTGAAAACTACGGCGACTACAACGCACTTTTCAGAATAAAGAAAGGGTTCCGACAGGATTCAGAGACCGGTAAATTGGGAAATTCGGCGGCGAAATTTGTTCTGGATCGTCTACGCCCAGCGCACTGGTTCTCTGCTCACTTGCACGTGAGATTTGCTGCGACCGTTGAGCATGGAGATTATATTACCCCGGAGCATCCAGGTGCGAAACGACAAGCAACTACTTCTCAGGGCCCGAATGCTCCAAATGCGTTTGGGTTCGACGGCGCTCTTGTCACGTCATTGCTTGGTGAAGGGGACACGGCAAGTAGTCACACTTTGCCAGCGCGTACCACCACAAACGAGACTTCAGATACTGCTAGCCCAGCTCATGTTTTTAAGTCAGAAGATGACCTCTCAGGATCCCATCATCAGCAGCCAGCTACGACACAAGGCATCGTGAACGACATTGATATACAGAAACCCGTCTCAGTTCAGCCAGACCATGAAGACACTCAAAGCAAGATATCGGCTTGGAATGAGTTTCACACGGTTGCCGCTAAGAATGAAGCGATTGAGAACTCTCGATATCTCATGGAACACCAAGGAGTTGTCCCCGAAGTTCAGCATAATCTAACCTGGAAAAGGGTCGATATTGGTGAGGATGGAGTTGGTCGGAAGCTCGTCGGAGTGGAGAGGGATACATGTGCTGACACTGCGGTGAACAAAAAGCAAAAGTTGCAACATGAACTTAACCCCGTGAAAAATTCAGATGAAATTGACTTGGACCTGGATAGCGACTCTGGTGAAGATGCTGCTGCAGATACTGTTCCTGAAGCAGAATCGCGGGTCATGGATCACCCGACCTCAACAACCAACATTACTGAAGGTCCTACTGTTAGCATTGCCAACCCCGCAGAAGATGTCGAAAAAGACACAGGAGACGTCTCTGAAGAAGTCCGGAGCCAGCTCCCCGCTGGTTTTGCACGACCCCAACCGCAAACATACGCGATTAATGGGCCTTTGCCGGAGTCCATTTCCAACAAGACCACACACTTTCTTGCTTTGGACAAATGTCTTCCAAATCGAGAATTTCTTCAACTTGTTGAATTTAGTACTATTTCAGATCTCGAAGGTACTCAGTGCGAGCGTCCTTATCGCTTGCAGTATGATAAGGAATGGCTTGCCATCACACGTGTGTTCGCAAACGACCTTCAGCTGGGCGATGCAACCGCCAAACCAGCTGCCGATAAAGGTGACACCGTTTACGAACCTCAGATCATCGAGGAAGAAAAGTGGGTAGAGGAACACATTGTAAAGCCTGGAAAAATTGGCATACCAGAGAATTTCATCCCAACGGCCCCGCCTTACGACCCGGCTGTTCCTATCACTACAGAACAGATGCCACCGGAGTACAATAACCCTCAGACTGCTCAATTTTGCGAACTGATTAGTATCGAAAACAAGTTCCACCTCACCGATGAAGAACGTGAAGCTCGCATAGCTGCTGGTCCACGGCCTGTTGAGTCTAGGCAGAACTTCTCCCGGCATTCTCGTCGTGACGGTCATGGGCCTGGGCGTGGCAGAGGTGGCGGTAGAGGTGGCAGAGGTGGTGGCCGCGGCTGGGGACGCGGACGCGGACGTGGACGAGCAGCTCCCTACTAATCACTCATCTCTGAAAAGTCTTTTGAGCTTCGGGATCATGTTTCCATGTCTATTTGCGGGAATACCCTCGTCGGAACCTATGTTACGTGAACTCTAATATCTCCACTGATGAACTTCCTGGCTTTTGAAATGTCTAAATAGTGACTCCTTCAAATCTGCATATTCTAGCATAAAAATTTGAGATATCAAGCTTGTCCAGTATATTTTCAACTCTTTTGCTAACAGTAGAAACGTCTTATCGTAATGTACACCGGTGTCTCGCAAATATAACAGTGGCTCATTCAATTTCTTCAATCCTAGGCCGTCCACTTTCATTTCTTCCTGCAAGAGGATCGATTTGAAGGCCAGCGATTCGGTCCCCCAGTTCCACGCTTGGCTCATTCTGACCTTCTCTACCATGAGCTCCAATTTCCCACAACAACGACTTCTCTACCCAAGCCTCCAAACTTTCAATTAGCACACGAATATGGCCACGGACAATGGTGTCTGTTTCGCGGCTCTCGACAAATGTGAGCGACCGCAGCATATGCGGGATATTACCTATAGTCGAAGGCCCACGGCTGCTGGCATTCTCACCCTTCCAAGACATACCATCATCCGTAAGTGAGAACCCAAAACCGAGAGCTTGACTTCCTCGAGCCTCACGGGTAGTATCGAGGGCCTTAAGGATGTCTAGAAGCAGGACAACACTTGCTCGTCGGAGAATTGCGGACTCAGGTTCTTTCTCTAGGGTAAGGGTCGCAAGCGCAAGGTCAACAGCCGATGAAGCCACTGAAGGTCCAAGACCAGCAATATTAGTCTGAACCGCAGTCGCCAGGATGGACAACGCAGATGCACGAACTCGCAGGTCATCCGGTTCCTCATCTGACGACGCACCCATAGCCCAGGCGGCGATGATATTGGCGGAATAGACAGCTTGTTCAGGAGACTCAGACTCTGAATCGTCTTCTTCGCCTTCTTGTATCTTTGTTGCTGATGTGGGTGAGGAGATCTTCCAGCCTGATGGCATTGCAGGTTCCTTATTTCGCCGTTCTTCGCGCTCCTTCTGTCGTTTTTCTTTCTCGAGTTGTTGTTTGCGGCGCTTTTGGGTCTCCGGCTTTTGTGCTCGTCGCCCTGCGACTGCAACTATACCCTCGCCTAAAATCTTCGCGGTCTCTCCGGTTAATGCTTCGCCGAGGTCTTGGACAGTTCGTAATAGGGACTCTCCGAGCTTGAGTCTCTGGTCTACACTAGCGGTTTCATTTCGGTCTGTGTAACGGTCGACTAGTGTTTTAACGACTGTACGTGGGTGTCTCGAGGCTAATGTGCCAATCAGTTTGATTGCATTCAGATAGATGAACTCGTCATTAGCCGCAGTTTCGGACGGATCTGTTATGATAGATAGAAGAAGAGTTAACGTAGACGGTATGTCGAGGACGGGAGAGGCTTTTTTAATCAGGTCAGAGAGAAGCGAGAACCCTTCAGCTTGGACTGGAGGGAGATCGGAATTAAGATTGGTCAGGGCTCGGCGATGTGTTTCAAAATCAGATGTTTCGGAGTATGGCCGTTTCTGGCTCTGTTCTGAGGGTGACGTGAGATGGATTTCTAGAAGCATTGAGGAAGTCGTCCCTGGTTTAGCAAGTGACGGGGGAAGGTAAGGGATCAGTTGGTCTAGTCGTGATTTGAGATTTTCAAGGACCGGTAGAGTATCCTGTGATGCCGAGAACTCGGGGGATGCAAGTACTGTGGATAGTAAACTGAACACGGCTGGTAGGGATTCGGTTGAGTCTGATTCTTCTCCGTTGCCTTGTTGTGTATTTTCTTCCGTAGGGACAATGTTCGCCAGCGAGGAGAGTGATACCTTGCCGCTTCCTAGATCACCATCCTTCTTTCGTGTACTTGTGCGATTGAGCTCCCCATCTATGATCTGCTTAATAAGTTCGAGTACTCTGAGAGGCCGACGAGAAAGGATATCTTTGAAATTCTCTAGAAGAGTTTCTGCCAGTTTCGCGCTAACCAGCTTGCGTTCCATGCTCTCGGCCTCATTCGCGGGGCCGAGATGAGACTTATTAAAGGATCGTTGATTACCCGGAGATTGAACGAGCCAGCTCTCGCTCACGTATAGAAATATATCGCCGGTGCGCTCTTCGCTGCTAGGATCAGCTCCCAGTAAGCCGACAAAAAGCTTAGCCCGAGATTGTAGAGTGTCTAGAAGTCGTACAATATTCAAATGATCTGACTTGGCAGTCTCGCGCTTAACCAACGAGACCCCATGGGTTGGAACCATACTGTAAGTCCAGGCGGAACCTCCATCCCAGAGTAGATGATCGACCAACTTTTTTAGAGGCTGTTCTCCGACCGATATAGCGAAGTACGTTTGTAACACTTCCATAATCTTCTCATTAAGAGAAGTGTGCTGTTTCTCTAAAGTAAAACAAGCCAATCCCCAGAGCGGAACGAGTATTGGGTAAACAACTCTCTTCACGAGACTTGGGTTCGGGGGCTGAAGAACCAAACTTCTCAGCCTATTAACTGCCACCACCAATAAGGATTCAGGCACAAGAACTCGGTCCGGCAAGTCTTCACCTTCAACTGAAGATAGCATCACCCAGTTCCTTGATGAATTATCCAGTCCAGCGGTGAGTGTCTTGAACAGCGGTTCCAGGAAGATAGAATGGCCTATAGTTCCGGGTGCGCCATAGGCACGCTTGCATAAGACCCCATTGCCAACCACGTATGCCGCAGTCTTCTTCAAATCCGGATCATCTCCATCAATCAAGGTCAATAGCTGGGGCCCGATGATCGAAAAATAGTGCGTTGGGTCCATGCCCTGCGGTACTGAGGATAGAAGGCGCGATGCCTGCATTATCGCCTGCACTGTGAAGTGTGGGCCATTAGACGTCTGATCCTGAGACTCCTGTCCTAGCGAAGGAGCAAGCTGTGAAGCTAAGAAGAGTATTGTTTGCAAAACCCCGTCGTGACGCAAAGGGACCCGTGATATTTGACTAGAAACTATTGATTTGAACCACGGAGCTGTATCCGACTGAAGGAAGCTGGACAAGGTGGACAACAAAACCGGGCTGGGTGTTCTACGGTTCTTCAGTATATGTAAATTATGAAATAAATTTGATCAAGACATACTCTTCAACTACCTTCACGAGCACATCATGGTAGCGCTGTTGTTTATCTTGGGACAAATGTTCTGCATTCGAGGCTAAGTCTGAGGCCGCACTGATTATATCGCTTAAGATACGGCCACGAATGACAGGTTGTATACTGGATCGTTCATCGCAAATAATGTCCGAAAGTACGGACATTATGTGTTCTAGAAGTACTTCATTTTGTGGTTTGTTATCCGTCGGCTTCTGTGGTTGATGAGCAATAACACCGGCCGGCAATACAGAAATCACTCTTTGCTGAAGAGGAATTCCCGCCCCAGATGAGAGTGATGGATAAATTCCTTCTAGAGAAATGAGGTCCAGAAGGGCATGTAACAGCCTGCGTCGCTTTGCGTCTTCCAAAGCGGCATCTTCCGACTCGCCTCTAGGTTGCGGATGTTCTGTGTCCTTTACTGGAGCAACAAACGCAATATGGATACGTGTCAGTATGTCTAATGCTCTCCCGACAACAGTAGCCCTTGTTGAGTTTTCATCTAAGGCTTCATCTATCACGTCCCCGCTCAATATCTTGAGTAGTGAGCTCCCGCGGGACTTTTGGAGCTCGTCTTGTATCTAGTTAGCGTATCAAGTCAAATTAAGTTTTCTTACTTCGTGGTTGCGTACCCTTTTGAAGGACGGGGTTTAGAAAATTGCCTGCGGCATTAAACGCTTCTCTTAGCTGCTGCGTATCGCACATGGTCTACTTATAGATAGGAAAAAGTTCCCATCCAGGTATTGTCATTTTTTGTCTACCGGTTTACTTGGACATTGCTTATGCAGCAAATGGCGATGATCTACACGTGACTCTCACACTAGCCTCTTGTGTAGCTTACTCATCAGGACCGCTCATTCATGGAATTTATGGCATCATACCGGATACGGCTAGCTTCTTTTCAATTCAATGTATTTGTAACGGAACCGTCAATGATATTCTCGACGTCCTGCTCCGCTGCTCTTCCACTAGAAAGTGTAGTGATATTTTCAACGAATATGTTCTTGCAGCGAGGCAAGAATAAAAGGTTGGGGTGGAAGGAAGATGACTGGGGAAAGTGACGGGTACCTCCAATGTTGCAGCGTACTCAATATCTGCTACAGGGAGTGCTTGGCATGTATTGCTCCTAACACCAGGGTCTCTTCGCCAATGTAAGAATACTGGAGCGGCTGCTTTTAGGTATAGAGTGTGCCCATGATAGTCGCTATGCTTGTCCCACGTTGACGGCTCTGTTAGATCCGGTAAGTCTGACCACGGTGTCAGACCAAAGCTAGTGAGAGCATTCAACTCGGGCTGTATACAGGAAAGTTTTGGTAAAGGGAACCCTGCAGTTGTGCTGTATTTCAAACTGATTCTGATGGGCAACACAGCTGACACCTCCCTTTGATCTATTGACAATTGCGTAGGTGTCTGCGCAGACAAAAGTCCAAGACGTTTTCGGCAAAGGCCCTTGGTGATGTATTTTTGTTGGCTCAGGCAGTAGAACGTGCTATTCTCAGGGACTAAAAGCGGTGCTCGCTCAAGGCGTGGTGAGCCAATATGCACAGCCTGCGTCCAGTCTCCGACAGTAGTCCACATGCCATGCTTTTGGCTTTTCATGACGCTAAATTTGATGTGGTATTGAATGGCTATTGCCCTGGCGGCCATGTCTTCTGTTAGCTCATCATCAGTCTGTGAGCTCTTGCCAAAGCTAGGAGGTAACTGCAGGTGTTCCCATTGAAACTGTTCGTGGCGGTGATGCTTTTGACAAACATGCGGCAGCAATTCTGCAGGAACGACAAACTCGAAAGGCAGACGATATTCTGTGTCTATCTGCAGTGTCTCGGCTTTCTGACATGGCATATCATGGAGTGGCTTATCCATTTGAAGAAAGGTCTTGGACACCGTAGGCTGGGGAAGTGGTATGTTGGTTTCATTGGTGTCCACGCGCACTACAGTTTTACCTATATTAATTATTAACTATCAACGTCCTATCGATAGGAGTATTCAGTGAGTACCTTCAAAAGATAGGCGTAGCTGATGTAGGGCAACTTGTCTTCGAGGAGTAAATAATACAGTTCCTTCAATTCTGTCGCCCGGTATATAACTTCTGGTGCTGTCCACTAGAGAGATTTGCACCTTTGCGTATGGTCGCTTAAAAGCCATTATGCCCATGCGCTGTTTGTTGAGCTTTTTGCTTGATTTAGCAACGAGCGACTGCATTTGACATTTACAACTATTATATAGGAATTTTCACTCCTTTTGACCTTGTTCACCCCACTCGTTTCAACGGAAAAGATTGTCTTTGCAGCTTGTCGGTGACTTTCCGAAAAGCCGATTCGAGATCTCCCACAACCTTGCTGGTCATAGCCTGCACCGTGCTTATTAGTGAGGCCCTAATTGTAATATGCTATGATACTGAAGCTATAGTCGTTTTGTTGCGATTGCCACTAAGTTGTCGAATACTTTAACCTGAGTGGAGATTGCCTCATCATACTTACTGCAAACCTGAACCCTAACATGTACATTTTGTGAAAGCCAACGTAAGTTTCAAATCAGTCAGCCATGCACATCCAATTTATCTACGATTTCAGCGTTGGTGGCAGCTACCAAATCCTCAAATACCAAATTGTGCTTTTCTGAAGCATTGTAATTTGTGTCGCTTTTTTACCTGTCTGGGGGGTTCGCAGCCGGGGTTGTTCCATGGTCAGTCCTGGAGTGGTCTGCTTGAGTATAACCGTAAAATATATAGTTTAATTAACCACGTATCATGGGATGCAAGCTGCTGCAGAGTTGAGTATTATTTTCATGAGTGCAGTCCTTGCAGTTTTATAGAAACTGTGGAAGGGTTTAATTCTACAAACGCGGTGATATATATCTCGGGTATATATACATGGATTGAAGTAGGCCATGGTACTAATAGTGACGCACCACTCAAGCTCACTCCTTTTCTTCTAGACTTTTGTTTATTCTCCGCTTTTCAGCCATTCCTATCTAACCTGTTGGATACTATGGCATCAAATGTTGATATTAAATATTTGGCTTTCATTACTCCGTACGGAGTGCTTTTCTCAACTTTCCATCGGCATCCTGACAGGTTGCCGGGGAATGGATGATTAAGCGGTCCAAGTTTGCCTCTCGGCGAAGAAGCCGAATCCCGACCAACTGCATTCGTACTCAACTCGTCCAGTTACTGTGCCTACAAACCGATCGATAGAGGGATCTTGTTAGCCGAGCAATCATTTGATCCATATGCCTGTTGTTAGAAATAACCCTTGCGGGCGCAACAAGAAGAAACCTGTCGCGTACGTCATGTGGTCCACAAAACCCTGAACATCGTTCTGATCTCTGTGCAGCTGCCACCGATGTCACTCTCACAAGGTCAAATGCTCCGGCGAACAGCCTTGCGCTAGATGCAGCCAGGCCGGATGTGGAGACGAGTGTCAATATACCTTACGTGATCGGAAGCTCAAGGTTAATGAAAGGTAGTACACTTCCCATTGGTTCTCGGTGGCCTTAGGGCTTAATCTCATACTCATCTTACAGTTATATCGACCAACTTCTCTCAGAAAACACCCGGCTGAAAGAGCAGATTCGTACTTCATACACACCCAACCCTTCTCCGGCAAGTACTGCAGACACTGCAGCACCACCTCCAGAATCCTATCCTTCACTCCAAAATCCTCTGTTTGGAGAGCGGGCTTGGTTCTACCCGTATGACTCGACTGCTCCTCCAATCTATATGGGGGATGCTGCCTGCACCGCATTTGCAACGCGGTTACGGCAGTTTCTCACAGAGGATCCGAATACAGCCCATGTTGCACGTACTCAATATACTCCTGAGTCTTCCTTGTTGGAAGGTGAATCTCAATGGCCTAGCCTTGCTCAAGCCCGCTTATTAGTCAAGATTGCTTTCAACCAACTTAGTCGTGTCTATCATTTATTCTTGCGCAAGTCCACTCTCGAGCAGCTGGAAAGTCTATATCGCCTACCATCTTTGCGAGATGACCCAGCCTTAACATGCAAGTTCTTCTCTCTTTTTGCTTTGGGCGAGGTCTACTCCTCGCGGTCGATTTCGTCGCCAACCAGCCGAGTGCCAGGGACAAGGTACTATGTGCGTGCGATGGGGATAATTCCAATTCTACCGGAAAGACCGGGCATGGTCCACGTGGAAAGCTTACTCCTGCTGGTGAGTATCGTCATCTATCTTTGAACGCATACTCTAACTGTAAACCAGTCATTATACTCATACTTCCTGAATAGACGGCACTCTGCGTACATGCTAGTTGGAAGTGCCATGCGCCTGGGGTTATTCTTAGGGCTCAATCACAATATTCCGGCTCGGCAATGCACGGATCCAACCGAACGCGAACACCGTGTGCGCCTTTGGTGGGCTATCTACATCTTTGATCGCATGTACACATCGAAAATCGGCCTACCTCTCCAGATTCGCGACGACGATATCTATGTCGACCTCCCAACGGTGGTTTCCAGTCCCGACGCCGAAGAGCAATTTTCAGATACCGCATATCTGGTGTCTAGCATCCGTTTGGCCCGTATAGTCGGACAGATTGTGGAGAAAATCTACACCCGCAAGCCACACCAGGAGTCCTTCCTACAACGAGAGCAGCAGTTACTACTCGCATTGCAGGAGTGGGTTCAGTCTCTGCCAGCACATATCAAATTACCGGCTGTAGAGACTCCTCAGAAGCACGTCGTGTCTCTCCACTTGCAATTCAACCAGGTAAGTCTTGCCACACAAGTAATGTCTTGAGGGATGTCACTGACATGAACAAGTGCGTCATATTAGCCACTCGTCCGATTCTTCTCCACGCCTTATTCCAACAACGTGCCCACCGCGACAATCACGAAGACACCCCGCAGCCAGTCATCACATTGAGCGAGGCATGCATCCACGCCGCCCGGCATTCTCATACCCTGATAATTGAGGAGTGGGTAAACGGTTCACTGCCAATGTACGGGTACTTCTACGCACAGTACCTCTTTTCCTCCGCTATCATCCTGGTGATGTCAGGTCTTCTGGCCTCGATCGGCACCACAGCCGATCTAGAATTCCTCGAGACAGCTATAGAGATCCTCCGGCGAATGAAAGACCATGGTAATCTTGCTGCTGCAGAGTTTTACGAAAACCTGAAGCGAGTAAAGCAGTGTTTACCGAGCTGTGCTGGAAGTATCGGTATCCCCCATGACGGCCGCGGTTATACGCCTGAGCAGTCCCGTCTCTCAGTCGGAGGTGCTGCAAATATGGACCACGTCTTAGATCCGACTGCAGTTCCTGTTGCAGGTCTCACTACCGAAATGGCGTTTCTGGAACCTACAATGCAAGACTTCCTAGGCAGGACAAATAATGAGATGGACCTGATAAACCCGGGGGTGTTCTCGATAGAAGAGGCTACTGGCATAGATGCTTGGCCCGCTACATTCTGGACGTCATGAGTCTCCACTTGTCTCTAATATTCATGCTTTTAGTCTATTCAACAATGAATCTGAACAACCAGCATATGCAAAGTCGGCCAAGCGGGGAGCCAACACCGGACTTATCCCTGACTGACACAGACTATTCCGAATGACCTCCGGAGGCAGCAAAAGTGTTAAACGGCGAACAGCCGAAAGAAGCCCTGAATAAAGTCCAGCATCAGCCCTCCAGAAGAAAACAGGAGCACCTGGAAGCGACAGCAGTGACGGTGTGCTGTTGACAAGTATGTCCGCTTCTACAGGTAGAACCGTTCGAGGAGGCGAAGTATGCCAAAGGGGTTGAAACAAGCCCCTCGTAATATTGTCAGAGATTCTGCCGATATAATGCGTTGTTATAAGTGTAACAGGAACAGTTACATCCACCCCGAATGGATATTAATGAATATCTCTGAACTTGTGGCCTCGTCATTTCCTATCCAAAATTCAACAAGATTTACGTCTCCGACCACTGATGGAATGTCGAGTTCCTAGTAAGCCTCCGTAGCCTTTTACCACAGTAGTACACTGGAACAGCAAACAGCATCGGCCCCATAGTCAAAGCGAACTCCACCATAGCAGGAGCAATAAGACCTTTCCTCGCACCCAAGGGTGGAACCCAATAACTCATACTAAACCCGATCGTATTTTTAACAACCGTAGCAACGACCATGATCTCCCCGGACATGGGCTTATAGCAGTCCACTGCGTATGCAACAGCAATAGTCGGCACAGTAGTGACACTGAGCCCGGTGAGCCCGTACCCGAAAACAAGGATAATGGGCCATGACCACTGGTGCTGATACCCTAATCCCCCAATAACATTTCCGATGGCAGTGGTGATGAAAAAGGGAATCATTGCTGGAAGACGCATCTCTGCCTCTCGAATGCCTCGATTCCGACGGGTCGCTTTGTCGGCTACCCAGTCTGAAAACGGTCCTGCAGTGAGCAGCCCTATCGTTCCACCGACGAAGAAGGCAAAATTACTATATCCGACAGCCCCCGAGGAGAAGTTGTAGGGTGGTGCAGCTAGGACGGCAGATTCCGTCAGGTTGAAGAAGAGAAGTAGGTTCGCTGGGCCTGCGACGTTTAAGCCAGCCCAAAATATGATGGGGTAGAAGAATGCGCGAATGGGAGAGAAAATGTCGCGGATCAAAAAGCCTTTCCAGCGAGGGTCGGGCTTCTGAAAGAGCATGAACTGCTTCTTGGATGGTCGTCCCTTGCCGTATTGCGAATCGGTATCGGAAGTTTCGGTGTCGTTTGGTGCTTTAATCGATTCGTGTGTGTCGTGCTTTTTTGTATTTGTCGTCGGTGCTGGCTCGTCTACAACTTCTGTTTTGCCTCCGAGGGTCGCCGCTGAGCGTTGGTACTTTGTTTCGGGGAAGAATAATACAATGGTGATGATATTGAAGGCTGAAAGAGCCAGGGATAGCCAGAAAAAGCTTCGCCATCCATGTCTATAATTGGGTATTCCCTTAGCTGTGGTCACATATCTACAACATAAGATGGTTCATTTGAAGGAAATTGAGATGTAAGCAAATGGGAATGGGTCGTCACCTTTCTGCAATGTTACCCGCAATCACTGGTCCCAAGAATAAACCAAAGAAGTAGGACGTACTGCTCTTCAATTAGCTCCCCTGTCATGGAGCAGCATAGGGTGAAACTAACAAATAGATACCGGTCCACAATCCCCTCTCATGCAGGAAGAACACATCTGCAACCACTTGCATCATAATACTCTCTGTCGTAGCAGTCGTAAGACCATTGACCACACGCGCTGCCAGAAAGGCCCTATGCGAAGTAGCAAGAGCCTCCCAGAGTACGGTAAGGAACGTCAGGGCCGCCAAAGATATACTAGCCAATCTTCTCCCGAATATGTTTGAGAACGGAACTATGAGAAAGTTCGCATAGCCTAGACCGAGAATGCATCCTCCTGTTAGAAGGCCAAGTTGGGTTTCATTGAGGCCCCATTCCTTGCCCAACAGTGGAAACATGGGTGCCATTGATAACGAGGATTCGACCGCCACGAAGACATAAAGAAATTGGGCGATGATGACCAGATCTGTTTCTCATCCATATATTGTTAGAGCATTTATTGGCCTTTCAATGCATTTGGACAGGATAGGGAGCTAACATTTCCAAGCTGGTGCCCAGTTGAGCGGATCGTCACTATTGTTCGAAGGCTGTGGAATGAGACTGAATAATGTCAGCTGCGAGTAAAACGCATCCCAATCGAGCTGGAGATAACCCATACATAGTGTCACTCCCTCTGCCATGCTTCAAATGACGATCCTCGGCGTCGCGTAAAACATCTGTTCCCGGAACGATGTCTACTTGCATATCGGCCGCGCCCATGGTTCCACCTCCGCTACGGTGGATGTTGTTAGTTGCCATAGCAGTTTCTTTCATGGGTTGATGTGATATTAGAAAGGCGGAACAAGAACTGGCCAGGAACATCAGATGTGAGGAGAGAATAGTGACTCTAGACGCAAGGGGGCCTACAGATCAACTTTTTTCCCCACGAAGAATGGAAGGGATTGACTTGCAGATAGTACAGCTTATCTGAGCTTACAGAACGACCGTTTGGTCGCATTTTGAATAGGGTTCAAATCAACCATGCGGTCGGACATTAAAAAGGTCGAAGACCGTCTCTGTGGGTGGGCTGTAGCCATGACTGGCGTGGAAAATTAAACAACCCTGGTTCATAAACGATCCCGACCACACTTCTATCCCGTTTGATGACGACCGTTATTGGCGCAAAGTGCGTATTGTGCTTAAAGCGGGTTTGAGGGCGTATGCACTAATGGGTAGGGTACCCAGATCCTTGTATACATTATATTAGCTTTTTATTGCTGTGCATGACTAGTTTCCGATTGGCCTCCCGTACCCGTTCCCGGCTCAACAGCCAGAGTACGAGTTACACGCAGTGCGACACTGCATTCACTTCGCGTCTCAGTGTCTTGTGCAACGATTGACGTGGCCTCCTTTACATAAAATGATACATATGTTGGCCAGTCCCCTTTAGTACAGCCATATATTTCGGAATATGTGGGAATTCTATCGGACCTGGCCCAAACATTACTATTTACCTAGTAATATGAAGTAGTACGTACTGCCACGGTGACCATCGATTAAATATTATACCATAAGATTATGCGCATATCCAGTGGCACCATTGAGAACCACAGTCCCATCATATCCTTTCGTGGGGAAGTACCTGCCTGTAAGGGTTCCCTTGCTCTCTCGACCCTGCCGGCACTTCGTATGTTAAGCTGATATCGGTTGTCTTCACGATTGTACCATCCTCGACCAACAGGATATTTTCTTCGCTTCCCTTCCCATTGACAGTGCTCACCAACAGGTCCGTCCCGTGGGGATGTGGCTTAGGTGCTTTTGGTGTGTGTTTGGACGGGCGGGAATATGACTGTAATTCCGTCCCATCGCGGCTATGTTTATTATATCGCCCAGTTGCCGATCGTGCGCTGGTCAGGATTTTGTGGAACATTATCATCAGGAGAGGACGGATTGGAGGAATGCATCCGACAATTAGGATAACCCACATCTCCGTTCTAGTATACATGAGTCAGCGGTGCAATGGTTCACGACTATCTTGTCGATGAGACTTACTCATTCCATGTAATGAGCTGCGACAAGTAGTCTATTATTGATGTCAGAAGTATAAATGAATATATATAGTGCCCATTCGATTCGACGGATTGGTGGTAGGGTAACTTACACGTTACATTCTCGGTCTTCGAGAGCACGCGGAGGTAGGTTGTTTTGACAATGGAACAAATGCATGCGCTTGTATTCTATCGTGAGCAAGTCGCTTGTCTTTCACATTACAGAACCAAGGGATGCAGTGCTCTTACATCACTCCCAATCCCATCAATATGCAGAGCCCAGTCTTCACTGGCAATCTGAGCTGTACATTCCAGAAAAAGCTGACCGGGTACAAGGCAAGGATAAGATCGCACAGAGCAGACCAACCTAGAAGATGCCAACGAAGTCAGTCTCAATCATTTCCACCATCCCACGGACTGGAAAAATTATACCCCCTTGGAAAAAAGCACAATTCTGAGTCCGGAGATAATCACAAGTCCCCGGACGTCTGTCATCCCATAGCTTGCTTAACGGTTGGCACTGAGTCAAAACTATGATTATAATAATCACATTGATCACAAGATTGCTGAAAGCCACTATCCATAGTATCGCAACTTTCCAGCGGTCCTCGGGGCCATGGAGATGCTGCAGAAAGGCCACAATGGCTAGCTTCCCCATCGCAATAGCGAAAAGAGCCGACAACTGATTCACCCAGCTCCATTTTATGGCCATCGCGGCTTGATCTTTTGTCAGGATTGTCGCATCTTGACCGAGGCCGTGGAGGATGCTCAGAGTTAACGCGATAAGACTCTCGGTACCAACAGCCTGGAACCATTTGAGGATGTGTATCCCGGTTAGTCTTCAAACCTTTTTTCTTTGGGGTGTCATATTCGCACAGAGAAAGGGGTGTGTCATACAAAGGTGAAAAGTGTTAGATATAAATCTATCCGGGTGCGCCGCGTGATTCGCAGTGTCGTGTATACTCGTGCCAGCAATAGGGAGAGAGCAATGGCGAATTCCACCCAAGTAAAAATCAGGAGAGTCGGGCCGTGACCGTCCACTGAGTTTACCATATCTTCGAAAAAGATTCAAAGGAAAGGAAAAGTGATAGGAATGAAAGTGAACAATATGACATTGTTGATATATACTTGAAGAACAGAGATCAAGGCGGGGACAGACTATAAAGGATGGATCGTTCAACATTTGATATGCAAAATCATTTCACTGACCGAAAAGACAGGTACGGCAATCCTTTCTCTCTCGATCCTCTGACCATAGAAAAAGAATTTATCATTCGATCTTACAGGGGGTTGTGCGTAAAGGCCAGGGAGCATCCCGGTAGTTAGTAGTAGCACTATGCTCAGTGCCCCCTGGCTATATACGTGTCTCTCTAATTTGCTCCAAGGTGCCTGCTGCAGGTGTGCCCCGATGTGTGCGTGGATGGGACTTAGAGTATGTGAAATATGCACACGCACCATCTCCTAAGACGGAAACCGACTTGTTGCAACATTGTTGGACAGTACTTTCCTTACTAGTAGTACCTACATGGTCAATCGTTGTTCCGAGTTTGCTCTATCATACCACTGCAGGGATTGAGCTCCGCTGCGGAATCTCGCAACACCGCCGATCCACTGATGTTGCGCCGCGAGAAGACTATGGCGTGCAGGGTACTAAAGTACAAAAACAACGCCCGCTAACCATTTCACTATCGATGCTTCGCCGACTACGAAGGGTGTATTACTCAGTATCACCTTGGGTGTGTGTATCAATGAGCAGTCTCCATTCCAGCAGACACCGATCAATTGACGGTAGATAGTCAGACACTGGTCTGGGCCTCATTTATTGTCAAGTCAGGGAAGACAATTTGCCAAGTCCGAGTCCTGCGTACAGCCCTAGAATACTACCCTGACTCTGGGACTCAATTACCGTCTTGGGAAGACTGCAGGTCGCCACGTCCAGGATAGCTGTATAACTGACGGGTAGAATGCATCACACAAGGGGAAAGAACAACTAATCATTTTCAGTAGTAAATACAAATGAACTGGACCACTCCGGTCAGTTCTATTGCTGGTATCTGTAGCGCGGGGAGCATAATCAACAAGTTTTGGGTTTAGTAGTGAACATCAAAGAAACACAAAGAAGTCGCTCATGCAGGAAAATCCAAGACCTTTACTCAACCAATGCCAAAACTCCAAATATGCAATCCTTTGCAGGGCACAACGCCAGTCAGTCCGACATTAAAACACTCATACATACAAGCCGTTAGAGGATAATAGGAAAAGGATGTAAAAGAAGAGAGAAAGATGGGTTGGAGAAAAGTTAAAAAAGAAGGGTAAAAGAGGAGCGGAAAGAAGAAGAAAGAAAGAAAGAAAGAAAGAAAGAAAGAAAGAAAGAAAGAAAGAAAGAAAGAAAGAAAGAAAGGGGAAACAGAAGGGAAAAGATCATCCGGTAAGAGCTTTTCTTTTTAGTACTCCAAGTTTCTCAAGCCTCTTCCAAGCGTGATCCATGTCGGAGCCTGGTTCGAGCGTGGGACGCAACTGCAATCCATCCAAAACTTTGAGGGAGCCGCCTGTTCCCGCATACAGCATCAGCTCAAATATTCTGCGTCGAAGCCGTGTCGGCTCATCTAAGTGGGACAAATATTTCTGGTCGGCCTGGGGGTTCGCTGGCGGCAAAGTGTATGGGTCGTTGATTTCAATATCTTTCTCAGGGATATCTTCATCATCCTTTTCATCAACAACCGAACGCTCTAACTCCTCAGCGTGTCCAAATTCAGCAAGCACAGATTGGATATCTAACCCAACTTGCTCACGTTGGCTGGGCTCATCTTCTACCTTCAAATCCTTTGCGTCTCCGGCTCTGCCGCTTCCAGTGACAGCCGGGGGATAAAATCGGACTGTAAGTGGGTTGCCTCTTACATCTACCTTTTGAAGGGTAGAAACCTTATTCTTGTTGGTTCTTCCTATCCGACTCAAGACTTGACACAACCTCCTCAACCGAATAATGCAGTTGCTAGCAATGGTCAGGCGAGAAAGGCAGTTCAATCCTGCCAGTTCATTGATGTCAGCCAGGGAGTTGAAGTTCAAGTTGAGAACCCTGACGTTTGGAAAATTGAGACCAAAGTCCGCGGGGAGGCTTTGGATACTGCAAGATGCAACATCGAGCAGTTGCAAGCCCGAAAGAGGGCTGGACGGAGACAGGCACTGCAGAGACAGCTTATTACAAGATAGGAAAACTTTCCGAACGTCTTTGACCAAACCCAGGTCCACGTCAAAAAACCCACCATTGTGGTCACCTGTATTCATCTGCTCTCGTGCAGAGAAGACGTCCAAGCCTGCACATTGCTCAAGTCCGGACACTGTGAAAAGATAGTTGTGGTCGAGGTAGAGAAGGGTAAGCGACGGGAAAGCTGTAACATCCAGGCTATGCAGTTGATTACTGGAGAGTCGTAAGGATGATAAGTATGGCAGAGGTGACGATGGAGCTACTCTAGCCAGCTGATTGAAACTAAGGTCGAGCTTTGACAATGCTGAAAGCGACTCGATATTTTGTATTGACATCAGTTGGTTATGGCTGAGATCTAACTCTTCCAAACGAACCCTATAAGACCAAATGAGTTGGTTGTCCTGTAGCAGTCTGGCTTGGAACAAGGGTACTTACAGCTCTGAGTCTTCAAAATCGACAGTTGTCAAGGTATTGTTCCGCAACTTCAGGCTTAAAAGTCCGTCCAATTCGAAAATGCCATCAATGTTTCGGATGTTGTTGTCCTCGGCTTTTAGTTCCCTCAGATGAATTAGACTACCGAATCCATCTAGGCTCTCCAGCTCGTTACCAGAAATATCCAGATATTGTAGGTTCACTAAGTGGCCCCAGGCTGTTAGACTGGAGAGGCAGTTATGCGATATTCTCAGAGTCCTCAGAGTCGGAGGCACTCCACTCAACTGTCCAATATTGTTGTTAGAGACATCCAAATCTTCAAGTCGAGGACAAAAGTCGCAAAGTTTGTGAAGAGTAATCAAGCCTTTATGGCGAAGGACCAAACGTCGAACATGCTCCCAATAAGGCTCAAAAGGTTCGACTTCCGTAATATGCTTCACTAACTCTTCAGTTGCCAGAGCAAATGTCCCATGCACCTGACGCAAAGATCTGGGGTGAGTGCGCTGAGCCACATAGCTAAGTTCTAGTTGTAGAGAATGGTCAATTTGGTGGACGGTAAAGTCAGGCAAAGGACTTAAATGGAAGCTATAGTTCGTGTCATGGTCCATATCACGGAGGCACATAAGCGAGTTTTCGGGATGACCCTTAAGCGGCGTGGATACAGCATCATTGCCCTGTCGGACTAAACTCAGACCATCACCTTGCTCTTCATTTGCCTCGTCTATTCTAGATATAGCATGGCGATAGGAGGCTGGCTCGGAGGTATATGTGTGATTAGTGGCCGTTTCAGTCTCTTGACCGGCTCTGCGGAGCTTTGACGGACTTTCATCGTCGCTATATGCGATTTGTGAAACAAGGGGCGATGAGAAACTGATTGTGACCACACGAGCTTGTTGTTTCCCGTCCTTTTGGCGCTTTGGTGGCTTCGATAAGTGACCCTCATGAAGCTGGATTTCGTGTTCAACCTCGCTGGAGGATGCTCTATTGCCTTGAGCTTCAGAGCCCCATGAGGTCACTCTAGTCGCTGAATGCGGAATACTAGAGGTGGATCGAGCCGTTTTAGGCTGCAAAGAACTGACAGCAACAGACGGCTCACCATCCTTGGTTCCCGGCCGAACCACTGAACTGGGAGAGCCGGTCTTCCGACTCAGCGGACTTTGGTCATTGGCATCTTCTGGCAGAACAGAGTCTCCCGTCCGTTCGGAGGAAGGCGAGTTTTGCATCCTCATCATTTCTTGTAATTCGTCAACACTAAGGTCAGGTATATCTCTAAATGGATCATCCTCACTATCTTCGCCTTTGGGCTTTTCGAAAGAAATTTCGGACCTTTCCTTTATCCACTGATGCCTGTGGCGGTCATAAGTCAGGCCGTTCACCTGTTCTGGAATCAAATGAGAAACTATGTCGGACGATAGGACACCTTTAGCGTGCGAACTTTGTGAAGACCCGGTAGGCACCGAGCGTGCACTAAGGCTTTTAGCCGATATTTGCGTGTTAAAGGTCAAGAGACCGGGCAGATCGTCATCTTCACCAGAAGTAGGTGCGGATGATTTGCGTTGGCGCTGCTCAAATACGTCATCTTCCCGTTGTATTTTCTCAGATTTCTGGTTTATCGCAGCTCCATCATCTTGCTCGACGTATTCTTCGTCGTTATCCACTCGAGAAGGCGAATCTTGTTGATTATCGAAACTCAGCGAGGTGACGGAGGCGTTATCCCCCAGCTCCAAGTCATCCTGTTCTTGGAACTTCTTTAGGTGGCTTAGAACTCGAGGGTTTGTCTCTTTTTGCTCTCGCAATTTCCGCATATCCACTCCCTCGCGACTCGGGGGACGCGAGAACTCCTCCCGAGTAGATTCATCTTCGTAACTTTCACTTTCGTTTTTATCTTCTGCCTCGGACTCTTCTACACTCGACAAGCCACCTACATTCCGGCCTTTTGATCTGATAATGTCCATGATCTTTGTTGCTTCGTTAAGGAAATCCTGAGTGGTGATTGATCCCTTGCGAATTTCTTCATGAACACCAGTAACTTTGACCACCGGCACATTCGTCTCCAGCGGAGAGTTCTCATCATTGTACACAACATCAGGTTCATTTTTACTTGGTGAAGATCTTTTCCTTGTAGAGCCTCTTGTTTGGCTTGGTGTTGGCGTCCTTGGGCGATCGGATGACTGGGGCCGAAGCAGGCTGTCATTGTCATATCGCAGACCGTGTTGCATAAGGCTTCTCTGTAACAACGACAAATTGTCAATTGGCTGGTTGGACAGTACTGCTTCTTCCTGATCCTCCCCTGCTATGATGTGAGATCGCAGAAATGTTCTGCGTCTCTTTGGGTTTGGGTCTTTGGCAGGACTGCCGGGATTCCACTCCGGCTCTACTTGTTCAGGATTTTCTAGTGCAATCGGATCTTGGTATTTTGACGCATTGAATTCACGGTCGATGTTTGAGGACTTGCCCGTCGAGTTATGACTGTTAGGCTCTGAACGACGGCTTGACTCTCTTTGCGAGGGACGTCGCAAATACCGTCGTCGCCGCGACAAAGGACGGAGCTCTCCATCAAGGGCGTCGCTACTTAGCAGCTTTGGCTCGTAAGGACTCGTGTCTGCGAAGTCGAAGTTATCTAATTGGCCATCACCGAACCGACTCAGGCGAGAATTTGCTGTATTCCGTGATCGCGGCCGTTCGATCCTTCTGATAGAACTTTCACCCGGCATATCGTGCCTTGCGCTTAAGAAACTTCGGCTCTCGCCCTTCCGTCGAGCTTCTTCTGAGGGCGAGGCAGGCTCGTCTTCTTCTGATAAATCGCCAAAGGTTTCTTCGAACTGGCTCATCCGTCGTAGAAGCCTGTTGTTTGTGAAAGTATCATGGTTTCCAAAGAGCTTCAAGGGGCTTCCTGGAGAGGGCATGCCTTCATTTTTATCATCCCCAAGTAGCGGGGCCTCTACATGAGCTGACGACGGTCTAGGCAGCGTGGGTGGGTCAAGTATGGGATTTGTCCGATTATAGAAAGGTGGCGAACTTCGAATCCTCGAGTTGGCGGCAAAGAAAGGAGATAATCGCTGGGAGGTGAAGGTTGGTGGAGAGAGTTGATGCTTGTGAAAGGAGCTCTCGTTTGGATACTGCTCTCGGCGCAAGTTCCCGAAAGGCCCACGGCCTCGATAATCTAAAGTCCCCATAGAGAGATCCTGAGGTAGTGAATGACTCGTAACATCGAAGATGTCTTCTTCCGGGGGTAGATCGATAGTAAATTCGGTGTGTTGATTCAATAAAATACTGTCACTTGCCCTTGAATCGGGGCGCTCATAAGGAGGTAGAGAGAGCTTCTGAAGCTTGTTTGTGACTTGCTTCAATGCTGACCGTATGACCTCTGACGTAGCGTTACCTTCCACTGTGTTGGTGCGTGAAAAGGTGATAGGCGTGATGCCCTCGTTGCGAAGGTCCTCTAGTCCAGTGGCAGACCTCATCTGGGTATCGTCCTGGGTAACAAATGAGCTGTCATTGAAGTTTGAGGGAGGTTCCTCGGGATCTTTTGGTATTTCCAATGTTGCATTGGGCGATCCTTCCGGACTGTCGCTGGGCTTCGCATTCAGTTGTAACTGAGAACTAAGCCCTGGTGGCCTATCTTCCTCATTTGACATATTTGCAGCATCGTTCTCGCCGGCGTCCTGTGCCTGCGATGACCGCCGTGGGCTTGTAGAGGGGTCTTTATTCGAAGGATTACCGAAATCCCACAAATCGTCTCTTTGTTTCATCATCGGAATCGCCTCATGCTGTGTCTTTTCAGATCCTGGTGTCGGAGGTTTGAAAACACCTTCTAGGCCGATAGGAGCGAACAAATCACGCTGCTCTCCCGCGGGTATCTCACCCCGAACCAGCCTTTTCCGCCATTCGGGCGTACCCTCTTTGGTTTTGCCCTTCTTCGGTTTCACCTGCACTGTGCTTTGTTGGCCGGATTGCGTGGATGCATTGGACACAGATCGCAGGGGTGACCTGGAGTCCATGGCCGATTTCTGCCTACGCGCCGAGGGCAGATCTGGTTTCGGGGTTTTCTTCGTCTTGTCCGGCGCGGGAGATCGTAACTTGGAAGGGGTCTTTGGGGTTCGCGGCGTCTTGGGGGTTGGTGGTTCTCTCCTCACAAAATGGCAGGGGCGGGATACCTTTTTCTTCTCAGCGGGGGAGGGTTCAATCGATCGGCGCGTGGGTACAGGAATGCGACTAGGAGAACTCGGTAGGCCTTGTAAGCTCTGTAAACTAGTGCGACGAGAATGACTTGCGGATCGCGCTGGCACCGGGCTGGTAGGAGTTCCTGGAACAGGCAACCAGTCGTCTGAGAGGTTGTCGAGCCATGGTTGGTTGCTCATTGTCGGTTCGCTTTATGACCGCAGTGTTCGCGCGTCGCGATCGCACAGTTGCAGTGAATGCAAACAGAGAGGTAATAATAACATAGAGTCCCCACTCATGCAGCTGCAATATCCGTCAAGGAAGGGGGAAATCTTAATATATAATTAAACATGGAAGTTCAAATGGGTTGGGTAGTAAGTTGTTGTAGCATAATTCTGGTTTTATTATTTGAAGTGGAGTTTGAGGCACTTTGAATTAACAAGCAGATCGATAAGTTAGTTAGTTTTGGGTGGTCCGGGCAACCCCAGAAGTATACCTTAAAAAGAATAGTTTCCACTTGTTCCACCAACAGCTCTTGATTAAAAAAGAAGAAACAAGGGAAAGGTAGAAAAAAAAAAGAAAAAATCAAAATTAAAAAAGAAAAACCAACTATACAGTACTCCGTAGATAGATCGATCATTCCCACGCGCATCCCCCATGTATTAATTTTTGCTTTTTCTTCTGTTCACCTTATCCATGTCATCTCACTCGTGCCTTACGTCGGGAAAATTCCGTTGTAACCCAAAGCAGAAGTCATTGAGATTTTCCACTTTGCCAAAAACAAGGGCGTATGCTACATGCATCCACTACAGGCTATGTGTTGGCAGTGAAAACTGGGCTGAATTGCTAAAGGCCAATGGAAGTGAGGAGTAGAAGGAATCCTCATCCTACTGGCCCGCCACAACCCGCTGCAAGGCATCAAAATGGATGCCAGGGCTTCAGGAGTTTCGGGCAATTTGGTAAACACGAGTCGGACATTATTATCAGGACCAAAACATGTGCATGTCTTCTTATTGTTCATCAATGCCTCTTGATTTCACTGGCAATGATGTCGCCCCTTTATTATTCTTCTTCTTCTTCTTCTTTTACTTCTTTTTTTTCTCTCGCTCTCTCTCTCGCTTTATTTATTTTGTTTTTCTCTTTATTCATTTTCTTTTAATTTTCCGTATTTTTTTTTTCTCTTGTGGATTGACATTCGATCAATTAAGCCAGTTAGCTTCAACCCGTCCCGCTATTTGTTGTCAGTCAGTTTCATTTTTGGGTGGGAAACTTCAATCCGACCTCAAATCGACCCGTATCTTCTATCCAATGGCACAGACCACAGGTCAAGGTTAGTGCGCAAGATTTCTCGGATATTTGCACCTCCGTCTTCACGAAGTTGATATGTACTACTCGTTAAATCTTCATACTTCCCGCAATCCAGTTCCAATGCTTCTGCCATGCCGGAGACATTGAAGGCTTCGGCTATTCTCCAATGTCAATCTAGAAGGACGGCGCTTGGGAGGGCTATGTTGTTAGTCCTATCTGCATACTTAAATTCCACTGTATTTGGAAGAATTGTCTGTATTTGTCTGCAAGACCCCAAAACTTCTTTATCTCATAGTCAAGCCGCTGCTTTGGGATAGAGGTAAAGCAATGGTTTACAACTTCCCACGCAGCAAAGCCTCGAGTGGTACACTCTAATCTTCTTTTAGCATCTATATGTTTATTGATAGAGGGTATATTACAGATGGCATATTCCAGCATGCATAGGAGAATAGAATAATGTGGGCCCCCATTCTAGTCCTAATGCTCTAGATCCAGCTCGTTTGTGATAATACATCTAAAATTATCCCGTCGGAAGCATTTCTCGCAAAACTCTTTCTCGCGAATTTTAGCTGGTCAAAAGTTGCTGCGAGGGCTTTAGCTTGATCTTGACACCTTGAAATCAGCGACGGGGTGATAGATTGCATTCTAGAGCGAGCGAGTTATTTCGATAGACTAATTATTAGGATATCCCATTTGACGGGGGCATTATAGACTTGGTATTCGTAGGCCAGTATACAAATTCATAAAGACATCATAAATATCCTCCTCACTCTTAGCGGTACCGTTGACCCGTCCATCTTTTTCTCTGGACACGAGTCTCTCGGTATGAGACAGAATCGGGGTCCAATACCTCTCTTTTTCGTCTTGGTGGTTTCATGAGTAGTATATATTGAGGTCGAACCTGACCTTCTCAAAGCTGAACGTACCTGCCAACTAGATACCGGTAGGCTAGCGGATCAAGGACCACTGCCCAAGACTTGCAGAGCGCAATACTTTAATAAGCCGAGGATATACTATAATTTAAGCAATCCAATCAGTTCAATCGATTTAATATCAAGGAATTTACTAGTATAAAACTAAATTTATACTGTAATGCTTCTTGAAATCCGCATTTGGCTTAGTTGAAGACCAGATGTGTCAACATCGTCGGGCCTTCAATAATCCAGCATCCACCACGTTGCTGCGGGAATCAGTGGGGGGCGCGTTAAGTGGTTTGCTTCGCGTGACCACACCGGAACTTCCACAGTAGCTAAGAAAAGCTTTGATCTACGCAAATGGAGCACTATCGGTCCAATACAGTACCCAACAACACTTTGTCGCAAAAGATATGAGGACCTCTCGGTCGCACCCAACCATCAAGTCCTCGGTCGCTCAAATGCAGTCAGTGTTCGACTGTTGCTGCACAGTAAACAATCATACCCGTTGATGATCTCATCCCACCCAGATGCCACCCCGTCGACCGGTGTCGCCGCTTACTCTGGAAACATGCTCTCCGCCAACTTCCGATCTAGACAATGGTGGCCTTCTTGGTTCCGACGATGAGCTGAATGATGAGGAACGTGATGCGCAGCGCCAGAGGATTGAGAAACTTGCCGAGTCATATCTCCAGGGCAAACCCCTCTTCATTCTCTCAGCTTCTCTACGGGGACGCTTCGATGAAGGCTGGGTAAACCCTTGGAAGACCAATAGAAAGCGAGCGATACCACCTTGCCACAAGACGATACTGCCACCCAAAGAGCCCGAGATTCCAGCAAGCCCTGTGATACATGAAACGAACTCTCGGAGAAGAAGAACATACCAAGAGCCTCGGGAAGTCCGCGATTCGAGACCACCCACTGTCGCTCCAGATTCAGATATCCATGTGTCAGGTCATAGAAGAGATGCTTCTGCTCGCCTCGGTCGCTCGTGTGATAAACGTAATAGAAAGTCGGTTTCTCCGAGCACGCCTCGGACGTCAATACCGTGGGCAAGACCAGGCGATTCGAACGCACAGTTGCAGCCTGCCAGCACTTTGGGACTCCCAAACGAAGCTTGGTTGAAGAAAGACCGGAAACAAATTAGCTTTCAAAATGTTGATCTGCCCACATCACCAACAACAACATTGTCATCCCGCTACTCAACCAAGAGTCGCGCCTCCAAAGACGCTAGAAACAACAGCCAGACTACATCATTTGAGCATGAAGAGAGATCCTTTTCAGAACGTCGCACATCATTTTCCCCTGCACATGATGGCCCTGGTTCTGACCCTCTCGATATCAGCCGTATCCCAAACAGTATCGCCTCTTCCCCTGCCAAGGAGCAGCACCTTCCCGGTCTTGGAATAGAAGCGACCACCTCCGGAGCGGTGAGCCAAGGCCCTTCATTCTGTGTCCTTGCGCCGTCGTCGCACCTACCGCAGTTTGAGTACCGTCGGAGGAAGTCTCGTGTCTCCAACGAAACAAGAGGCTCCAAATCCCCCATCGCCGGGGATCTGGACGCTGAAGAAGAGCCACGCCCATCAGATTTCGCAAAAGGTAGCAAGCCTCCGGAACAAGAGGTCATATCTCTACAAGATACGTTTTTGGCCCATCCCAATAGACATGGCCGGTCCGAGGCCGACAAAGACCCTAAAGACCTTTTCATTTCTACCAGCACTACTAAAGCGATTGGTAATATATCTATTTCTCAGTCGGCGAAGTTTCGATCTACAAGTATTGTGAATAAGGGTATTGCTAGTGAGAGGTTGCCGTCAGCTCAACAAGTGCGTGTAAACCCAACCATGACAGACATCACGTCCCTGCATTCGATTGCATTACCGAGAAGCAATTCGGAGTATGACGGCGACACCATCCCCGATCCTCAATTCTCTACTCAGGCAGCTCTCCTGCACGCACAGAGGTCGTTCCAGAATGACCTCGACAGCCCGGAACACGATATAGCATCTCCAGAAAGACAACATACTTCCAATTCCTCCAACCTTTCTTCACCTATTGCGAAGGATATTACTCCTTTCCATCGACTGTCCACACCCAATAGAGCTGGAGGAAGTAGCGGGGTAAAGGCACCTATGACTGCCGGCCAGTGGCAAAGCACCCAGTGCATGATTGATGCGGTTACGCCGTTTACCTTCAGTACAGAAAAGAAGCGAAACCGTCGGACTATGTCCCCAGTGAAGCACTTAACAGCTAGAAAGAAATTAAAAATTGCCAGCTTTAAGCTATCATCACCACCCTCGTCAGCTTCTAGTGAGGCGCATTGCGAACAGGACAATAACTACATACACTCAAGTCCTCTTCACCGTCGGTCTCCTGGGCATGAGACACAGCATAGCGTACTTCCAATGACATTAACGGGTACAACACCACCTACCGCTCAGGTAGGGCAGCAAGGCTTTCCAGGTAGCGATAGCTTTAACCTTGCTCAGGCGATCGCCGACGCAGGCAGCTGGCTGCAGCAGAGCTTCGACCTCAACAAGGATCTCAGACTCTGTGAAACTTCCAATTCAGGTCCAACTTCTTCAGCTGGCACACGGCGATCTACAATGGGCGTGGATAGTAAAAAGTGACAGATCTGCATATGAGGGCAGGCTGTTCAAGTGCTCATAAATCTTAGAACGCATTTTTCTGGATGGAAAGCATGGCGGAGCTGGTCTTCCCTCGAGGCGGTAGTCCTCTGTGTCTCTATATTGACCTTGTTGTTTTTGGTCAAGATATCTTACCAGTGACGCATTTACGATTTGATATTTGTGAATAGAAATATATACCCTTGCTAACCATCAGTTTTACAATTGCATATTGTCAAATACTCCAGACATACAATTTGATTATTCTAGTAGTCTGTGCTCAGATTGCCTATTTACTTAGCAACAGGAAATTATATCGTATAACACAGTCCCTGCATACTAAGCATGGTCTTCAAATCATATTAAGACAATTCTACCCTGTCTCCACGAACTAACAAGGCAATCGTCGAACCCTCACGGACTCTAAACTCCTCATGCCCACAAGCCCTAAGGATCGCCGAAATCGCATACGAGTGGACCGTAAGAGAAATAAACGAACTAGAATCTTCCGCAAAAAGCTCCTCGAGAACCTTCTGCTTCCTCGCAACATGCTCCTCAACAGACTCCCACCGATCCGGACTCCACAGAAGATCCTCTTCCGAAAAGCCAGGCTCAATTAAGTACGAAGGATGATGGCCTGCAATCCACGTCCGTGTACTTCTCTTGTCGCACGTATGATCCGTTAATCGTTCCCTCAGCAGCTCCTTCACTACAGGCTGAAACTGCTCTCCGGATTGTTCCATAGGTTGGGAGAAAACGAGCCGCGTAGTCTCAAGACATCGCGCCAGGGGACTTGTGTACAGCGCCTCTGGAAGTGGTACCTTCTCCATAGTCACGGCATCTGTCCAGAATTGGCTCAGTGCTTCCGCTTGTTGGATGCCGGCTTCTGTTAGCTTTGCATCTACCCAAGAGATGGTACCGTCTCCGTCGAGGTGGGACCAGTAGTTCTGATTCTATTAGTGGGGTTGGCTATATAGGTGAAATGAAATCGGGAAGAGCGATATCATACATTCCATGCTTCTCTGCCGACCTTGGCTTCGAAAGCATTATGTATACCGAGTCCGTGTCTGGTTAAGTAGATGACCTTGTAGGTCACGCTGTCTGGGCTCTCGGCGTTTAGTTGGTTTATATACTCTGCGAATCGCTCCCACGGCTTCTTGGGTTCTGCGTCTGGCTGAGTATTGGTTGGTGTGCTGTAGGGTTGGTCGATAAGCCCGAGGCTCGGTTGGGTAGTTACTTTCGAGCCTGGACTTTGTCTGGCGATTTCGTGGTAATTTACGAAGAACTCGGGTATGAGTTTGAACTTGTAATGAGATGTTGTTGCTCTTGGGTGCTCCATTCTTATTGATACACGTAATCATGGGACCTTGACAAGCTGAGTACAATTCATAAAAAACCCCAGGCTGAGATATGCAACTGAAGTAGAGCAGAACGAAACAGCCTGGGGCGAAGTGAACTTTGCCGTTTTGGGTATGGTCTCAGACTCAGTGCATCTAAGATGACATGTACATGTGTACATGATCACATACATGTCCCACAAGTACGTTTTATGATGCTTAACCTTTAGCTATGGGCGGGGGCCTTTTTCACTTCCCGAAAATGGCATTCTTATTTCAAATAGCAGTACAGTACCCTTTTTCATTTTGTGTCGTCTCAGCACACATGGATGGTAGCGTGAATTCCTTGGTGTAGCATATACTCGAATATCTGACCCAACTGTTGGTCTGCAACACTCCCGACCACATGTATGGAGTTACATTCCATGGCTAACGCTCCCAAGCCCAGTGATGGTGCTTGTGCCTGAAAGTATCGCGACTCTTCGTGAATCGGTCTCATGTATGACGTTGAAACCCTTGGTACGTCGTGGCTATTGCGTGCATAGACGCTCTGCTCAGTCAAGCCGTTGCCACATATGGTTCGGTGTTCACTGGTGGGCTGCCCAAACGGTTGCTGATAGATATCGAGCATCGCAGGATTTTCTTGTGGGACGATGGTAGGATTGTATGTCGCATTTCCCATAATGACTTGCTGGCCGAACACTGTCGCTACCTGGGGGATTTCAGGACGCCATTGTAGAGGGTTTTGCTGCCAGCAGATTGACATTGCACTTAAGCAGATCAGCAAAAATAGTGGAACCAAAAGCCATAAGGAGGCCATTGCTTACCGGTTCCTGATTTCCGATATTGGTCGTCCTGCTAACCCCGTCTGGCCGTAGCTTGATTGATGGCCAACCACATCTAGCAGCTCGATGTCCTGCGGGAGAACTTGTAAGATGAAGTCTGGCTGTTTCGCAATGGATTCGACCTACATCCATCTTTTCCCGACTTCGGCTGGCGACGATTGGATGGAGAGTTTTCTCCCAGTGCTCCAAGCATTCTTTCATCTCGTTATATGTGTAAGCACTCACTCTATATATCTATGTGTGGAGGAGATACTCACGGTCAGGATTCCTTGTTTTGACTGAGAATGAAACCTCGTCCCATCTAACAAACAGTGAGTTTATATCTTTGATATAGCAAAACAATGAAGGCGATAACACTCACCCAGGTCCATATATTGCAACAGCTTCCCTTAACCGCGTCTCTTCATCTGGTGCCCAAGGCCCTTGCACCCAGCGTCGGTCGATCTTGAACCATCTCTTGCGGCAATCTCTATTCGTCCTCTCTGGTAATGATTGTGCAACCAGCTTCCATGCAATAGTATCCTTTCTGGTTTTCTTGGGATCTGATGGAGGAGACTGGTCCTCCCCACGGATTGTGCAAGCGTGGACAGTCTTGAAGAGGATTCCATCTTCCTGAGCAGTCCACCTTATAGGTGAACGTCTTCTTATAGAAGGTGGGGTTTTTCTTTTTCTCGCCATTGCTGGATCAGGCCGCCCTAGTATCTCATTGAAATCCACAAAACTCACGATGGTTCCAATGAAAAGTCAGACTCCATGCCAATATTTATATGTGTGCAATCCAGAGATACTAGGAAAAGGGCTATAGCGCCAAAGTATGGGAACCTAATACTGTGCCAACCTCCCAGGAAACACGCCAACGCCACCACGCTATAATCCGACACTGTATACACTCTCAGATTGCACGGTCGAAATTCTAGAGCTTATAGAAGAAAATATGGTAAGGTACGGCACGCCTGGAGTCTCAGGTGGAATGCGCGTTCTATTCGCCACCTTGATATGGCTGACGCAGGTCCATAGGTTTGGAACCGTCCAGAAACCACTTCGCTTTACGATAAGGGTGTCAGCTCCTTCGTCATTCCTGGCGATCATACATATCTGTTCATTTGTCAGTGTTTTCAAACACCACCCTCCCGCTACAACTAATATAGTCACCATGCAGCTCACGTATTCCAGAAAGCTCCACACTACGCATTTTCAGGAGCTGAGAAGAGGGCTGAACCGTTTAATGTCAGAACACGAGCATGTTAAAAAACATCATCAATCATGACATATCACCTGCTCAAATTATTTGTAGTTTGACACTCAAAGAAGCCATACAGTGAGACTAGCCCAACCGTGTTCCTGGGTAGACTCACCTTTGCTCGTATTCTTGAGACATCTCCTTTCACGCTTCTACATGGATGTCTGGCGTTGCAATGAGCTGAAACCCCCAGAGTTTGTTGATTCTAGAACCCACAAGGACGTGTCTTTTGGTTCTTAGAAGACGCTAATATCAGATACATGCATATTTTGAATCCTGCCAGTATGTGATACTATACACTCCTTCCTAAATAGGCATATCCTGTTCAACTTTCACGAGTGAAGCCCAAGCTATCTAGTCACACCATAGAGTAAGGCTCAGGGGCTGTGGCGTACCGAAGCAAAGCGAGATTACACGCTGCAACCGAAGAAATTCTGTAATTCTAAATAGCTATAATTGGTAGCCAAGGAACATTGCAAAGGGGGGATTCAGCAAGTATTGAATGCTGTGACCAGCGCCATTTCTAAACAGATGCTCGATCCCTTAAGCAACCACTTGTAGCAATGTTTATAGTAACAAAGCTATTCAGACAACACCTTCGAGGAAGATCAAATTGATTGTTGTAGACAACGGAAGGAATTTCTCTATCTTCCCAAAGCTGACCCACATCAATGGAATCGTGGCATTCGAGGGAATCTTGATGATCTCGTCACTCATAGTATAAGCCGGGTTATCAATTGCGGCGACTGCTGACCAGAATAGGCTTGAAATTGGTCCAATAAATCTTGAACTTGTTCCAAGCTCCCTTGCAATTGCATTGTGTCCGTCAGCTCAGGATCGATCCGTTCTGCGATGTCCATTGTCGGCTGGCAGTGGACCATAAGAGCCGTCCGCAAAGTTCCAAACGGGATGAAAACCGGCAGCAACAAGCTGTTGAGGATCTTGTTCGAGGTCTCCAAAGGACAATTCCAGCTCATCTGTTGAGGGCATTTTGAGCTCTGTCGGGGGTGGATCTGGGGTCTCGAGAAGGGGGGGGAGTTGGATCAGTGAGTCAGTTGACGCAATTGTGCTCGATGTCAGGCTTAGAGGAATCAAGGAATATTGGTGCAAAGTGGCCCGATTCGTGAATTTGCTCTACTTAGGTTCATTGCAAGTATGCTGGGGCTTCTTAAACCTCGAAATTACCTTCCTCGAATGGCTATCTACAACAGGAAGACGCAATTCACTCAGCAGTGAATGAAGCAGAAAGGAGAAGAGTAGGAAGGAATTGAAGCAATGTCTATTATGGGGTGCAATGGCCAATAGTTTACCTGTATTTAGCAAGGCCATACAGACCTACCTATATTATTACTCCGTATACGGGGCCGAAGTTCGAAAGTTTTGCCGGATGACATAGTCATTGCCTGAGACAAAACTGCGCCGGGCACACCTATAGTCTCCCGTAGGAGCTATACCCCACTTGACAGACACACTCCATGGAGCTAGATTGGATTGATACCGATTAATCGATAAGTCATTCACAGGTACCTCCAACCTCACTCGGTATTCTGTTCAAGATCGCGCCACCTTGACTCTCGTGCTGTACTTCCGCATCTTATACAACACTTTCCACGTCCAATATTTGTCCTCGAGCTTACCTACCATCATCTTATTCGACTGAATTTTGTTGTGCGGGGTATACAGCCATGGCGGACCGACAGGCAGTCCAACAGAACCTCAATGGTCTGCTCTCAAAACTGGATGATCCAGATCCTGACATGAGGTACATGTCGCTGAACGATCTTCTGAGCATTCTCAACAGCCCCACCTCAGCATATTTGGCTCACGATCAGTTTTCTTCATCACGGCTGGCCGACGGCTTGCTCAATGCCTTGGATGATCAACACGGCGATGTTCAAAATCAAGCATTGAAATGGTTAGTCTATGGTGCACACCTTACTTTTTATATTCAGGTCGAATACATGGTTGACTATAATGATCAGTCTCGGTCCACTTGTGAATCGGCTGCCTTCCGAAAGCCTCACTACCATCCTCGAAAAGCTCTCGAACCTGACAGCATCTCAGACCATCGATACCTCAGTTCCTAACACCGCTCTACGTGTCATTGTCACCGCCCTTCCCCGTCCTCAGTCTGGGCAACCACCTACTCCAGATGTCTCCATGGCTTACTCCTCTGTCTCCAAAATACTGATCCCTCGCTTGACCGGTCCTACACCATCTCAATCTGGCAGAAGAGGCTCCGTCATCAAGGGCATGCTAGAGAAAGATACTTCCAAGGGTTTTAGCAGCGATGCGATTGATGTTCTGATTCAGGTCGTCACCTGCTTCGGGCCACTTCTCAAGGAGGCCGAGTTAACGGCTCTCCAGAAATCAGTGATGTCCATCATCGACAACGACACTGCTGGTACCGTAGTTACGAAAAGAGCGCTGGCCGCCATTTCCGCCTTGGTACCTCATTTCTCCGAGGCTCAGTTCAGCTCGTTCGTTGACGAACTCGTTAAGAGGTTCAATAATCCACAAATTAGCGTCGTGCACCGAAGGCACCTCATTGCCACAGTCGGTAGCGTCGCAAGGAGCAGCCCGACCAAGTTCGGTCCCCATCTTCCAACACTCGCTCCGTTTGTTTTTGCTACCGTTGGTGAAGTTATCGCGACTTAGAATACTAGATACAAAAAGATTAATCAAGCTAGTTGAATGAATTTTTCGGATACCCTCCGTCGCTCATCTATCTAATGGTCTAGTATCTTATACCTGCGGTTTGACAATACTTAGCGTCCCAGACGAAAACAGGGGCTACCGGCTAACACCCAGATCACAGTAAGTCGACCGCTCAATAGTTGTGAAATAAAAGGTTCTCCGATATGAATTTTGGTAAATGTAGGCAGGTATCCAACAAGTCTATAAGTCTAAAGCTTTGGTCATACTCAGTTAGGGCCTCGTGGAGGTCCATTTGCAACCTTAACATGGCTTAGAACCTAGAGGTCTCCAAGAGCTAGCGGGTAGAATCAATGACAACCATAGGGTACCAATGCAGAAGAGATTTGAGCAAGCAATAGCACCAGTGCCTTTTTATCATTCCCTTAGTATATTAGATAATTAATGTATCATTTGTAATGCTGAGGGGATTGGCCTGCTTCTACGAGTCAAGATAAGGAGATAATCATTGCACGTTGGAGTGTGTCGTTGGGGCTTGAAGTATCAACTATACATATAGAATCCCCACTCGAATTTCCACTATAATTCAGCATTTGCAATTCGTGAAGACTTATAACTTGAATTTACTGTTTAACCACAGGTTCTCTTATTAAAAAAAGACTTTCACTCCTTTTTCCTTCTCCATTTGGTGATTCTATGTACGAACTCAGGAGAGCGCTCATATGGCTTGTCATACCACTCATACGGTATATATAACAAGAGATTGTAGTATCATAATAAAAATACTATAGAGACACTACGGATACCGTACGCAAAAATAGGTACTGATTTTAGGGGTTACTAGCCCGAAAATGAGACATGGTCGAACAACCTTTACCACACCTTCAAGCTTGAAACCACCACCTAGAGAATGTACCGAAAGAGAGTTTTATCGAAGCACAATATATTGCCAAGATCGAGTTCCATAGGGACTTTATTGTCATGTATCTCATGGTATGCCCGCATCATGGTGGTGCTATCTCCAGATTGTGTTGAATATAACACTGATTGCACGAGTGATGCAGTAGTTATGTGATGGAAAGAACGTGCGAGTGCTTTGGAGTATCGTTGAGAGAGACGCCGTTGTGGTCGCAACCTATACCTGAATATCTGGCGTGGCTGCTGCTCGCTCCTGCCATTTTACCAGAATCATACTGCGCCTTCCTTTGGGAGCAATGTTCGCAATGGACGAGCACCCATAGACTATCTTCCATGCGGATTTTCGTTCTTCACCCTCTCACCACTCACTCTTATCCCAAGTACTGCACCATATACAAACCCATCTCGTATTATCGTCTATATTATCAGATACATCTCACTTATCCTCAACTGATACCTCAAAAATGCACTTCGGTCGATTGACGATCATCGCCAGCGCGATAGCATGCTCCGCCGCGCAGCTTGCCCTTCAGCCAAGCAGTACGCTCGAGGGTATTGATTCGATCACCGGCCTTGACGGGAATGATACCATCCATGCTTTGGTAGAACGCAACTTGCAGGCCCGATGCGGCCGTGACTTCGGCAAATGCTCCGATGATGGTTGCTGTTCGACTGCAGGTTGGTCTTTCGCTTTCGCACAAAGAAGGCCAGGCTAACAAGACCCAGGTTACTGCGGGAAAACAAAGGCCCACTGCCGCTCGCCTGATTGCCAGATCGATTACGGCCACTGCGATGCTCATATGACACCTGACGGACCTCCAACGTCCGGTATCCCTCGACCCACAATTGGCCAGGTTCCATACGGTCCCAAAGCTGTCCGGTCATGTGCTGGGGCAGGAAATGTTGCCTTGACATTCGACGATGGCCCGAACAAGTACACAGAGGATCTCCTCGATTTGCTGGACAAATACGATGCAAAAGTGACTTTCTTCATCACAGGCAACAATAACGCCAAAGGACCCATAGATACCCCAGGGATGCCCTGGGCCTCGATGATCGAACGCATGTATCAGAGTGGACACCAGATCGCCAGTCATACCTGGTCGCATCAGGATCTTAGCAAAATCACACCAGAACAACGTCGGATTCAGATTCTGTGGAATGAAGTGGCGCTCCGAAATATTTTGGGCGGCTTTCCAACGTACATGCGTCCCCCATATTCCAGTTGTACTGAGGAATCCGGCTGTCTGAAGGACATGGGTAATCTAGGGTACCATGTCATCCTGTATGACATTGATACCGAAGATTATAGCCATGACAGCCCCAATGCTATCCAAGGTTCCAAGGACATTTTCGACAAGAATCTGGCCCGGGGAAAAGCATCCGACAAGTCTTGGCTGGTTATCGCTCATGATGTGCACGAACAGACTGTGTATAACCTCACAGAGCACATGCTTAAGAAAGCCTCCAAAGACGGCTACAGTATGGTGACTGTTGGCGAGTGCCTGGGTGATCCCGAAGAGAACTGGTATCGTATGGATGAGAGTTCTGAGCATACTATCCTTCGGAAGGCCAAACCCCTTGCTACTGCCAACCATGCCATTTCGCGCGACGGTCGCTGCGGCGGGAATGTTACATGTCTGGGGTCGAAGTTCGGATCATGCTGTGGCAAGAATAACTATTGCGGGAATACTCCCAAGTATTGTGGGGTTGGCTGCCAGCCTAACGCTGGTCATTGTCAGAAGGCTAGACATATATCCTCTGTTCACAGACATGGACCTGTGAAGCGTCCCGCAACATCAGGGGCGGACTCTTTGCTGCAACCTGGATCGGAAGCTGCGGATTTGGTTTTGTTTGTAGCAATGACCTGGCTGATTGGAATGCCTTGGCCACTTATTTTGATTCTGGTTGTAACCTTGGGGTGATGGCTATGAAGTGATTAATCTCTATACTGGCTTGTCAGCGTTTTCCTTTGTAATTAGTCAGTATATTCTTCCACTAATACTCCTGGTGCCCGGATACTGGTTTGGATTGACATGGTACACTCGTTTATGAAGAATGCAGTTCGTAACTCATCTCATTTGACATTATCACATCCCGTACCATCGCGGTGATTGTATCATATACAGGTTAGGAAAACACACATATTAATAAAACAGTCTAGCAAGCCAGTCGACGAACTCAACCATATGATTCGAATATAGTAGACAAGCGAAGGGGTCTTCAGAAGATGGCTAAACACACGCTTTTTGGTAGGGCTGATTACCGCCGAACAATCTTTAACAACGGAGCAATTCTGGCTTTGCGACTCAATCCAACGCGGTAGGGCACTTTCCCCGTGGAGATTGGGCTGTGTTTTCCGGGCCCTTTGCTCGCATCCTTGCCTGAAGCATCTGTATCCGCCGCCCCGGTAGCCGTAGAGGGTGTTTTCGGCTCCGAATCAGACTTCTTGGGTGTTTCGGGCGGGTTCTCTTTTGTCGATTCAGAATGAGTATTCTCTGGACCAGCCTGCAGATCGCATGGTATATCAACGGTATCTGAACCTTCGACTGTATTTTGATCGACTGCAGTATTCGTAGTGTTATCGACCGTGGCCGAGACAGTCTGTTGATCTTGTTCGACATGGATATCCGACGGTTTCCCTATTTTGTCTCTGAATTCTTCCTCGATCAACGGATCGGAGGTTTTCTTCCGCTTGCGTCCGCGTTTCTTAGGTTGCGGAACTGGCTCAGTTTGTACTGTTGTATTGTCTGGTGGGGTTTGTTCGCTATTAGTAGGGACTGTAGGGTGCGAAACCCCGCTGGTTAGGGGATGTTGTTCTTGCTGGGGAATAACGGGGTTTGGTGGAGCATCGTCGATCCATATTACGTCGTCTTCGATGTCTGGGTCGTAGGTTTTTTGGAGAGTTACGGAGGTGGTTTTGCCGCGTTTTAGTTTCTTCTTTTTTGGTTCTTTTGGTGCTGGTTCTCGAGTTTGTGAGGTTTCTGTGGGTGGTGGGGAATGTTGGGTGGGTATCTCGATGTGGAAGTTGGTGGCTCCTGTTGCGCGGTTTTGGGGTATATCGGCTGGAAGAGTAGGGTGTTCTGGCTCATTTGGAGGAATTTGTGGCTCCGGTACTATGGCTGTAGGGATAGTGTGCGTGGGTTGATTATCGATGTTCGAAACGTCATTTTGCTCTGCGTCAGGCTTTGGATTCTTGGGTGGCCGGCCTGGCTTGCGCTTCTCGGGTTTAGTGTTACTTGCTTCGCTAGTGTCCTGGTTCACTGGACGTGGAAGGTCGGGCGTTTCGACAGTTTCCGCTGGATTTTGCTTCTTTGGACGACCTCGTTTCTTTGGCTCCGTCGGTGTTTCAATAGTGACAGGATGAGGTAGCTCATTGCGGGGCTCTACAGGTTGCTGCACTTCGGGGTGTGGAGCTAGAACCACGTTTGAGCCCGCATTGTCACTTTGCGAGCGAACGGCTTTGGGTGACAATAATGAAGAGTTCGGTTCGGTGTCGTGCGGCGAAGAGAGCATTCCTTGCATGGAGTTCCACCTCCGGGCACCATTTTGCAGGTCGATCTGCAAGGCGTCGTCCGGTCTCAGGAAGGATATTGCATCGGGATTGGAGCTTCGGGAGGGTTGTAACGATGATTCGAAGAGATTGTATGACTCCGCGGACTGGGAGAAGTCATTGCTCAGGAGACTTCGAGGATGATGTTGTTCCGTATGTGCGATAGGTTCGTATTGGTGGGCGACTGTGTCGTTTGTTTGGTACATATATTCCGGACCACTCCCGAGTCTATTGTAATCTAAATGCTGGGGACCATTGATGTCGATAGACGGGACGAGATGTATATCATCCATATGTGGTAAAGTAGGCTGTATGGGTTCCGAGTCAAGGGTAGTATGTGGGGGAAGATGCCGATTGGCGTTTTGAGCATCATCGTCATCGAAGAGCCGTTGCTGGGCCAGACCAATCTCTGTCATCATTGACCCTATCGCGATGTATGTAATGAGTAAATGGTGGATAATTCAATTTATCCCGCCAATGTGGAGTACTGGTAGCGCAATGCTCACCTATTGAAGCGCCACCCCGCGCTTCGCTCGGGATCCATCTTTCTTCTCTCCGTTGCTGGGATGACGATAGTCCATTTGGCGCTGCTTCCTGGGATTGAAGAAACACATCGAAGTTGATTGCGATTGGGTGGTTGGGCTCCCGTACTTGGGCTGTAAGAGGGACATCTTGTGCGACTGAATTGAGGGCGTTATCGTTGTCTGCTGGATGCGTCGACTTGGCGGGAGGTGGGAAGTCCGCTGCCAACGGATCGTCCTCGTCATCGGAGTCTTGAATCACCCGGCCGTGGGACATGGATCTAACTTCTATGCAATAACGTGGAGAAACGTAGGAGATAAAACAGATATTGGCTGCGCATTGACATGGCAAATTCAATGGCTTATCACGCGTCGTGACCGATTAGGTACGGAAATGACGCGCGTTCACGTGATGATAAGATTATGTTCATTTGATGCTCATAATTTGACATCAAGACGTAAGCTTGGATTGGGTATGTCTGTAAACATAAAATTCTAAATACAAAAGGTATCATGATGCAAGCATTGCAGACATATCTCATTCCATGGTACTCTGCGGTCGCATTACCCCCCTTCCGAAGAACTCGCTGATGACCCCGAAGCCATCCTTCGACCGTTGGAGCTCCCCTTTGAAAAGTTCATGTTGATCCGCTGACTCCACCTGTCTCTTGCGGATGGCTCTGATAGTAGAGTTCTGAGGGGCACAGACGGGACATTCGGCTTCTTCATCAACCTTGTTCAGACACCGTTGGTGAAAAGAATGCTTGCAGAGGAAGTGAACCGTAGGAAGGTCCAATATTCCACCGCAAGATTTAAGTGCACACCGGCGAGCTTGGAAAACGACTGGTTTGCTACCTAATTGTTCAAGCTCCTTCCTCTTGTTCTCCGTTTCTGTGCTATAACTGGAAATCAAACGACGATTCTGCGAAAATTATTAGTTCACAGCATGGTTATCTTGAGGGCGGGGTACCAACAGTCGATATCTCTTTCCGTTCTCGCTCGATGTTATCACTCAGATACTTCTTTACCCGGCCCATAGTGACCACTGCGTTGTTGCTGAGCGCTTGGATGACTTGGAGCGGCGACATGAGTCCCTCGTCATTGATGCGTTTGAGAACAACATCTAACTCCTCGCCTGCCTCTTCGAGGATCTTCGGGCTTGAAGCAAAATAGGTCAAAGCATCAACATACAGCTGGGGTTCTTCTGGGCCATATTTCTTCAAAGCTTGGATAGCTCCACGTGTATCCTTTGCAGACGTAAATGAGCGGAAAATATCAGAACGAAGACTTTCCTGCTCCCGCACCAGAGTCGACCCCTCTCGAAAGCCTGAAAGATCTGAGAGCAACAAGACGCTGGATGTGGAGATTGGGATCTGGAGACACATTAGTCAAGTCAAGGATGAGCAAGCCTTGCATATCAGGTACATACATCCTTGCCTTCGATAAGTCTCTTGGCTTTCGTCTCCCATTCTTCCTTCTCAGTCGTGGATTTCTTGCGAGATGCCGTATCCAGGTACATCTCGAATAGTGTCGTATAAAGGTCCACTTTATCTTCTTCTTTTAGGCCGTCTTGCTTGATAAGCGCCTCTAGGAATGTAATAAACTCTTGAGGATGGCCCACAAAAGCAGAGAAGGCAGTTCGGGGCTTGGGGATCTGGTATACCGGAGTATCATCTGTTGCCTTGTCCTCTACTTCGGGCGAAGGCTCGGCGGTTGTCGTCTTGGTGCCTGCGCTAGCGTTCATCAAAGGAAGAGGAAGGAAAGCGGCCAGGCTTTGTAATGTGCTAGTAGACTGCGCCTGTGGCTCGGGTGGATTCTGAACTTCGGTGATGGGCTTGTACTTTCCCTTGTAGTATTCAATAAAAAGCTCTGTCGTTCTCTGCGGGCAATTGGAGAGGAGAACACGAGCATACTTCATGAGGTTATAGTAGGCCTTGGATTAATTAATATCATGCTGTGGAACAAGGCTTATGACTAGTACGAACCAGTTCAGGATCAAGTCTCCAGATATATTCCACAGCCTCTGCGTACTTCTTTGAGTCTTCGATCAGTATGTCAACAACCATGTCGTTTTCGCCGTACTTTGTAGCCAAGTAAGCGGCTTGCTCATAGTAGCCACCCTGACGGCACATGGCAATAGCGGTTTCCAAGTCGAACTTTAATTCTCCGGGAGCTTTTATAAACTGGTCTAGTTTTCCCGTGTCTTTGAGCTTAGCGTAGCAATTCAAGAGCAACGTTGTGTGGTCGACTGTGGCACGATCATGGTCGTGTAACTCTTCGAGGTACTCGATTAGATTGTGAATACGCTGCGTATCCAGATACTATTTTCGTATACAATTAGTTATGAGTGTGCAATGTGGACATGGTGTTCCAACCTTGCGAATGACCTGTGATGGCTCTGTGTTGTCAATGGCCCGGAGGTATTGCTGCATGGCTGTGTCATAGTCGCCCCTCTGGTACAAGAAGTCGCCGTATTTACGGTAGATAGCATTCTGCTGTAGAGTATCGACACCTTTCTTCTGTGCCAAATTAATTGCCAATATGTAGAGACTGCGTTGGTAGAGAATCTCAAGCTTTTGTTGCAAGCTCTTCTCACGATAGCGGTAGAGCTTTATCAAGTTAGCATAGCCAAAATATTACTAAGTGAACCCGCGTACCTTCCCGTCGGTAGTGAGGATGAACAGATCGCCCCACTCAATGAAAACTTGTTTTACAGGGGACACTAGGGCCTCCGAGTGTGCAATGAACTTCAGATCCGTATCCAGCAATGTAAAGGTGGTTGTGCTGAAGATATCATTAGGCTGGCTGACATCGAAGTTTCGCAAAGTACCTGAGTTCGAAGTTGCGACCTTTGGAGGACAAACAAGTGCGACATAATCTTTGAAGATGTTGATTGAATTCTTAGGGCTGTCGAAGGCGTAGCTAGGCCCGCGCCCATGCGGCCCATAGGTGTATATCGCATCCTCTCTAGCCACAAGAACGTCACCACTGTCTTTGTCCAGAGCCATACAGCCAAGAGCGCAGCCCGTGTCTTCGAGGACTCGAGCTGGTTGGCCCTGGCCTCTACCAGCAATAACCAACGCTAATATCCGGTTCGTTGTGGAGATATAAAGGATAGTTGTTGAGCCATTGTGTATTTCCAGTCCAGTTATCGGTTCCTCAGATTCAAATACAATACGTTGCCGCGCGCCGCGATCGTGAATCAAGTCGCCACGAATAATTACCACGGAACCATTGGCGAAACCCACGGCGACTTGTGACAGGTCGGGTACGGCCGTAAACGCAGATATCTGCCCATTCAATGCTTAGCAAGAGTTCAGGCACCACCGAGAACGAACTAACGTACAGGGAATGGTCTTCTAGCATTCTGCACCGGGGTCGTTGATAGGCACTTAGGGGCTCCTGTTTTCTTCTCCGTCTTATCCAGAGCCCAAACCTTCAAAGCTGGTTCATGTGAGGCATCATCAGCAATCGTAACCAGAAGTGATGTTCCTTCTATCTGTTTGATATGCGTTATGGGCCCGCCTTCGGATGCCTTGAACGATCGGAGGAGCTTGAACGAGGGCGAGATGAGGTGGACAAAGCCATCGGTGGACCCAAGGAAGAGATTCGATGAGCCGGTACAAAGCGAGGAAATATCGGACTAATTCCGAGGAAATCTTATTAGTATGTCGCCATATCGGTGAGTTGGTGTCAAGTACGTACGTTGAATATTGATGAGCTCTCTTCAGGTAGCTTGACGGAAGAGACGTCGAAGAAGTTGAAGGCTTTCCACTGTCACACGGCGTGTTAGCAAGTACACTTGCCACAGATAGCGATTGAAGCCTTACTGATGTTAGAGCCATTTGTACGTGGCCCACACCATGGACCGATAACAATAAGTTGGAGAAGGTTAGATTGACGGAATACGTTGTTCAGGTCCGGAGGTGTATCATTGCCTAGGCCGAAACGGGACAGCTCCGCCCGCACTAAGTTTATCAGATCAGAAGACAACAGCCATAATAGATACATCTATAGATCCATTAGACTTCTCTAATCGTCCTTACAAATCACTTGTGAATTCTGAGAAGTGGAAATGATTAATTTTGACAATTTACAGCTCATATCTTTTATTTTTCAATAGCCTAGTGAGTTGTAGTCCATCAGGTTATGTCTGACGAGTGCCCTTGCAGCTGTACCACGGGAAACTGGCAAACTGCTGCTTATTGACCTCGGATAGTAATAGAGATACCGAGACAGGCGGAATTCGTGATATTTAGGCAGGGGAAAGAAAATAAAAGAACCAAACAATATATCCACGTTGCAATTTCCTGTAGCCTGAGTAGGTATCTTCCCCACGGGAGCATTACATCACTTGAGCCCACGCCGGCAGGAGTTGCTCCGAAGCAGGCTGTTTAGTAGTGACAGGGGCATGTCATCATCCGATCACCTCCAGCCTCCTCTTTCTCCTTCGTGCATTCTTCCTCTTCCTTCTATTCATCTTACCTCAATTGCTTCGTTTCCGCATAATAAACCCTCTACCGCCGATCCTCATCATCTTAAATCCATTTAAAATGGTGTTCGCTCGTGCTCATGTCCTTCGCGCATCTGCTCGCGCTGTTGGAACTGCATCTCGTAGACCTGCGCAGCAATTCGCTCGCCGCACATACGCTTCCGAATCATCACACGGTGTCCCAAAATCCAGTGACCTACCATGGTAAGACACTGTAACAACGCACTTTCCTCCTTGCAACATACGCGATGCGAATGCTAACCCTAATTGACTATAGGTTGCTGGGGTCAGTGGGCTTAGGCGTACCGGCTGCCTACTACTTGCTCTCCTCCGGCCCTGAAAAGAAGCCCCACGGCGGCCACGGAGACAATCATGAAGCTGTGAAAGAGACGGAGAAGGAGGAGGAACAGGCCCCTGCGGGAGAATCCGAGCCTCAGCCCGATCGGGATGCGGAGCAGAAGGTCGAGACTGAGACTTCTTCGTCTCCATCTGACGAGAAGGGTGGATCATTTGGAGAGCCGCCATCTAATGTTGACGAGGTAAGGTCTATCCCGTTTTCCATGCGCCTGATCCGTATCGGGCTCGGAATTATGTTTAACGTGGTTGGTCTGACTATTTTCATGATAGGCTTCTGCCCGCGGGGAAACCGGAGGACCAGCCACCATCTCCGGGAAGCAGGAGGGCGTCTCCAATACTGATACTTCCAACCCGTACGTGAATGAGCCGGGAAAGAGCCAGAAGGGTGAGGGAGAAACCGAGACGGCTAAGGTGAAAGGCACTGTGGATCCGGAACGGCCCCAGGCCTAGAAAATGGCAAGCATCCCCCCTGTGCATTTGTACGAGCGGTGCTCCGATAATAGCTTCGGCATCTTCTGACTGTAATACGACAATGATCCAACTTCATGTGGATTTTCTGCCCCTGATAAGACGCCTTGTGCCTATAACCACACGAGGGCTTGCTAGCCAATGTGGCCGAGATGTTAACTGTGCATCTTTCTCTTGAGCTTGTAACCAGCTACTGAAAGCGAAGTGGACTTGAACTTTGAATCTTGGCGCAGATAACGTATCAGCGCGGATCTATTATTATTATTATATGATAATTGCGCGTAGACCTCCCCAGGTTTCTCTCCCTTCCGACATACCGGTAAAGCGCACATCCATGGCATCGTCACTATGTCCATACAGCTGTGTCATGCACAACGCCAGACGACCAAATATATAAGAGGAAAGAGAAAAAAAAAGTGTGCAACGAAGCGAATCTCGTAGACCATGAATACCGATGCGACAACCATGCAAAACGCTTCATTTAGAAGCAGACCAAAGTGAACCGCCACACGAAAACGGTGAAATATGAGTTGTTGACCCAAGTAGCTGAAGAGCTAAGAAAGAGAGAAAGCAGTGCAAACTCCGTCAAGACCGCATTGGAAAAAAGCCCTACCTTTCAGGTGGATAGGAGTGGCAGAGCGCAACTTCTACCGGCGACTAGAGGACTTCTCGTTGAGGGGCTCCCCGTTCACCAGGACTTGCGGAGCCTGGTTCTCCTTGCCGATGTTTCGGGCAGTAACGGTGGGCACCTGAGCTCCAGTCGCCAGAGTAGCACGGCCGTTTTGCTCCTGTTCCGCTTCTTCCTCTTCCTCCGTGTCCTCATCATCACTGCGCTCATCCTTTCTAATGCTGTTGAAGACGTAGTTCTTGAGAATGCGAAGGATCAAAAAGAGCCAGAAAAGGTTGACGGCCTGCAAGCTCGCCAGCAAGGCAAAGGTGATATATTGACTGATCCAACACTTGTACTGCTGGGTCTCCCAGTTCAGCTCGAAAGGACCAACGGTTCGGAATTCGGTAAGAACCGCCCAGAGAATCTTCAGGTTCAGGTAGTGGCGGCAGTAGATCCACATTCCAACGAACATACCGAAGTACGGCGGAGTAATGAACGAGTCAAGGTAGTTGAGTGTTTTCGAAGTCTAGTGGAATTAGTATCTGTCACCATACGGAGTTCAAGACGCATGCATACCGCAAGGAAGAAGTCAGAGACATCGTGCGTGATATAGACCGCAAGGCCCATGTAGGTGAAGTGGAACCGATAGCTCAGGGCGATGAGAGCCAAGGTAATGATGTGATGCCCGACAAGTTCTTTGAAGTCCTTCCGGGGCTTCTCCAGCTGGAGCAAGAGCACGATGGCTTGTTGAGCCCAGTAGCTCGCCTGCAACAGATAGTAGGCCTTGAATAGCGCCTCATGCTCACGGTGCGGGAAACCCTCGTACATCGCCGTTGTGTTAAAATACCAAATATCAGACCTGTACATTACGTACAAGCCGAATGGACCGAAAATGCCGAAGTAGATCGCTGTGTACACCTGCTCCATGAAGCGCGCAGTCTTGCCTTTGCCGCGGATTCCGCAGTAAATCGCCCACGGCCGGATGATACGTTGCATGATGAATTCCCGAGTGAAGGATAAGACGATAGTGTAGAACGAAACAAAGGCGATGTCCTTGGGGCCTTTTCCGTACATGACCGGGCCACCAGGGGTTTTCGGCCCTTGAGGGTAGGACAAAAAGATTGCGCTATGCAGCGGGTTGGACGGGTTGGGGTTGACTGCATACAGGGCGAGCAGAACAATCAACATGAGGAGAGGTAGGAGCCATGTATGTTTCAGGCATTTGTCTTTAAAGCGACGAAGTAGGGATCTGCTTTTGCGACGCTTCGATTGCGATTTGAGCGACTTCTCCGAAGACTGCGATACCTCGGGCTGGAGTGAGCATAGGGTAGGAGAAGCACTTGAGCAAGGGCAGTTGCGAGCCGCGCAGTTGATTTAGACCATACCTTATCCCACTTTGGAGCATCCGTTTCAATCGGACTCACTTCATTCATGGTCGACATTGCCGGTGCGCTGGTGTCACCCGGTATGTCCGCACCCAAGTTACTCGAGCTCCGGCCGCGAGCCATGATCAGATGAAATGACGTTCAGTGTTAGTCCAATTTTGAAGCCGTCCTATGAGTGCCTCCCTTGACGCTCTCTTGGAGCGTATCTCGATTAGCGTCGGCTTTCGTGAGAATGATTTTCTACGATTCCAACGCGGGATCGTCCGCCGTATCGGAGCGGAATCGAAGATAAGGGAAACAGAATAGAATTGAAGAGGAGGACACGGTCAGAGGAGAGAACAACAAAAAAGCATAAAAGAGATTGCACCGGCGAAAGATGAAAAGCCGTGACTCTCCTGGGTAAGAAATTGAGAACTGATGGGGTACGAGTACGAGACACCTAATTCGTTTGAATTGTTAAGAGCGCAAATTAAACCCAATCCAGGGGGGCTTTTTTTTTTCTTCTATTTTTCTCCGCCCCGGGGTTCCACCGTCAACACAGCCATTCAGCGATTGACGGAAGTCCCGCCCAACAAGTTGGATCGTATCTTGAACTCATCGTATTCCTTTGCTGCTGACTCGTTCTTAGACATTATTCGGTGCATAGTAATCAGGTCCTGCTGCAAGGTCGGGTTGTGCTCGATGCAACCATTACAGACCGCCATCATCTACGAATCTCGCCGTCGCCTCTTGAAATGGCGTATTCTGACGCCAAGACTCCTGGAAGTCGACCAGTCCCACATGGGATCAGCGGTATTCTGTTTGAGGTGAATTTGGACCGAGGATGAAGCATTTACCGGACAAGGTGGAAAACCTTGGCTACCCATACCCAATTGGACTTGACCATTTCGAATCAAAACCATCTATCCTTACATCTGCGGCCTTTGGGCGCTTGAGAACCGTCGGATTGCCTTCCTTCTAGAATAGTGATTGAAACGTTCTAAACACGTCTGCTGATCGAAACAGAACCATCGGCATATCCACATTAGACTATAAATGATACTCCAAGTGGCGGCCGCTTTGCTCAAAAATCAGAATGCCCCCGTATCTGGGCCAATATGTGTGGCAGACACGCCCTACGGAATCCGACAAACAATAGCGCATGCGCGCAGATGATCTGTCACAGACGCTGAACCCAAGTTCAACCAGGGTCCATTGATCTACATGACTCCTCCAGGATTGACCACCATGGCGACTAAGAGTATCACTCGGACACGTTCCAAACTGTTCCGTTCTCACAATGAGTATAGTAACGAAGCACAGAACCCGATCATAGTAGACGACGCTGAGTGGGGGCCATAGTATGCGTCAATCTACCCATAAGCCCGGAGTAGCATCGGCGATTGTCAAGTTCTATGTGCTTTTCAGAGTCAAGTTGACTCAAGACACAATAGATACACGTTTGTAAGGAGATGCCACTACGTCGCATGGATATCATGGCATCGGCTGGATTCCCTCCGAGCATTCGATGGTGATATCCTCAGCTTAGTAGTGGTCGCCGACCCTCAGAGGCCCTCACATACGAATGATTATGGTGAGGCGTGGTCAATATCGCACGGCAGACACTAGGTTCAGCATATTGGAGCCTCGCTGGAGCGCTTCTGGACCTGGACTAGCAGCCGAAGTCTGTTGCACAGGCAAGCGGTCGCATTAATGCGATTTGCGATATGGGTCTAGGCATGATTGTCATACAGATAGCATTCCACTAATAAGAGTTAGAGCATTCATTAGGAACGCTCCTTGATTATTCGCTGCAGAGATGCGTATTCATTGCTCCTCCATTGACCAGAATTGACGCATGGGTGTCATTGGGTAATGCCAATTGAACTTGGAACTTTCTGCGTCTGAACTCCGAAACAGCCTATCCTCTGTCACTTTTTAACTAGGTACAGACTAGTATGTTCCTTTGATCGTCAGACTCAAGACCTGGCTCGGTCCAAGTGACATATACTGCCATGATCCGCCTATGGGTAGAGTACGCAATGGATCAGGGGATGGATGTAAAAAGGCGTGCTTTGGAGGAAGGAGACTACTTACACTCACCCCTAACCGCTCCAATTGACCCCAGTTCGGGGGTGTGAAGTGGCGCAGACTCAATATGCCCACTCTATCTGGTGGCGACGATGTCACTATCTCCGTTGGAGCCAATGCGTGCCATATTATCTTCTTGCCAGGCCCACGCACGGCCGTGCCACTAGTGTTGAGGTGGCTTTCGATACGGCTCCTGCTGAGACAGTTCAGACGTCGAGCGAAGCCATTCTTGGCGTTGGAATACTTAATACAACTTAGCTGCTGAGAATTCTGGGGTTGGAGACAGACAACAGCTCAGCGGCTTCGGTAATCCCATGATTGTAAGGAACGATGATGTTGAAGAACGTCTTAAGAATCGCCATATGAGTGTCCTGAGTGTCCTGTTGAACACCACAAAAGACCGAAAATATGGCTTGTGGAATCTAGAGACTCTCTTTGACACGCCGCACAAGCCACATTCGCAAAGTCTACCATGGATCCTGGGTTTTTCATTAACAAATAAGATAACAAACTCATAGCACTGTAGGTTCAGCCTGGCGTGGCTTACATCACGAAGAAATCAAACTGCGCTAGTAACCATGTGCCTTGATGGAGGCCTTTATAGATGTCCCATTCAAGGTGGAGATATGACTCGTAGTAACTTCATGTGAACCTATGCGCCTTGAAAGCATCTTACCACATATTTTCTTATTCCAGGGAGAGGAAAGTGACGATGACGACCAGACTAAACAGTAGAGACACACTGGCATCTCTTCAAGGGAAAAGCATGATAAGGTGCGCGAAGAGCTCCAGGGAAAGTCCTTTCCTATCGTTTACCTCACTTGATGCTCAGCTATAATGGATTTTCGCACCATTGCTGCGCCAAAAAACCCTCAAAGAAGTGCTGGAGAGGGACCTTCTTCAGCTAGGAGGGTTCGCAACACTTTTAGGGGTTCTTCTGCATACAACCATTTTTCGCACCTCCTTTTGTGTGGAAAACTATATCTATAAGCTATTGGGGCTCTACGCTGTGACCGTCCTATCTATATTCTATACATACTTTATAATCACAGTGCTTCCTCCAATCCAAGTTCTAGGAAGAGTTGCCTTGCTCACCACTTCGTTCAACATCTGCCTCGTTGGTTGTATCAACATATACCGATTATTCTTCCACCGACTTCATCCTTTCCCCGGGCCCTTCGCATGCAAGCTCACCCGGTTCTATAGCGCCTTTCTAGCGGCAAAGCATAACCAATACAATGTGGAACATAAAAGGCTTCACGAGCAGTACGGCGACCTCGTCCGCAGAGGCAAGCCACTTTAACTAAACCTCCTGAGCTCCTACCCTAAGCAGGGGCCATGGCAGGGACCATGGCAGGGCCCCGTGAGATCTCCATTCTCCGAAATACAGCACTACCCGTAATATACGGCCCCCATATTGAATGTCGCAAGTCAATCTGGTACGGGCAATTGGACGTAGATCACACGAAAACATGCATGTCTCTAAGCCGCGACTTCGACGACCATCGGCGACGAAGAAGGGCATGGGACCGAGCCTTCAGTACCAAATGTTGGTCAACCCTACCTTTACGGACAGTAAATATGTCACTACTAGCGAGTACGTAATAGCCCTCGGCGTCTACGAACCCCGTGTCATAGCGCAGGTGGAGAAGGTCATTTCCTAGATCGAAGCTAATCAAGGAAAACCTCTCGATGCGACCACCTGGTCCATGTTTTTTGTCTTCGATATCATGGGAGACATCGGATTCGGTAGGGACTTTGGCAATCTTGCAACTGGGAATGCGCACCCCGCTATCAGTGTTGCTCGTGACCATATGCGCTTTATTAGTGTCGTGAGCCACCTTCCGTAGCTTTTGAACATGCTGGGTAAGCTCCCAAGCGCAATGGCTAGATACCAGGGCTTCTTTAAGTGGTGCACTAATCAGGTTGAGACCAAGCGCAAGGCATCAAGTCCTCCTTGCTCTTCTAGTTTAGCTGTCGAAGGTGCACAAGATTGACATATACCCCGATTTAACGCGACAGAGCGGGGACCACGATAAGGATCCTCAAGACATCATGTCCTGGGTCTTGAAGGCTTTCATAGACAACGATGTTTCAGCCCCACCGTCCGAACCGGCTCTTCATAATGACTCTCGTGTGGTGGTGATTGCGGGCAGGTACGTACTTGCGCCTGTTCTTCCCCTTTTAAGAGAAAAAACAGAAGAAATACAACGAGGGTATCCCCAAGCCCAATATCTAATTGAGCAAAACCAGCGATACAACCGCCTCAGCCCTATCAAACATCATCTACTTCCTCGCCAAGCACCCCCAAGTCCTCTAAAAGCTCCAAGCCCAGCTCAACAGCGCAATGCCGAACGGCCCCTAAAGCTGGACGTACGACAGAATCAAACTTATAACCTATATCGACGATATAGTCTACAAGATCCATCATTTGCGACCCTCTTTCTCAGGCAGTGGATACCGCCGCCAAGGGCCTCCAGATTGACGAAGTGTCGATCCCAGGCGACGTGAACGTGTTCGTCCTACTGCAGCTAATCCAAACAGACGAGCGATACTCCAAATTCTCGAAAGGAGTTTATCCCCGAGCGATGGGGCGAAAAAAAGGACGAGTGGGGGACTGACCAGGCGCCATATTTTCCGTTTTCTTTGGGTGAGACTTTCCTCCCCCCTTCCTTCGTGGTCATTAATCTTCCATACGAATATCGAGTATAGTATGTCAGGGGTAGATACGGATTATTGACACCACAAGTGATATAGGGGTATACGGCTGTGCAGGGAAGAATCTAGCTATGCTTAGTCTCCGCGTTGCGTTATCTACCCTGGCACAACGGTATGATATCCGATTTGCGCCTGGGGAGCCTGGGGAGCCTGGGGAGGCATTTTGGGACGATGCATTGGATACGTTTACTACTTTTCTGCCGCCTTTGCAGGCCGTGTTTCAGCCAAGGAAAATGTACGGAGTAGATACGAAATGATTCTTGGTATTAGTATTGCGTTCTTTAAGTGTCCTTCTTCATTCTTGAGATTCCTGCTATGGGTATGTGTATTCGGCCATGAAGAATGAGGTTTCAGCCAAATAGCCCAACTCAATAGTTCTTTCCGATCATTCTTCCCTCCCCCTCTGGTATCTAATCGTGTCTACAGGATCGCCCAGTAAGACAAAAATACCAAAAAAAAAGCTGTCTTCAGCACAGACCATCTTGGCTTGCGGGAATGCATACTCCGATACGTCCGGATGAAGCTTTCTCCAATGCAGCCAAGAAACTGATTTATTGGCATTGAGGAGAATGGCAAGTCCCGAATCGATCGGGTCGGCTTCCCGAAGTATGACTGGCGGTAACGGGTCTGCGATGGTGAGATTGTGGCCAGGCTTATTCGGACTTACTGCAATGATGTGCATCATACAGCGGTTTGTTGTATGGATGAATTCAAGGTTATCTGTTTGGCCGGGTGAAATATGAGGCTCTATCGGGGAATGTTTGGATGTGGTTATTTTGTAAGTTGTATCGGGATCCTAGTGGATAGTTGGTTATTTGTGAAGGGAAGATTTACTTCACGGTAATGATGTTGTAATAGTTTGTTGTATAGATTCTAATATTCGGTACAGGACACATGGCTGTACATGGTCGAACAGATTAATATAGAAGCACGAGTGAATTAGAAGCTATCCCATAGAAGCAGTAGGTATCAAGACATCATCGTTCTCTCGTAAACATGAACTAATTAAGTCACACACATGTTCATAACAAACCCACACGAATGGACAGGTTTGCTAGGCTGGTATATAGGCGAGTAATTAAAATATTTTCGTTCAGAATTCAACCCCAAACATAGACTACGCAAGTCCTCCATCATCCAATTATGCGGTCTCGGAGTGCTGGACGGTACCACCGACCTTCTTCTCCTCGTCGAAGCCGACCTGTTCCAGGGTGGCACCGCGCGAGAATTCGTTCTTGGTCTTCCAGGCGGGAATACCGATGAGCGGAAGACCGGTGGGGTCGGTGAAGATGGCCTCGACATCTTCGAGGGTCTTACCGGCGGTCTCTGGGAACATGAAGAACACATGGATGAACATGGCAGTGCAGAAAACACCGAAGACAATGTAGACCTGCCACTTGATGTTCTCGAAGGCAGGGGGGACGAACCAACCCAGAGCGAAGTTGAAGGCCCAGTTAAACGAGGTGCACAGAGCGTTGGCCTTGCCACGAACACGTAAGGGGAAGAGCTCGGGAGGGTACACCCACGAGGCGGGACCCCAGGTGATGGCGTAGGAGGCGACAAACAGGTAGGTGCACGCAATGACAGCCTTGCTAGGAGGGCCGGTGATCTCCCAGGACTCGGCGGGTGTTCCATTGAGACCGCCCGGGGGAGCGGCATGGCCGTGTGCGGCCATCAGACCAGCATTGGCGTACATCCAGGTCGCCATGAGGGCTGCACCAATAAGGAAAGTGGGACGACGACCCCAGCGATCCAGCCACAAGAGAGCAGGGATGGTCATGAACACGTTGATCACGTATTGAATACTGGAAGACACCAGAAGGTTGTTACCCTGCAAACCGGCCATCGCAAAAACATACGTAATGTAGTACATCATCACGTTCATGCCTGTAAGCTGGGACCAGATTTGCGTAAAGACACCGACGTGAGTACGGTTGATCATGTTCGGCTTGAGGAGCTCCATGAAGCTCACGTCGGCATTCTGACGTTCAAATTCACACATGCCCTTAATCTCCTCGAATTCGCTTTGGACAAAAGGAGAGTCCGGGTCACCGTGACCATGGACCAAGGTAAGGACAGCATGGCACTCCTCCCAACGGTCCTTACGGGCCAGCCAACGGGGAGACTCTGGGAGCAAAATCATTCCAAGGAAAAGAAGAATGGCAGGAATCATCTGCAGACCCCAAGGAATCCGGAATGCGGCGGTGCCCTTGATAAAGCTACATCCATAAGAAATGCTAAAGAGGGATCAATTATTAGTCTGAAGAAAATAGTGGAGAGCTCTGAGGCTAGACTTACTAGAACATGATCAAGATACCCCACGTGATGGCCCATTGCTGAAGACCAACAAGGCGACCACGCTTAGTGGGAGGGGCCTGAATGAGAGATCAGCAAATTGCTAGGAGTTATAGGTCAGGGCCTAAGTATACTTACGATCTCAGAGATATAGACGGGGACCTGAGCAGAGCAGATACCGACACTGAAACCGTTGATGATACGACCAACAATCAACATGGGGATGTTCTGGGCGGCGCAAACAAGAATACATCCAATGCACCTGCTCAACAGTTAGGGGAGTCCCAAAGGGGCGGAAGTGCTCATAGGCCTACCAAATCACGGAACCAATCATGATCGATTGCTTACGACCGAGCATATCAGACAGGTACCCAGAGACCAGAGCACCTAACCAGGAGCCACCAGCCATGGCTGCAGTGATACCACCCTGGGTCATTGTATCGGGGCCTCCACATTCCCTTTCACCGTTCTCATTGATTGTCACACTTCCTCCGTTGTTGAAATAACACTTGTAAGTATTTGTGCCGATAATTGCAGACATTGACGAGATATCGAAACCGAAAAGACCACCGCCGATGACGGCGATGGCCGCAATGACATAAATGTTGCCAATAGCCATCTTGAAGGCAAGATGTAGCTCACCACTCCACTCTAATCCGGATGGGGTAGACGGCTACCTGATGAACGCAGAAGCCACAGAAGAGGGAGTTGCAAAAACTGTGTAAATAAAAAAATTTTTACACCACTGCAGGGGACGGGCCGGTCTTAATATACCCGAGGACAGGGGACGGAAATTTTGCCTTCCAATGTCGCATCGAATGACAGCCAATTCCGTCTAAATTCCTGATGACGCTTGAGCCTGTACCGACCCGAGGTGCCATGATGGGGAAAGGGCTGCACGCCATGCGACTGGCGAGATTAGTCTAAACTAGCGAGATTCACTGGATTCCATTCGGTGAGACAACCAGAAACCATATCCAATCATGGATCAGACACATCATATAGGCGGCCCACAGGAGTAGCTCTTCTGTCAACAATGACACAAAGTAGCAGCCTTTCGGCTGTCCGAGTCCAAAACGGACGGGTTCCTCATTCAGTAAGAATGGGGAAACCCGCGGGGAGGCAACACATGGTCTGGAGATTTAGGGTCAGTGAGGGGATCAGGCCAGAGCAACCAATCCCATGATCAGGTATCCATGCAATCATTTCGCCGGGAAGATTCATTGGGAGACTGGGAAATGGAGGACCACATCTCGGGTCCACCGGCTGCGACCCTAGGCCAAGGGTGGCCGTTTGAGAAATAATCAAAGACGGAAGGGTCGTGGTCAGCATATTGCATAACTCCGATGGATAGTGAGAGGCCGGGTTGTTGGACGAACCAGAGTCGCGACGTGGAGGGATCCGGGGAAGCCTGACCACGCGGGTTAGCACTAGTGTTCCTAAGCCGATGGGGCCGTGAAAGGAAGAGACACCGAAAGTGACCTATTGCGCCGGAGGGCAAACACGGCGCGAGTCGTACCCTCGAGCAAATTGCCTTTGAACAGAGCCGATTGCAGACGGATCGGCACACATCGCTTCCTTTCCCGGGCGGACGGGGGGGTTTCCCAGAGACGGAGTTCCCGTCACGGCGCTTGTCAAGTGAGGAGTGAAAAAGCAAAAGAAAAAGGTCCGAGGGGTTAATAATTGAGTTAAAAAAAATAAAAATGAAAATTCAAAAGAGGAAAAAGAAGAAAGCAATAGTGTAGAGTAGGGTCAATCAATCGAAGAGAGTGCCGATCGCTGACATCCATCACTTTACAAAAGAGCCTAAACAGGCACGGGAACTACTCCTCAACCGTCTCGGAACATGTCATTCAAAGCGAAATGAAAAATCTGAAATCGCGTAGCGGGTTCCATGGACCCGAATGGATTCCGAAAAAAGTTGGTGAGCTTTAGTGGTGGTGGTGTTGAGCGTTGAGGTTCGGTGGATGGTCGAATGTGGAGGAATAGGAGGCCCCAAACCCCCGACCAATTCCCCAGAACAAAAAAAACAACTCCAGCCTAGAATCTGAGGCCCCCATTCGAGCAAACGGCTTAACCCGAGCGAGTAAGTGAAAAGGTGGAGACGACCAGCTGAAAGGGGGCGAAATTAAGGTGAACAAATGAAATGGTCCCATTTCGGTGTTCCCCAGCCCCGAGTGGACGTTCCTGATTGGAGGAACTGGGAGCATGTGCCTCGGCCAACGTGCCATTTCCAGAATCGGAAATTCCACCAATTAGGGCAGCGGCACATCACGAGTCGTGCTCCAGTATTATGGAACAACTTGA